CCGCCCCCCCCCCCCCCCCCCCCCCCCCCCCCCCCCCCCCGCCCAATTCAAATGGTCCAACGCGGGTCCGCTTTGATACATTTATATGTGGATTGATGGGTCGCACCCGGATGAGAATATAACATACGAGTTGAAAGAGAGTAATGACTCTAATGGGGCCAATGGTGGTTAATGGTTATATTTATATTGTTTTGTTTTCTAGACAGTGACCTCTCACCAGAAGTTCAGCTAAAGAATGTGCAATACTATGATATGGTTTGATGCTTCTAATCACCTTCTCTGCGGCTGTGTATAATGGGGTTCTGAGTTAAGACTCAATTTCTCTTACCAACGTATGCCATATAAAGCAAGAAGATAGTTTTGGTGTTGAACTTGTCATCCTTGGTAATACAAGTCTGTGAGTGTGGCAGAGAACTGAAGGATCTATCATGAGATGCAAGCTGGGCACTCCCTTGTTGGGAAGTCAAAGAACCTAATAGATACTTGCATCATTAGGTACACAATACTTTGTTGAGAGCCTCAGATGTGCAAGTTCAGGTGAATGAAATCACACATCGTGAAGCTCATATCAATCTGTCTCTTTTGTTCTTGTGTTTCTACAGAAGATGAGGGGCAATATAGATGTCTCCAGCGGCATACCTAACAGTAAATGCATATGAATCTATTCCCAGCCAACTACATGCACTTATCGGAGTTGGCGATTCATCGGGCATAGAAACACTGGGCTGGTTGGGCCTTGGTCCCATTCTTTTTTCATCCCTCACCCCTGAACTTCAATCTCGGTACCTGCATACTGGCTGCAGTTGGATGAACTGGAGAGCGCCTCCATGACTAACGCTCGTAATAAACCGGTGCCAACGTGTTTTTTTCCCATATTGTTCCCGGTAGGTAATACGAATGCTAAGATATGACCACAACATACCACTTCCATATGTTTCGCAAGACTTCCTCGCCAATCCCGAGGTCGTTGTCTAATTGAAAAATATACTATTAGGTCGTGAAAGCACGTGAGTCACCCATAGGTACCTACCTAGGCATGTATATCCAAAGCCAAACACTGTCTTGCTTAATACGAGGACACTGTCTCTACTGCGGTGTAAGTGTTTAAGCATGTAGTAAGGAGATCATGGAAAAGCGATCAGTCGTTTTTTGTTTTCTCCCTATTTGTCTCTTTACACTGATAATGTAGACCTTCTCCCCCTTCTTCCCTTTCATTAGTTCTGATTAGCTCAAGGGGAAAGTGGGCTGGTAGTGAGCTAATTTCCCTTGCAGCCAACTACCCCGGTTGCATGGGGTCTAATTGGGCGAAACCCCTGTCCAGATCTTGCTGTACCTGCAGAAGAGACAGGGCTCAGAGAGGGCCCGTACAGCGACTCAATCCCCTAGTCCAACGCCACGGTCGTGTCAAGGTCCATTGGTGCCCCAATTCTCCTGATCTGTCCTGAGTCGCTGCCAGCTCATGCTTGAGAGTAGATCTACATGACAATGATGTGAATCAGCTATGAAATCAATTGCCTGGAGGTATCTCTACTTAGGTATTGTATCTTCGCATCAAGAGGATTCTACTTGTTGGTTGTTCTAGACGTGTAGCGCAGATAAGCTCACCGTTGAACGAAATCCCAACACGCCAATCAAATGAATAATACCTAGGTAGTGTAAGTATGTCCATGGCCACAATTCCTCGTATCTTGTTATCAGACAAAATTTAGGTAATCTCAAGGAACTACCTAGCCCATGAAAAGAGCATTGACTGAGAGCATTGACAATTTGACCGGGAGGCGTGCCGAGGGATTCTATTCCCTAAGTACCTAGGCTATGGAGAGTTTTGGTAACCTTCTCGACACACCTGGGACTGCCGTGATGCCTCTCTCTGGGATCGTTCACAGAGAGTAGGTAACTACCTAGGTACTTAAGGTATAAACACCATGGAGGGAGATTGATTCATGAAGTTTGATCAATTACTGTTAGCTCTTCAAAAAGAAAATACGATGTCCCGCAGAGCAATGAATTGAATCATACCTGTACTTACATATATCCAAAGTGCTTAAGTACTTACTCTCTAGTGTACATAGTAGTGTAGAGCTCTCTCGGTGTTCCACCGCTGTTCCAATGGTCTCGCCCACAGAAAGCAAACCTATCGCAGATCCACGCTCCCTAAACGGCCCACCCACACTCATCAAAAGAAGCCCAAAGCAGGTCCACCATCTCGAAAGTGGCTACCCAACCCATGCATGTTCCCCTGCTCCTGTTGGCTCTTTCACGCTGTCCACGTCTATTATATAAGTCTGCTGCTCGATGGATTCTCAATTGCTTCTCCTTTCTTCCCTCACCCACCCACGCTCATTCATTGCAACCACCCTGGCTTTATAGTCAATTTCATTCGTTAAAGTGCATAGTTACGCGATACCAACCTAAACCCACTCTCAAGTAATCTACGGCTCACCCGAGTTCCTAATCAACACCAGAAATCAGTCAAAATGAAGTTCACCATTGCTGCCGTTGTCCTCGCCGCTGGCGCCTCTGCCAACTACGCTGCCTACTCGGCTGCCCCCAACGTGACCTACACCACCAAGGTTGTCACTGCCTACGAGACGTACTGCCCTGGTCCTACTCAGATCACCTACGGCACCAACACCTACACTGTCACTGAGGTATGCCATACCGGCGAGTCTATTTATCCTTGATCTCGAATGGCCGGCGAAAGCAAGACTTATCATTCGAGACGGGAGAGATGGGCGCGATGGGCGCAAATAGGGCTCCGATGCTAACATGAAGTACAGGCCACCACCCTGACCATCACTGACTGCCCTTGCACCGTCAGCGTTCCCGTCTACACCACCTCGTCCGTTGCCTGCTCTACCTGGTAAGATTGTGAACTGTTCTCCATATTGTCTTCGTCAGGCTAACTTCAAATCAGCAGCAGCAGCAACCCCTACGTCCCTGTCTACCCTACTCTTACTCCTCCCGCCTACCCCTCCTCCAACAGCACTGCTTCCGTTCCCGCCAGCACCCCTGTTGAGACTCCTTCCGAGGTTCCCACCACCGGTGGTGTCTACCCTACTACCACCCCTACTGCCATCCCCACTGCTGGTGCTGGAAAGGTTGCTACCCTCTCCGGCGCTGCTTTCGCTGGTCTTATGGGTCTGGTCGCCTTCGCTCTCTAAATTTAGAGCTCCTGGTTTCATCTTCGCGTCGATGACCTGCGATTCTCTTTCGCGCCAATAATATCTAATGGGAATGGTAGAATACGCCTAATCGGGAAAACAAATGTCATGACGGGAACCAGCGGGAGTTGATTTGGGAGTGGGATTCTTTGATAGACTGGGAGGGGTTTTAGCAAGGCATATCACACGGCGTCTTTTGCTTCAGTATGCCTGTAGAAACATTCTGCTTCTTGTATTTTCTTGTCTCGGTGTTTTAGGACAGACGACCACAGGATACACAATGGACCACATACGGTGTCGAATACGAGTTGAAAATAAGATACCCTGATCGGATACTTAAGTCTTACGTTTGCCTTCGCTCCGCTTGAAAGAGGAGGCTTCAACTCGGTTTTCGGGCTCAATTGGACAAATGAAAATCTTATTACAACTCGCGTCGTCTTCGTTTCTCCGAACAAGACTCTTGGTTTTATTCTTGTACAAACTCCATGGATTGTTACATAAATCTAATTCAACTAACAATCGCAGTATGTGTTTGTTTCCTTTTGGCGGATGTTTTATTGGTCTTCAATCATCGAGGTTTTACGACTTAGATGTGTCACCTGTACGAGCACTCCTGTGTAGCAATAGGGACAATGCTAATGATACGAGGCCAAGTTTTGGTCTGCCACCCTTATCCCAGAATGTCTTACTCGCTTCTTGTGCTGAGATGGTATTAATCGAGGATATAGGAGTGAGTGAGTAGGTGTAGAATAGGGATGTATGATGTGACAACGTAGGTGTAACTTGAGCAGAGGTACACACGTTCATGCTTAATTCACAGCTCATGGATAGTCTGACGCTCAATGAGGACCGACGAACACAATGTTGTACCCTATAACACAGCCTAAGACAACTTGGGAGAATCAGGCTCTCATGATCAATTCGTCCACTCACGTACTGCGACATGGCGACTGGTTGATCGGGCCACCTAGCCGACTCCCACTGGTCACAGCATCTATCTACTCTTAGCGCATTGCCCTGAGACTCTGGTCTCAATATCATGCGCTGGTTGTGTCAGACAATAGCAATTCTTCTTCTGAGTATAGGGACGACACCTAGGTAGTATGTACATAGTAGAAGTGGTTGATCGTATGATGCAGTTCTTGTCCTCCATCGTTCGGTGGCGATTAGGTTTGACAGGGTTCTGCCGAGTGTAGTACCCAAGTACCCGTACCTGAAGCTTCGTATTGGTCTTCTTTCCTTTGCACTATTGGAACTCGATTGCATTTGGCTAGCGTTTGATTCGCAGGCTGAAGAGCATTTATCTCGGTAAAGCCAAGTGGTAGACTATCGTCTTCGGCTTCGTGAGCCGATTACCTATACAGTAGTAGTAGGTAGGTTTAGCATGGCATCCCGAGAGGTATACCCATGTCTTAGATATTGTCTATAATTTCCCGCCACAAGTGTGTGCCTAGTTCGTCTCTACGCCACGCGCTTGATTCGATCTTGCTCCTAAAATTGTCTAGGTGAGACACATGAACATCGGATGTCTGAGACGTGTGTTGGAGATACAAGTGGTTTATTGAATTAGTTCAATTACGTGTATGTAGGGAGTTTATCTCAGACTTCTACGGGAAAAGGAGACTTGCCTTTGGGGCAGTACTTGGGTTCTGATTATACTTCATACTAGCTGCACTCATTGTTGAAAGAAACTGTATAAAATATGTCCCACGCGAGACACTGAGCGATTCGTTTACTTCCTACAGAGATCGGGGTGTGTCGTTATCTCAAAGATGACCTAAAAGCAGGTTTCGGAGTCGAGCTTTTACAAGCTAATTGGAAAAGCTTTACTTTAACGGCCACACTCTCCCAACTAAACTGGTAGGTGAAGCTTGAGAAGTTCTACTCATTGGATCAGAAAAACTCTGCAAGACTCCCATTGGTTAGAGTCTATAGGGCGTAGCGGACATAGCATAGTCTAAAATTGAAATGCCTTGCATTTTTATTTTCCCTGTATTAAAATGGCAAGCTTCCGTAAAGCTCTCCATTTTAGTGACAGTTCACCTCGCGCTACAGTGATTTATACAAGTTGTAAGCACCTATCCACCGCATGCTCAAAGGGGGTTCCAGGACTGAATAAAGTATGTAGCCGATTGGGGTTTACCCCAAAGATATCCGCGGAGAAGTTTATCTTCCATACCTATAGAGCAGATATAATACTAGTCTCATCCATGGTCCTTCTACCAGCATGTTTATCAGCGTGAAATCAGTAGAAATCCAATTATGTAGTCTAAAATGGCAGTCCCCAAGATCATCCTACTCTTCTAGAAACATGTAGTATGAGCTTGTACCTGAGACTCATGGGCGAATGAACAGGCTGATATAAGGTTGCAAAAAACTGGCTCGGCCCGGAGCGAGTTAAACTTAATTGCCGCGTTGCCCAGGCGACTAAGGCGTGATTATATATACAGGCTTGAGTGATTAGATTTGTGCTTGGAAGTATGCAAGCAAAAACTAGCTTCAGACTGTCTGTTGGGCATAACCTTCACTAAGTTACTTGCTATGAGTATCATGGGAATAGGGATACCCCTTGATCTCGTTTATGTGACTGATAGTCACAGGGGGTTACGTAAAATGCACCTCGACGCTCGATCGAAGTTCAGTAACCTGTAGTTCCTCCTATTGTTCTTTATAACTCCAGTGACTGATATCCTGTCGTGACCACTACCAAAATCGCCTGTTAGTAAGTATATGTTGTGAAATCTCATGGTTCGTCAGCAAGAGTTATCAGTATCTTACTCTAACAAGGTGATACATGCTCAAATTCCTTGAAGAGCATTTAACTTTTCACTACTGTGGTCGACTTTCTATTCTCGTCCGCTCAAGCCAAATTAACTTTCGAGAATCCGGTATCATCTAAGCTCGCTGACGCTTTTAAAATTCAACCTAAAAGTCTATTCAGGAAGGCTACCTCTGTTATTGTTTTTTTTTTTTTTTTTTGAATACTCAGAGCTTGCGTAAATTTCCCCTTCCCTTCCCCTTGAGCTATTCTTCCACACTCTCTCCTCAACTTCTACATATTTTCTTCCCACCTCAAGCTCAGCCTGGACCCTTTCTACTCATATCACGAACAAACAACACTCAGCTAATAGCTTCAACCTGCCAATTATATTCACATACTTTACTTTTTTTATTTTACATTTGCAAATTTTATTTCCTTTATATTTTCATATATCCGCCATGTCGTCTCCCATCAAACCTCGACAAACCGCGGAACCCACTCCAACGCCGGAAGAGGAAATCAGCGTGATCCAACCCCGAGAACCCGAGACGGAGGTTCTCCCGTCGCCACCACGGAGAACGGTAGTACAACTACACGGGCCGCATTTTTCAATGCCGCCGCTTTCAAACGCTGAGAGAGTGCAACGCCATTTGCCAGCATTCCGGATACTCTCCGAAGTCCACAGTCGGCGAGTACACTACGAGACGATTATTCGCGACCAACGTCGCCGGCCGCTTCAGCGGCACCTAAGACTCAGGAGAGACCGACTCCTCCTGTTCCGAGACTTGCATGCTCGATTGCGGTTTCTCGAAGAGGAAATGATCGAGCACTTCCGCTATCGCTGGGGCTTGAGAGTCATAGTAGCCCGAAGCGAAGAAGAGCTGCAAGGAGCTCGAAGAAGGGCGGATCGAAGAGAGGCTCGACAGAGGGAGCAGGAAGAACAGGACGAACGGGAATACCTGGAGGCGATGATGTTCTTGCACCGGCTCGAACAGGGTGAGTTTTGTTCTAGCTGACGCGAAGATATTCGAGTCGAACGCTGTTACTAACACATCGCAGGATAAGGGGGCTTCAGATCGGCTCGCCCCCCACGAACGAGAATTGAGGTCAACAAGAAAAGTCAGCAGCAAAATTCGACCGTTCGACAAACTTACTCCCGCCGTTTCGCAATCGGCGGCAGGAGGCGCTATCGGTACTCCGTTCAAGACATACAACGGAATTTGCGCCTCGGGTTTTTCCTCCGTCACCTACTACATTTTTTCCACCTCCCACAAACGGGGTGGTTTTTTTAAAGTGGTGGTCGGGAGGTTTTTTAACCCACCCACTGTTCCCTCGTTACGATGCGGACCTTACGACCGGCGTCTAGGTCTTGCTTATCGGCGAGAAAATCAGCCCTGCAGCTTTGATAGCTGGCCTCGCTGAGGGACGGTGGTGCCTATAGGGCGGAAAGGATGGAAGGGGGGATCGCGATGGGGATTTATCTTTGTGTATATATTCTATCTGCCTTCAAAGTCGTAACAGTAGCCGCATGAAATAGGTGATCTTGATTGAGTGAGTGAATGTGTGCCGAGCCATGACTTAACGCGTCCCCGGAGTAAATAATTTGCCACGGCCTCAGATGCCCTCGCGAGACTTTAGGTAGCATCGTATAATGCTGTCTATGCTGTTTTTAAAGCTGTATTCCATCTTAGTAGGTAAAGATTCAAGAATGACTTGGAGCCCTCTGTTAATATTTCTCGATGCCTTGATCTCTTTGTTTTGTAATATGACTCATACCTAAACCTTAATGTTGCCACGGCAATATCTAGCTCTACTATGTGACGCTAGGTAGGAAGTCGTATTCTTATATATCCTATGAGTGACAATATCATTACAACGAATGAGGTATTTCTGTGCCTTTATTCATTAATCGATTCTCAGGTTTGAAGAGAAGTGGGAGGCCTTCAAAATGAAGAGAGCTTCTAGATGTTTCGCCAAACTCGTGATATTACCTGGCGGCGAGTCCATATGTGCATTTATGTTGGAAAACTGTCAGACGGGTTTTGTTTTGGTGTGGGAACTGATTTTCCTATAATTTAGGCTACAAAGGGAAGTGCCATATTCAGTCACACTACAGAATATTTCCACAGAACATGCCTGATCAGGGCAAAGGGAGCTAGACATTGCCTACTGGCTTCTTGTGAGAAGATGACTACGTTAAAAGAAAGCTAGCCCTCTCTCCTCCATTGATATCAGTCCAACTATGACGAAGGGGGAGATTGCAGAGAAAGATGATGGGAATGATGCGCAATTCACCATCTATGTATGCGTATGTTGCCTCGTATATCTTGTGGCTAGCCATCAAGCGAGACATAAGCTAGGATAGAATATCTATGGCTTGCTCATTGCAAAATTGTGTGTGACTTCGGACCGTCGTCATATGTTTTGTTGATTGGAGAAATGGGGAGGGGTATGTATCTGATATCAAGAATATCCAGGGGGATGCCAGTCATCGAGCACAGATACCAATGATGTTGCTATAAACGCATGGAACATTACAATGCGATATGGTGGAAATGAGCAGGCTTTCCGTGAAGATACGAACGATACTAGGGGACTACGTGATTCGGCTGTTAATTCCCCAAATCTTACAGATAGAAGACATATACACCAGCAAGAACTCTAAAGTCACCGTTCAGCAGATTTGCCAAGCCGCACAGGCCGAAACACGTAACTGAACATGAACCTTTCTTCATCTCGCTAAACCTCGTGTTGTGGATTTCATACGCGCCACGACCAAGGCTGATATTCACAAGGATGGTCCAGCACGCAGTCAGGACATGGATGGAAATGCTGGACAGTCCCAAGACTTTGTTCAGAATCAATTGTTAATTTGCGCCAACCATGTATGAACCGATCAAGGAGTCATGAATCAACGCCCATCTGATGGCCAGTTCCCATGATCTGTGTCATTTTGTCGTGTCCTCTAGAGGTGTGGTATCGGCCTATCAGCTAATCTCCAAGCATTCAATCATGCTGCATCCGACTCAGACAGCACAGATCATGGCTGGTCGAGGAAGTCCGTAAAGTACGCCGAAATCCATTGCAAAATTTCCACCGATCGCTGATCCCCAATCCCGCTTATCGCAGACGTCTCGCTTCTCTCTCGGACTCGAGCAAGCACAGGATGTCGTCCTCACGAACTGTAGGTAGATGTTAGTATCCGTCCGATGGCAGAGCGCCCGAGAGCGTGGGTCGTGTGAAATTCAGCCACATACCGGGTCCCTTGACGTTTCGGATGATGGAACGGGTCTGGTCCTCGAGGAACTCGACGCGAACCTGGGTAACACCACCGCGAGAGCCTGTCGACTGCTGTTAGCCTTCTGTCTGCAAAACCTTTCAGGCGGTTGAGAAAGGCTGCTTCTTCGTACCGGTTCGGCCCAGGACACGAGTGACCTTGACGAGCTTGACGGGTTGCTTATCCATTGTCGCACAGTTGATTTGGCGGACTGAGAGGGTGATGGATTGGTCGTAAGGGCGAGGTGAGCGATTGGTGAGCGGTAGTGCACAATATGGTGGTTGATGAAGGAACTGGCAAATACACCCCACGATACAATGAGTGGACCCTGTCTCCTAGGAATATAATTTTGGTGCGCACCAATTTCGATGGCTAGTGGACTTATCGGGTTGGCGAGCAGGTCTGTAATTTGATTGGTCCAGCGGGAACTATAATCTTCCTCTTATCGATTGTTAGCACTTCTTATCGGTACTATATCGGAATCACCTGGCTGCAGCTGTTAGACATAGCCGACGATGTGATCTACCTAGGTAGGTAGGTACCTAAGGTACCAGTATCTTCCCTGTTATCTTATCTCACCCCCACCCACAGTCGATCTGCGGGGCCCTGACAAGGGGAAGCTTAGAATCCAAGCTCAAGCAGATCAATCATCATTGTTAGATGGATGTGTTCGGCACAATGCTCAAGAGCCCGTCAGCTGCGGCCTGTATTCACCGCAGGTCTCGGATAACTATGTGATGGGATGCAATCGACAAGCGGTCTATCCATCTAGGCACTGTCTACATCCTCAGGTAACGTATTCAAATGTGATTGCTAATCTGGTACAGCAGCTTCTTGGACGCCTCTGCTGGCTGTGCTTCTTGACATCTTGAACCAGTGACCCGTAGATATCACCAGAGGCAACCAATCGATGCCCCTGACGTTGTCTCCAATTGTTTGCGTTATCATGTCGACATACGTACTTAGTGCAACCGGCAAGGGGGGAATATGATACCGTACCACTCAATCGACTCATTTCCACTTCAGCTTCGACGGTGTGTTGCATTGCGTGCGCATGCACCCGACAATGCGGAGAAGGTTGCCAATAATATACAGGGAGTTTAGTCCGGTAACCGTCCCTGATATGTACGTAGAGTGCCTACATAAGACACATGGTCCTCCCTGGTGTTTATCGTCCACATTCCATCATCAGCATTCCCGAGTTTATTCGCGAAACGACCAGTTCTAATAGAAAACGCATCGTGAACATGTCAACAGATCAACATACGATGTCATCTGGACAAGTTTCTGCCGAGAAGGCGGCGGAAATTGGCCGTGAGACTGATGCTCCTCAAGTTGAACGAATGCCCAAGCATGTTGTCAATGCCGATCCAGACGAGGCCTTGAAGCTCGTGGCCGCGCAGTATGTCTTCCGAGGCTTCAACCTCAGGCCCTACATGCTCTTTAGCTTCAGTTATGGGCCTTATATGCATCAACTGACTTATCCTTTTAATAGTGCAGGAGAATCGATTGTACTGACTCCAGAAGAACAGAAGAGGCTGCTTAGGAAGATTGATCTTCATCTGATGCCTTTCTTGTGCATTGTGTACGGGCTAAACTACCTGGATAAGACCACCTTATCCTATGCATCGATAGTGGGATTCAAAACCGATCTCAACATAGGGGGTATGTCTCTACTATAACCCATCGAAGGTGTCCTAACCAGACATGATTTATAGTATCTGAATATAACTGGGTTGCATCGATCTTTTACTTCGGATATCTTGTATGGGAATGGCCCACAAACTGGCTCCTTCAACGACTCCCTCTAGCCAAGTACTCCGCATTCAATGTCATCCTCTGGGGCTCACTCCTCACTATCTTGGCCTCTGTAAAGGTAAAACATGACTAGTCTTATGATGAAGGACAATAGTAACCATCTCACTTAGAACTTCGCGGGTGCTCTCGCTGTACGGTTTTTCCTCGGCGCTGCCGAAGCCGCAGTCAGCCCAGGCTTTGTTTTATTCACCTCCCAATGGTATACGACACCTGAACAAGGCACTCGTGTACCTTGGTGGTTCAGCTTTAATGGATGGGGTCAAATAGTGGGCGGCGTTGTCGCATATGGGATCGCAACAGCAGACGACTCCCTTTCAATTCACGGCTGGCAGTTAATATTCATCGTTTTCGGATTGTTTACGGTTCTGATGGGTGTTGGGTTTCTATATTGGATGCCCGACAGTCAACTCAATGCACGGTTCCTGACAGAACATGAGCGCCTTTTGGCCGTGGAGCGCATACGTGTGAATCAGCAAGGAGTGGGAAACAAGCATTTCAAATGGTACCAATGCAAGGAGGCCTTCACTGACCCATTGGTATGGTCATTCGTGCTGTTTTCCTTCTTTGCGAATATTCCAAATGGTAAGCATCTTCAGTTCTCTGTCGAGAAGGCAGCTGACGGAGAGTTTGCTAGGCGGTATCACGAACTATTTTTCGCAACTAATTGTCGCCTTTGGATTCACCCCGAAGCAATCACTGCTGTTAGGCGTGCCCGGAGGGGCAGTTCAGGTCATAACTCTGATTACATTTGGACATCTTGGGCGTAAACTCAACAATCGGCTAGTGAGTATCAGCGTTCGCACGTTGAGATTGAATTATAGCACTGATAGCAGAATAGTTGGTTAACCTTATCGGCCCCGTACTCGCTATCTTAGGATTATTTCTGATCCGCTTCCTGCCGACCGAACTCAAGGGTGGACGACTCGCGGGATACTACTTGTACTCATCTGGATCAACTGGCTTTGTCTGTATACTGAGTCTTATCTCGTCTAACATCGCCGGATGGACCAAAAAGACTACAGCGGCGGCTATGTACCTTATTTCGTACTGTGTTGGCAATGTAAGTAATGTGACTTCTTACCCAGTCTCTCTGGCACCGTCTTTTTGCTTGTCATCGTGACTTGTCTATGTTTACCAACCCTTGCGGCGAAAGATTGAGTACTAATAATTCACAGCTCATTGGCCCTCAGGTCTTTCGACCAGGTGACGCACCTACATACTACACTGCAATCACAGTTATCTTGGTATCGTATATTCTGGCAGTGTTGACCATGGTTTTTATCTACATTTGGTGTAGAAGACTAAATGCTATTAATGCGGCTGTTAGAGCAGCACCTGGTTACACCAAGGTTGAAGATCAAGAGTTTATGGACCTCACGGATCGTGAGAACCCCGAGTTCGTATATGAATTATGATCTCTCACGTTTGCCGTAGCTCAAGATTGGAAGCCAGGAACACTGCTACACTTTTGTTCTTCGGAGCAACTAACATGAAGGCGCATCCACATAACCAAACTACTAGATACAATTTACCACCTTCCTCTAAAACATATCCCCGTCCCATCCCCGCCAAACGCATGATTACTATACCAAGCTATGAAAATCCTCATCTCAGGTACCTATATTACATTTTGCGGTCTTGTGGCTAGCAGGCCTCAATCGAACCTCGGATTTTCATCGGATTTCGTATCTAATCCCATCTCTAACCATCTTCGCAATTTCCAATGCTTCTTGTCTTGATTTTCTGGAAAAGACGTTCATGTATGCCACAAAAGTGTTTCTTCCGCCACTTGGGTGTGGGATTCTCTGGCCTCTTTTCAACAAGCATCCATTGCGCCCAATATGTTGTCTCAATTCCGGATGACGCTTTAGGAAATCGACACAGACATCATCAGAGTCAAATATACCCTCCCGAGCCGAATCGAACTCTGCCCGGATCATGACAAGAACAGTATGATTTTGCGCACCAGTTGCGAATGGACGCGAGAGAACAGACGCTCGCGCCTTATCCCCTGTACCCAGAAGAAGCGTGACTCCCCAATAATCGATCCCATACACTGATCCAGGTGTCTGAGAAGCGAATAATCCAGGGGGGCGTGGGTTTATCTCAATGATCCAAGGGGTTGGTACATCAACATCTTGTTCCACTTCCACAATCTCGCGGATGGCTAGGCCATTTCTCTTTCGAGGTCTCAAGTCTACAATACCACCAGCAGACTGGTAGCTGCACTTAGAGTGAGCAATGCGTGCCTCGACATGCATGACGCCGTTCCTGAACCCGAGTCCCTGAATTGTATCTTTGACGGCGTTTCGCAGGGCTGCGAGTTCGTCATTGGGCAGCGCTGAGGGAAAGACCATATTAGTCTCCTGAAAATTTCTTCGGCGGACAGGACTTGTTGCTCTTCCAATAGTTGTGTTTCCTTCATCGTCGTCCAAATCAGCACCTTTGGGGAAGTCGTCACAGATCTCGCTAAAAATGACTTCACTATCGACAAGTACCATGTTTACGTCCACCTCCGGACCCTCGCAGTACCTTTCAACCAGGACTCTATCCCCTACATCATCCTTACTTCGACCAGTTGCTCTTGCCACTTCTATGGCTTCCTCAAGCTCAGATGTATTGTCTACTCGCGTGACACCTTCGGAGTTGAGCCCGAAAGATGGCTTGACGATGAGCGGAAATGCGAGCTGATTCTGCGGACATCTGACGAGGGCTAGCACATCCTCCGCACTTGACACGAGGAAAGCGGGTCTATTTTGAAACAAGCCCAGCTTGTACTTGTTCGTAGCCCTCTCGAATGCAGAGGGTTTCTCATGCGGAAGTCCGAGTCGTGAGGCAGCAATACTCACAGGCAGCTGCAGCGCTTCGACGGATGTGGCAATACCGTCTATTTTTGCATCCTCATTCTGGGCCTTGTAGTCCTCGACGATCCTCACAAGTACATCGGCAGATGGCGCTGCCCACCAAGATGCCGGAGCCGGAAGAAGAGCTTCGTACCACGATGTGTAATTACCTCGTGCAAGCCACCCGTCCGCTCGGTCAATGAAAACGAGATCAATACCAAGTGCCACAGCAGCACGACGTGCAAACTGTGTCCAGCCGCCTCCCTCGGGGTCCTGGTTGCTGCTGCCTACGAGGATGAGGCGCTTGCGAGGTATGGGTTCCACCGAGATCCAAAGCATAGAAAGCTTGTTTTTAAAATCTACCTCTATTTCAGAGGGTATTTGGATAGAGGGCCCTGTGCCAGGTTTCAAATAGGAGTGCAACGCGGCTGCGTTCAACAGGGCAGCCCCAGCCGAAGCACGAAATATGTCCGTGAGCGAGATGGTTTCGAGTGAAAGGGGCGAGCCTGGGTAGACTTGCAGCGGAGACGCGAACGACTCCGCTTTATCTACCCAGAATGTGTCCCCGAGACGGAACGGCACAATATCAGACCTGATGATTGTGCCGCTTTGCAACGGAACAACGAATCTGGCCACAGCGGTTCCTGGATGTGAAGTCCCTACTACGGGCTGGAGACATTCGTTGAGAAACTTGAAAGCGCTTTCTCGTCCAAGAACCTCAGCTGTGAGCTGCTGGGTCCCGCCTTGCTCCGTTTGGATTATATATACACATGGCTTTGATATATGGGCCCCAAAAGGACGAGGGATATCATCTCTTGCCAAGAAAGCGACGTCGATGGTTTGCACGGGCGTGATTCCCCCAGCTTCGTCGGTAAATTTTTCAGACATGACCCATTTGCATTCGACACCGATCTCTCGAGCATCACCTTTGGCTGTCAATTATCCATGAACTGAAAAATTGAAGCATGGGGAATAACACAACATACCCGTTCTAACCCATAGCTTGGTTGAGCGCACAGCAGACATATTGGCGAAGAATGAGACTTCTGTTTGTTTCCGGACGATGAAAGGACAATTGAAATGATTATTGACTCAATGAATCCTTGACAAAAATCACCTCATGGCCGAATCTCTACGCTGTTTTATACTCGAGATTGTCGCAGCCTTACTGAAGTTGCACGTATGAATACGTATGCATGCGGTCATAAACAATGACTGCGCCGTCGGGGATGAGATGAGCTTCATCATGAGGACCCTAAGCCGCAGGCAGGTCTTACTCGGAGAATGAAGCCTCTGATCCTATACTTTGTCACTAGGACCACGGACTCGACCAGTGACTGGCCATGGGTGATCGACTCAGACTCGTAAACAAGCCCTTACTTGAGTAGGTACACAGCTACTTGTTCGCAAGCTCCGGGACCTCGAAATAATTACAAGTCTCAGCGTTTGTGAAACAGTCGTGGCAATGTCATAACCCCTATCCATGATTGTACCGCAGGTCGCCACTTAAGCGATATAGCTCCGCTTTACCAAACGCTTGGGTCCGGTCCGTTCCCTGTAGTTGTCTACATGTACCGGCTTCCGGCACGTGCTATCCTACCTCTAGGGCTAAGGAATGGCTTTAAATGGCACTGATATCGGTGTTTGTTTTAACAACAAGGCTACCAGTACGAATTATAGATTCGACCTTTGACACTGCCATGGCCCTCAGAATTCGGTTAAACAGCAATAAATTGTTGGCGTCTTTGTGTTGCTGGGCTACCATGCCTACTACCAGGGGGGAAATAGGTAAGTTAAGGGGGGTTAAGACAAGAAGCTACGTTCAGTGAAGGGAAGAGAGCAGGAGACGACAGACCCATAGGGCTGGCTATGCAACGCCGGATCTGCGCCTAACCTTTAGCGCGGAATACTCCGTGCCTATAGACGGAATGTTCAAGTTGTATGGGAAACAAGCCACTGTTCCTTACCCCATATCTTGCGCGTTGAGGCGTTGAGATACGGCCGATGCGGCTTACAGTTAGGGGCCTAGTTCCCTTAAGTTGTCAAAGGACCATGCGTCTCAAAGACATGTTTCAAATATGCAATGTACGGGTCCAACAACGGGGGCGTAAGGAGATCCTGCAAGAGGGTAAGAACACATAACAGCCCGACTAGTACCGATAGCAAGTTCTTTGGAGCCTTGACCGAGATATCGGCCGGTTGCGCGCGAGATACGTCGTCCTAGATCTGTAGGATGACACGTGTATGCCTTGTAGGCTAGATGCCCCCGCCATTTCCTGACAGTATCGGGCGGGTTTATGGATTTCGTCCGAATCCGTTGACGTTGAAGGCAACGAGCGGAGTAAGCTGCGTGTCGTAGGAACTTTTAGCGTCGGGTAATATCGAATAATAACACGACTACGTCAAATCTCCCTGCAACCTCATCTAAGATCGGCAAGCTATACCTTTCCCGACATTGTTGCACAAAAAGTTAGACATGTAGTTGTGGTAGCGCTTGCCGCTTTTCTTGTGCAACGACATATGTAATATCTAGGCCTTGCCTACCGACTTGACATCTGACCTTACCATTGAGGGAACACAAAGCGTCTATATCTGATGCCGGTGTCACACGAAGTACGCCCTGAATATTATGTGTTGATAATTCAGCTTACCGCGCCGAACATACGTCGGGCATGACACTTTTATCATCAATTAACCTGCCACTTTACCGATGAAATCGAACGATTTACAAAACTCCGGAGAAGTCACAATGACGTCGAGGGAAGGGTGGCTTGGCTTCCGGTTCAAGTACATGCACCTCGGGTTGAATGGCTTGTGGGAAGCCGCGGGCTCTCGAACAGGGTACAAATTGGGAGACTAAAGAAATCATGAAACAAAATGGCCCGCTCGCTCAACATCAACCGAACCACTGAAAAATCGACAATTACGGGAAGCCAATCATAAACCAGAAAAACAGAAAAGGAGAGTAAGCGAGAGCCGCAAGCTTACAGCTTCGCTCTGGCTTCGATGGCTTTGTGTGTGTCACCTCGTTCTTGGAAGTACTCGGCCACTTTTCTTCTCGCCACGCTGATGACGGCTGGGTCCTCGATTGTGGCTGGATACTGCACGTCTTTCTCGTAATCACCATGTACAGCGTTCTCTACGAGCTCTCTCAAGACTCTGCGCAGCGTTTTCCCCGAGCGTGTTTTAGGTATCATGCCCTTGCCTTGAATAACTCCCCCCAGCGTTGCTATGCCGCCAATCTGCCTGCGTACATGCCGTTGAATCTCTCTGAAGAGTTGGGCGTCAGGGATAGCTGACAAAGGATGATCTGGGATCGAGAGGGTGATAAAGGCGAATGGCAGCTGCCCTTTAAGTGAATCTGGTATCCCAACGACGCTAGCCTCGGCTATCGATGGATGACTCGTGATGGCTTGTTCGATGGATCCTGCAAAATCCTCAATTAGATGTCTCGCCATGCTACTCGATTTGGCAGGGAAGGATATGACCTACCAGTCGAAAGTCGATGACCTGCAGTATTGATCAAATCATCGCTTCGACTCATGATGCTGATGTAACCCTCAGCGTCAATTATACCGGCATCTATGTGTTGACGGTTAGAACCGCTGCAACTCAATATGGGACTTATTAATGTATAGGGACTCTTACCCCCTGTGTCGATCCATTTCCCATCAAATCGTTTCAAATAGCTCCTGTAAAACCTCTCCTCATCATTCCACAACGTCATAAACCCAGTTGGCGCCAGAGGTATGCCCAAGACGATGTTTCCCATCTTGCCAGGCTTGACTTCAACGCCTTGGTCGTCTACACACCTAACGTCAAACCCCGGCATAGCCTTACCGGCACTACCGGGTTTGACATATGATAGCCTAGAGCCTCTGCCACCATGGTTTTTTTTATCACGTCCTGTGTGTGGTGCGAGACTGATGCCTGAGATAGGCGACCCCGACTCGGAGGACCACCAATTATCGATGACCAAAGCCCCGGGGGCACCGTACCTGTCGACAAGTTTCTGATACATCATAATGATCGAAGGTTCGGATCTTTCTCCTGCTAAAAATATCGCCCTCAAACTACGCAATCCGCCTTGCTCTCCTATCCGCGTGAGTTGTTTGTTTTCCGAATCATCCCTCTTGATTGCCCTGAGTGCAGCTGTGACAGACTGTTAGTTTCTCCGCTGCATATGCGGATATCAAGTCCTAGCTTAGGTGTTTCAATCTTGACAGGAATCTGCTTACTAGGGGCCGTGAATAGAGCTGAGACGTTGTACTCCTGCACAATCCGCCAGAAAGCGGAGCTATCTGGTGTGCCGACGGGCTTGCCTTCGTATAGGACTGTTGCAGCCCCCCTGAGTAATGGACCGTAAATGATATAGGAATGTCCAACTACCCACCCGATATCGCTATATTTTTGGTTCAGTTTCAGAAAACCAATTTGTTTGGAACGATGAATATGCTTCCTTGGTTCTTACCTGGCTGTAAACATGACGTCGCCCGGCCTGTTGATCCCGAACAAGAAGCTTACGGAAAGATGCAGGCCGACGGCGTGGCCGCCAGCGCTGCGCACCACGCCTTTCGGTGAGCCTGTTGTGCCGCTGAGAGGAATGAAATCATTTAGTAACTCAGCCTGCAGGACATTCCGGGAAAGGAAAGCGAGTTGCTCAGCACACGCGACTCATCTTACCTGGTATAAATGATATATACCTCCTCATTCGCTCCCACAGGCACGCACGGTGCTCTGACATTCCGCGCCCTGCAGCTACGAACCAACTTGAACCAATTCCGTTCTCCGCTCGTCTTATCCAAGTCGTCCCATCTCAGCTCATTCCGCTGCCAGATGATGACGCGGTGAGGCTTGTGACTTGATAGCTGAATGGCTTCTTGGATAAAGGGCTTGTAGCTCATCGGTGGTTTGTTACCCTCTATCCCGCACGAGGCTGTGAGGATAGCTACAGGACGCGACGCATCGATGCGCTGAGCTAGAGATGCGGGTGCGAAACCACCAAACACCACTGCGTGAATTGCGCCTAGACGATTGATGGCAAGTATGCCGATCAAAGCTGCGGGGATCATGGGCACTTAGAATCTGGTGTTAGTTTGACATCATCAATTGCTTGAGTTGATTGCATCTTATATCAGGTAGAATTTTGTAAATTGGATGGGCCTGAGAAGGAATTGATAAGACAGACAATGAAGAAGGGACACAACTCACTGTAAACCAAGACCACATCCCCCTTCTTGACACCCTCATTCCTTAAAGCACCGGCAGTAACCTCGACCTCGTCAAGGAGCTGCGCATAAGTAAACGTCTGCTTCGCACCCGTGACGGGGCTATCCCAATACACCGCCGGCTTATCGCCATTCCCAGACAGCACATGTCTATCGACGCAATTGAAACATGTCGAGATCTCACCGCCGTCAAACCAGCTCCAATGCGGATGTTCGACGCCGCTGCTCTCCAATTTCTTAAGGGTCTGTCTCAGAGTTGACGTGGGTGGCTTATGCCAATGCAACTGAGAGGCCTGTGCTGCCCAGAACGACTCGGGGTCCCTGAGCGAGTGCGAGTGCACTACGTCTTGCAGATACTCGGACATGTCCAAGTATGTGTGTATGTATGTTATAGTCGCTGGGAAATAATGAGTTGGGAAGAATTGATGATGATGATGATGATGATGAAAAGAAAGGAGAGCGACTCTGCGCCGTGAGTATAAGTGATGATATAAAGCGGCGAAATAACTGGTGAGCTAGCTAGCTAGCTAGCTAGATATCGCCAGATTCGACTCTTTTTGCTTTGGTTGATGGTGGTGATCTCATTTACCTTTGTAGGCACCTCTATGTAGTATAAGGAGGTACGTAGAATGTAGCCCAACTCATCTAACTCGATATGGTGTCTCTCTTTTCTCTCTAAGTCGTCTACTCTGGTAAGTAAGTAGGTAACGAAGACGCTGTCGTCGCCGCTCAAGCAAAAGAAAAAAAACCACCAAAGAAGATAGAGCGGCGCGAGATATAAAGTGAGGTGAAAAGTTGAAGATAAGAAGAATTGGTGTCATGCCCTCTTCGGGGAATTTAATATATTCCTCGTCGAGTGATTGCTTTTTCGCCGATCGCACAGTAGGTAGTGTACCGTCGTAGGCGGTTCGTATTGAAACACCCCCGCACCCAGGAACCTGGGGGTTGGAAAAAGCGGATTTGGGGAAATTCTGGGGAAGGGATGGGGAAAAGGACCCTTGGATATTTGTACCTGCCTGCCTACCCATGAACCTACCTCTCTCTTACATTCAGTTAGCGTGTGTGTGCGTGTGTGCCAGTTATTTCATCGCCGAGGTTGAAGCTCGGTCGACCAATTCCATTCATCCGATTCGTGATTGTCATCTCTACTCGGTTACTTGGTCAAAGTATTTGAGATAACTATCATTAAATCCGCTCGGTACGTATGTTTACGAAACTCGATGGATGAGCATTAATCATGCTGTCCTCTTACCACTCGAATAATAGCCTTATAAGCGAGCGCAGTACATTCATGAGTGATACAAATTGCTTTCCATCAGCCGCGGTATCCATTGGAAAAGGCCACCGCTGAAATAACTGACAAGCTGGGACTAGATACGAGAGTGCCCTGCTAGTACTGACACCATAAGTACGAGTAGAGTGTCAAGCTTCTAGTATATCACGCCAACTGAAGCTGCAAACAAATCACATCGATTCATACATATTGTAGTTTAAATTCGATTCTGCTTCCGTCATATTTACTACGTACAACTGCTGTCAGCTTGAACTAGCCCTTACTTCTCATCCAACGAGACCGGACGTCCATGGCATATCTGATACTTTGGTGGTTGCCATTGCCTTCCCTTTTCCTACACTGATGGCAAGGGTGCCTGAGCCAGTAATGGCTCCCACTGAATCGAATTGGTACTAATCGTAATAACAAAATAAAACCGGTCGGATCGATGGTATAATTGCCCCTACTCCTTAACGCCAGGTGCTGTGAGCCCAAACCTCCCAAATACTTCTTTTCTCGACCAGTAAATTCGGTCCCATGAATGCCTGTGAGGGACGGAATCTTCGACTTAGTGCCCTAAATCGCCCTTCAAACTTGTAGACTGACCTCCAAGCAGGCAAGCTCATTATTAGAGCCCTATATACCGAGCCCCTGTTTTCCTCAATCCGTCTTCCAATGGCTGACCATGCCGCCGTCAGAACCTTCATTTCCTAGGTACAGTTCAATGGCGTAAAGACCCATGGTTGCGGCGATGTTAATCCATCGCCAGGTGTTACCTCCGGCATCACCATCCCGAAGAGTCCAGCCTTCATTATCGCTGGCAGAAAAGTGTTGTAGTAGCAGGCTAGTATATACGGCAATGAGAATGGAAGGTGAAAACCAGGACAGAACACCGAGCAATCGGTTCGCCTCATCTGAATCATCGAGAGATGGCTCTTCCATGAGTGCTCTGGCACCAGATTCTCGGACTGCAGGGATGATGCGGGTAGCGCAGTAGAATACTATTATTCGGTAGATTAAGGAAATCATCACTGAAGGCGCTATTGTCTGGAAAGCAGCATGCAGAAAACTTAACGATGAATAGACGGCGGAGGGTAGAGACCCGAGTAAGTGGAGAAAGGTCGAGTAGCTTGCCATGATAATAGGTGGTAAAGGAGGGAATTCAGGTTGATTAGCAGCTTGTTCAAGTGCAGCTGCTTCAGCCTCAGGTGATTGGTTGTAGTCCGTGAATATCTGATAAACGCAGAGAACAACGTAGGCGAACAAGAATGAAGACTCGACAGGATTTCCGCGACCGGTACCGATGCCGATGGCGCAAAGGAAAACGGCGGATGTGACTGTCACGCCTATCAGAGTCGCATCGATGTTGCTGATGGTGGGGAAGAGAGCCACTCTCCACAGGAAATATACGGCGCTCGCGATGATGGAGGCGGAGAATATAAGGAGTAAAAGCTATAAAGACTAGTTAGCAAAGACATCTTTGAAGGGGGAGTCAACATTAGAATGGCCAACGTACGACCCATGTATCGCTTCGCCCTCTGTTCACGAGCCATCGGGAAATTTGACCGGCGGCCTGGATAACGAGAAGCGTGCAGAACCCCTCAGCCATCTGGAAGATAGGGCTGGAATAACTTAGTGTCTTATCCCATCCGCCTAGAGTGACAGACTCGACAAGGCCACCATTTCCAAAAATCCATTCGGTCCATGTGGTGTGTTTATGATGACCCAGACCACCAAGGATAGTGCGCGATACCCAGTCGGTGCTACTTGCATCGACGGCGAAGTTGTGTAAGGACCATATCAGAAGGGCGGGTACCACAACCCACTGCGAGGTTCCTATGACCTTGATCAAGGTCCACCTCACACGTGAAGTCTCGGGCGTCGCAAGCTTCACAGCGCTATAGACGAAGTAGAAGCTGAACAGCGCGAGGCTGTAGGCTAGACCGGTGTCGCGTCCGCCTACATCGAAGGATATGGGTATGGAGAGTATTATAGTCAAGAGAAAGATGGAACTCGAGACGACACGGAAGAACCACCACATGGGCGCGGTTTTGGTGGCTGTTGCCGCGCCGAGCTAACGAGGCGGCTTGCCAGGGCGATAGATGGCTTTCCCGTTTGGGGGGTTTTGGGGAACGAGAGCGTATGTCGTGGCAGGACTCTCGGTGGTACTGGGGGAGGCTGCGAGGGCGATGGCAAAGTAGGATTAGAGTTGGGAAGGGCGCCGAGGATGGGGTTGTCGTTGCGATTGAGGCATACGCGTGAACGTAAGGTTGTGGTGAGCTTGGGAAGTTGTCGCAATGACGATGGCGTGATGGCAGGTCGGCGTGTTGTGCTCCGGGTTAAGGTGGGTGGGTAGGTAGTTGCGCGGTTGAGGTGGGATGTCTGTCAAGTATCCCGAGGCTGCGGAGGGAGATAAGGCAGGTTCAGGTAAAATAAGTAGCTAGCTAGCTAGGTAGGTAGGTAGATTGATAGATTGATAGACGGACAGAAAGAGATAGATAGATGAAGGGCTAGATAACAGGGTGTATGATCAGTAAGTTAGTTGTCTTCAAAGCTCCCTGCTCCAAGCTTCTTGACCTGGGCGCCTTCGAAGATGAAAGACGGCGTGAGCTGTGAAGAGGAGGGCTCGATTCAAAACTTGGCCAAACTATGATTGTGAGGTGACTGTGACATAGGCGGCCTGGCTGCTGCCCTGGCCTCGGGATAGATGGACTCGATGGGTTGGATGGGTAAGGGCTTCCGGGTAGGTAGTTACCCAAGTCTGCTGGACACAGAAATCTAAGTAAGAGGTATGTATGTACCTGGCGAAATGATGTATGTGGCACACCGTCGAGCAGTGTAGATAGAGAGTCAGTGGGAGCGATGTTGCCAGGTGGCTTATCGGTAAATTGGCCAGCAATATGGTCTTTTTCACATGCGCAAATGTGACAGCCGTTAAATTCGACAGCTGTTGGACATCTGGCTGAGAGAAGACTAAGGGCAGCTAAGGTACCTAGGCCAAATTTGCCAAGTATTGAATACCTATGTACCTATATCATACTTATCTCTTCAGACAGTAGAGGGGGAAAAATAAAAAAAAGCTGCAAGTGATATATACACACACGTGCACAACAATATTGAAACAAAACTATTCTTTCATCCTGTGATGACATATTTCATCTTTTAGGACTAGGGCATTGAAAGGCACCTCACTAGCTACAGATAGGTACATCATGTGCCTGAGGTACATACCTGCCTCGTACATGGATGTACCTAATAACGTACGAAGTAAGTACCACATGAGGAGCTGGAGGTGGAGCTGATATCCCCTTGGGCTGGTGGAGGACTGATAACACTATAACTTAAGTAAGTAAGTCTCGTGGTGAATCTGGCATCATTGTGCACAAGCTTGAAAGTACAGGTACCTACACCTGATGGACTGATCCCTCTGGCTGGCCACATTGACCCACCCTCTATGTGATGGTATGGGCTCAATTGGTCTGTATTGTGGGTGAAGTTGTAGGAGTCTAAGTCTCGGGGTCTGCCAAGAACCACTGTGGGAGACTGTATACCTAGGCTACGTACAGTGGGTGGTAGTAGTGGGTCTGGTCTCACACTCTAGCCCCTCTGAATACCCCTCCAGCTCCTCAGCTGAGCTGTACGAGGGTAGGTACCTTCGCCGTCACCTGCATCGAGGATCAAGACAGCGTCCAAGGACCCAATTCTTATCTACCTGAGGTTAGGTACGTAGATAGCTGCATGAGTATTGTAGATTGAGTGCGAGATCATAAAATTGTAGTATAGTGAACCGGGATTATTTCAACCTCGATTGTCTTCATAATCCATCTATTTCTGAAATCCAGAATGATAAAGCTGGGTGTGCATGACAGTATAAACATCTCTTACGATGTATGGGATCAACTCACTGAACAATTGTTGAGTTTACATCTATAATGATATGCTCTCAATCGCCTCATGTATTCAAGCAATCCGAGTGACAGTTCAACGGGCTCTGCTGAACGAGCTGGGTCGTCTTCATCCGCTTACTCAGCGTTTCAAGAGCCATTATCATGGATGGCCGTGCTAAAAGGCTCATCCTTGTCAGAGACAAGAAACAACTTCATCCAAAAATTCAATTAATTCCACGAAAGACATCAAAACTCATTTCGCAGCTCGTTAGCTCTGCAAAGCTCCTGAATCTTATCGCAGAGCCGTACCTTGAAGTGTAGCCATTAAGATCGTGGCAGGGCCAAGATGTCCTTTCAATTTGTGAACCAGTCCGATATCACTAATACCAGGGAAAGAAAGCTGATCCGCAGTCATGTCATGAAAGGGAAAAATCTCGGCAAGAAAAAGCCAAAGAGAAAGCAACAATCTGAATCGACACCTAGTACACCCATCGTATCCGAAAGGCCGGAAATCGATAACGGGGCAAGTTCGTTAGATTTGCTGAGATCTTTACAACGCGAGAGCTCCGTGCCTGTGTCGGTGCCTGTGATATTTCGTCAGGTTGCCAACGAGTTCAATACCCTAATCTCCATGACAGGAGTCAATGTCACTTCGGAGACTGTATCTTACATTCGACACAGTAGGCTGCCCAACGAGAACTTTCTGCAGTGTATAGCTAATTGCAACTTAAAAGTGTTCTTCTATGTCCTCGACGTCACCTCGCCCGCCAAGTTCTGTCAGTCTACTGGGGTCACGGCGCAGATGTGGGCTCATCTCGCAATCCATAACAAAGCATGTAAGGCACGAAACTACCCTACAATCCGCATTTCGGGGCTCACTACCAAGAGTAGACTTCCATTGCACCATCGCCATGGCTTCGGCTTGTGCCGCCTTTGTCGCTGGGGATTCTTATCACTCCCCAGTCGCACTAGGTCACATGTCCCAAGCATACCGCCTCTTAAACGACAGACTCTCAAGTAAAGAGCCTTTATCCGATACTACGGTAGCCGTTGTGGCAGCCATCAACGTATATGATAGGCTGTATGGCGATCCACAGAAAGCCATGGTTCATCTGAATGGGCTCGTAGATATGATAGCGTCAATAGGGGGCATCAGCGAGCTCGCGAAAAGAAATATCATCATAGCTGAGAAGATATTCCAGTACGTTCGACATTCCCTAAACGCAAACACAGCTCCCTATTGAGGAACTGACATCGTCGTTAAGATGTGATATCGAGCTCGCGCTGTCATGCGGCTCAACGCCGAAATTCTCTACAGCAGTCGTACCTCCAAATCTTGTTCTAACAAGCCCCCTCTGTTGGCATCAACCTCATGGCAGCGGAGACGCGGAGCTCATGAATTCGGTTCTGTATCAATCAGTAAGCGCAGAACTCGGTGAACCAGTACTCGAAGCCCTGCGATTTTCACGCATCCTCGATCAAGCCACCCACGCTCAGAAACTAGATTCACTAGCCTACCAATGCACGCATATCTACATCGGCTACCGACTCCTCGAGACGAAACTACATAACGAATCCGGAGCCGGCACGGGCCTCGACGCTTTAGTGCACGTGGCCTTGACAGGCTTCCACAATACCTTCTGTTTCAGCATCGGTGGGAAGTTGCTGGCATTTCCGCTCATTATGGATCGGTTCAGAACAGCGGCACAGAGCGCGCGCGGAGACGACAGAGTGCAGCAGATGGTGGTCTTCTGGGCATTGCTTATGGGGAGGATATCGGCGCTTGCAGGCGACGACGATACTTGGCTTGTTGTGAAAGTAGAGATGCTTGCGCGGGACTTGGGACTTCGGACCTGGGCTCAAGTAAGCGATGCACTGGGCACGTTCCCCTGGGTTAAGGCTGTGCACGATGCTCATGGAGAGAGATTCTGGCGCGCGAAGATTGAGCGGGGATTGCCTGTCCTAGTTGCCTAGGTGTTTGGACTTTTAGATGAACCGAATGATTGCATAGTAATAGTGTCGTGGAATGGAATGGAATGAAAATTGATTTCTCAACACATAGGGATATCGTAGCACATTTTATGAATATAATTGCATATATGATTTCGACAAAGCAGACTTCAACGGCTCAATGGTCTAGTGGTATGATTCCTGCTTCGGGTATTGACGCCCTTCCATCATACATGGGAATGCAGGAGGCCCCGGGTTCGAATCCCGGTTGAGCCCCATTTATTGCATCTTATTTTGTCATTTTGCTGCCCACAACTAGCACGATAACTTTTAAAGTTTGCCTTCTATTTTGAAGAATACCCTTCTACATTAAATTTTAATCCCTCAGATAATCAATTCGATTACCCCTATCCATTTCCTTACGTTACGGAACGGAACGGGCGGCTATTGTAGAGGACGTCCATTTTCCTTACCTCCAAAGTTCAATCCTAAAGCCCAGGTTAAACGCCAACCGGTCCTTATTGGCCAGAAGGAGTGATTGTTCGTTCCATCGAAATCTGTAAAGCATATATATAGCCTTTAGCTTTGTGTGCAATGCGGAAGAGGAGAGGATAACTCTAAGTTTAATATCTCTTCGTACCATACTTTCCGCCCGGATCATAAATGAATTTTGCTCCTTGTTTCGCATTGTAAACGTGTTTTGCCCCTTTATAAGGGAACCAACTTGGACTGCCTGGCTTTATGTATGCAGTTCCAGCTTAAAGGGCAGGACCAGCAGCGATAATAGAATGACTCGCTATTCTCAATCCCGCAAGTGCTGGAAATATTTTATCATATGTAAGCTTTGCTGTTGTTTGCTCGCCCAAGTAAGTTTGAGAGAAAGTTACATTAAATACTTAGTTTAAGAGGGCATTAACAACACACCTTATATGCTGATCGTGCTATGTAAAAGCTTTCGTTTTCACTATGGATACACACCCATTATGTGCTTTCAAACAACCTTGACCTCAAGGAGACATAGTAAATAAGTTTCATAATAACCTAGATTGTATATATTGCCAAGCCTAGAATTTTATAATTTCTCCTAGTATACGTGCTCATTCCTATCCACCACAGCGTCCTCGACACCACTTCTTGACCACCTCAATCGCAACCACCACAGAACACCCAACAGACAGCCGCTGCTTCGTCACTAGCCATTTGCTTTCTCCACTGTCGTCAATGTCTTCGTCTTGACATCTAGCATCGACAGTATTCGCCTGCCGCAATTCTGATCTCCTACTTACACGGGTAATTCCAAATATCTCATTCAAGATATACGCTTAGGTATGTACTTTATCTCTGTTCCAGCTTTAGGACTCTCCATCTTATCCATCTCTCACTTTCCACTTGCCCCTCTACCCGTAAAGGGGTAATAACACGTTTTGGTACCTACCCACGTTGGAGAGGTTCATATGCTGAATTTCGTGAGGATCTAATCATCTACGTATATGAGAGTGTGATAAGAACGAAGGAGTTCCCAGACAAGAAGTGAAAAGAAATCGAATAATCTATATGTTTGAAACGGCCAGTTTTTACTTGACTCCATCTACTTCAGCTAGTATGAATATAATAATCATTTTGATTATCAAGACCCCTTGGCTTGATAAAATGTGGATGGTATGTTATTTTTTGCACTAAGTTCAAGCATATAGGTACCAGGGAACCTACTGTTGAAGGTGTAAGTGGTAAAGGAGTTAATTCATGTATACGGTACGGGTCAAGGGGCACGAAGGCACAGTTCATGTATATAAGACGGTCTTCCCACCTCACTCAGATCAAGTAGTTCAGTTGAATGCAACCCTCATATACCTTCCATTTTAGCACCCACATAGCCTACGTAGTAGGTACTTCTATTTGCCATTCTTCACATCTAGCTTCTAGGAGTCAGATAGGAGAAAAATGTATGGTCTAGTGGCTGATCAACTAGGGTAATTTTGTAGTTTCACTTCTGCAATATAGAATAGAATTCGTCTATTAAAATCCATATCACATAGACATATCCGCTAGACGAGGTCAATATGGCGCATGTTGGTGCCCAATATTTATTAGACACGCTATCCGCCCGTGATACAGAGATGCCTATCCTAATCGACAGACCATTCCGAAACCCAGCTAGGGAGCCCTGGCAAGCGATGCACCCGTTTCGGTAAATCTCATGCCGTCGCTACCGTCTTGTACGACAAACTGCGACTTGCGAGGAAACTCAGGTTGCGCTCCGCTGTGATATGACGCAATGCGAGATTCCGATAGCAGTCTGCAACAGGCGCTAGATAACGAGGCACGAAGCTTGACGCTCATCGTCCAGTCCGCGAAGTAAACTAAGCTTACCGTAGACGCGGTCGCGCGAGTTACCACGATGCATCCCTTCCAGGTTCCAGTGCAGCCATACTGGAAAGAAGCGAAAAGGGGGTCTGCACATGCAGTGTACGAGTAACGCCCTAGCCCCGCCGCTGATCCGTGAGAATGGCGATGTTTTGCTCATCGGACTACTGCCACTAGACCCCTCTAAGGTAATCACCTCACTATTTGTACCGGTGAAAATGGGTGTCTCTATGTCTTTATTGTAGATACAAAACGGTCAAGGCGGTCTTGCCCAGCTTGGAAAATGGCAGTTTTCCCGAGTGCTACGTCATATATAACACAGCAGAGTTAGTAGCTAAGAAGGGGAGTATGAGTTTACGTCGTGGTTCGTTAGGAGGCAGGAGCGATGGAATATGGGATAAACGGCCTAGGGGAACTAACCTGGTGCACCCAGACGCGTTCAAACCATGGTCGTTCCCGGAGTTACATGTAGGTGTTGGATATCCGCCTTGTAAATATTTTATCATAGTCCTAATGCGACCATGATAACACCAAGCCAGGCTGAGGGACTTTTAGCTATCACATCATCGCTGCTATTTTTCCGCAGTATGCTCAAGCCTCGCCTTCGCTCTTGGGGAAGCGGGCATATTTGTCACCACTGCAGCGATCAAAATATTATCGCACTGCGCAAGAGCAAGGGGACCGAGCAAAGACATACAGCAGGAGTACAGTATCATGGAAGGTAGGCCAGCTAAATTTTATATTTTTTGTAATTTCTTTTTCTGTGAACTACGAAGCATACCCATGATATCTAGAAACTTTTGTATATGTCCGAATCTGACCGACCGACCCTACCATTCCCTCCCTTTATCCAATTCCATGCAAGCCCAGATTTATCGGTGCTATTCTAATGACCGGCTCGCTTCCCATGATCGCCCGCTAGATAGAAGAAAACTGGTGGGCGCAGCCCTGTTAGGATATCCAATAAAATGCATAATAGAAAAAAATCAAGTAGAGAAAGAAGAAATATAAAAAAAAATAGGACCTCTATGTAGGATGGACAGCGAGAAATAACTGCCTGCTCCCTCATCTCCCCGACCCCTCAACGTAAGTCTGTCCAAGATCAATGATCTTCAACGTCCTCGTCGCGCCCAGGATACATGATATCCTGCTTGATAACAGCCCTAATATGAGAGCCAAGCACAAAGAAATACATAAGGACAAGTAATATCGATATCGCCGAGGTGAACCTCAGGACATGCGGGTTCTTGAACTCCTTGGCAATGGAGATAGTGGCTAGAATGAAACCGGTGTTGGGAAAGACCATCGCCCACCAGCCGAGATGGAAGTATTTAGGGGGCGACCTGATCACAGCCACAGCCGCAATGCAGAACCACCATAGTGAGAGGCCCCATAGGAAGATGGCGGATATCAAGGCGAATGTGCGGATGACGCCGACGTCGAGTGTGCCGCCTTGCATACGGTCGAGGGAGTCTGGTAGTCCATTTGCCATGCCGATGAAAGCGAGGGCCGTGAAGGCTGGGGGGCCAACGTTCATGAAGAGGCCGGGACGGTGTTCTCGGTTTGGTAGGTCTATGGAAATTAGTGAAGTGATCGAAGGGTGGAATTGTAAGGGTTGAGAACTTACCAACTTGCATAAGTCTTCCAATCATGTGCGAATACATCATAATAGACACCGATATGCCCAAGCCCTGAGCCCCCAAACCTCCAACGATTATGGGAAGAGCGGAGATATCAGGCTGCGACTCGGCTATCACGGAAGCAATAGTTCCGGAGAGCATGATAGGGAAGATCGGCAGAATCCAAGTCGGCATCATCGTAGGCAAGGCGTACTTGTGTTTGGCGAATAGATGGCTGTACTGTCCGACGGCTAGGGAAAGGGTAATGAGCAAGTAGCCCCAGAACGCAACGAGGATAACCCATCGCAGAGGCCTGTCGTTTTCCGGCACAACATAGCGCTCAGTGCTTGTAATGATTGTAGCGATAGCTAGGAAGAACGTGGGGAGAAAAAGTCCTTCGCGGGGATGAGTGACCGAATTGCGCAGGTCATCACGATGTAAACAGAACCGAGTGATCATGCAGATGACGAGAGTTAAGAATATGACAAAGTTGATGATGTATACAGCAAATCCTATTTGTCGCAGGCCAGGAAATTGATAAGGCTGAGCAAAGATCACTGTGAAGATATACTGTCAGTTTTTTTTCAGAATCGACGAATTGAAATCATATTCAAGGCGAGATATCGATCGATATCTACATTTGAAGCGATTTGGCAATAGTATTAGAGCGTGACTACTCACAAAGAGATAACCCTCCAGTGCTCATCGGCCATGTAAACCAAGCCCATGTGAAATGATGTATGCGTTGACGAAAACCTAATTTTGGTCGATTTGGGTCATAGATATCGATGCCATCATGAGCACCTTTCTTTTCTATGTCGATATCAAAGCTAGGTCGTCGAGAGTTAACTGCGGTTGGGACATCTTCAAGCGCACTATCAAGTCTCCCATCGGTTCGGTGATTGACCGTGTGGAGAAGCAGTCCTCTTGATGAGGCCTCTATAGAACCAAACGGGCTGGTCATGGAGTTTGCTAGAGTGCCTACGGATTTCGATGAATCCCTCGTCTGCAACTGTGGCCTCTCTCCCATGATTGGCGATAGATTTCTTGAATAAAATGACAAATCTTCAAAATTGTACTAAACAGGATTAAGGGAGTGTAGGAATGAGATTAGATAGTATGGAAAGGCTCGCTGAAATTCATGGGGTTTCGAACGACAAAAAGTGAGAGAACTTAGCCTGCTAGATATACTCTGTAGGTTGTAGCGAGCACTAAAACTTGGACTAAGATCTTAGCAACGGAGTCGTATAATCCGTACGATCTATCCAGCTATTACTGTGTTGCAGATCGTCAAGAGCGTGCAGGTGGCTTGGTACAAGTGCTTGCGTAACCGCAACATCGCAAGTCCAATCATCGACTTAGCGACACCATTTGTGCTTCTCTTCCAATGGGTCATATGCGTTTCGGTAAACAAGACTGTAACGCTGGGTGATCGGCAAGGTTAATACGCGTCGAGGAACGCATATTTTTCTCCCGAAAGTTTCTCGTGCATGTGTGCCGACGTAAACTTATCAGCTTCATAGTATACAATCAACAGTTTCAACGTTGGTGGTATGAGAATCACATGGATAGCTTGCGAAGTGGACACAGGATAATGCCCAAAGTGTCGGACTTGATCTTGGCAAGGGGAGTCTGATATTGAATTTGTAAATCACTCCGAAGAAGTGTTGGTTGAGTGGATTAAAACGGGTCCAAGAGGAAATATGTTTTGCCTAAGAATAGATAGCTCCCGCAAGGCCTTGTCCCAAGTTGTGGTGATCGTCAGGATATTCACAACTGCCGAAAGTCTATACGTGGTTCAAGCAACGAATAGTGCGTCATGGATGGCTCGAGCATCACACTTGGTATTAGTGGGGGACAGATGCGTTGAATCGATTATCATTGCTATCTAGATAGTCGAATCTACAGAACAATTATTAGCGCGATCACGACATTCCCGGTAAAGGAAAAATGACTCTCAGAGGTGTTACATCTGCGCGACGTTTACTGAAGCATGATGACTTCAGAGGTCGTCGACAAAGAGCGCCAAGGTGATACAGAGCCAAGATGCCAAGAGAGTGTTTAGCGGTTGTGTCAAAAGATGAGCCACAATCCAAGACAGACCAAGGCCGTCGTTATCAGCTTGGCATTGCAGGGATCGATATGAGCCGCAAGAAGGATGCTAGAAGCTTAAAATTGCTATTCGAAGATAGTTGGTTTCGTCCAGGGGTATTACTGACCAATGTGGGAACTGGGCATCAATGATCCCTGTGTACAATAATGTTTCGTGCACTCGACCACACCTTTACCTTGGACAGACTTGGAGATAGGAGACAGGGAGACCGATGACACCTTTCGGGCCGCCGTGTGTGCCCCTGTGCGAATCGTTTCCATGTCCCACTCGGACGCGCCGCCTATGGGGCCGGTGATACGCATTGCGACGGTACGTCCCCATCTTTGTACGCAACTCACAGACAAAGTTTTGGATTTGAGATGTCAGAAATTTGCAGTGGGTATTCGACTTGGTCTTCCGTTTCGTTTGACAGCATGCGGCTCTTGGCCCGTCTTGGCCGATCGCCAGACGTGCGTGCGTGGCGTTGTAGGAAGCTATCTAGAACATCAGTAGCGTAGAGCACGACGTGTCGGTTCGACTGCCGGATAGCTGTGGTGTTTCGGCGTACGCGTTAGAGGACAAGCTCTCTGTGCTGTTGCTCAATACATTGGTTATCGTGACACAAGGCCCTTGGCACCGAAGACCTGGCGGATGGCGACAGTTCTTTTCGGTGTGACAACGGTTACTCGGCTCAAAAATCAAGGTGAACTGACGATATTACCTTCGCGTGAGTTGGCACTCACCTGGGTTGTGGCGTATTGCCCAGATGACCTGCATATCTCCCAGCCTCCCCGGGTATGTAGCGAGGCACCAGTGTACTGCTAGTGTTCGCGGGGGCAGCGGGTAAGAGGTCTTAGGTAGGTGGAAGAGGAGGAGGAAGAGGAAGAAAGCTTTCACGGCGAATGCATGTCGAGAGCCGCGTGAAGTGAAATGATCCATGACGTTCGCTTGTTTTACCAAGCCGGGAGACATGGAAGATGGTCTGAACATGGCCTGGGTCATGGGTTGTTTGGGAACGCTAGGGCCCATTGTAGATGTCTGGATTTCCAGAACAGGCAACCCTGCACTGCCGGGCCAAGTGCCTGTCATGTACCGTACCTACTTCGCCAAGTGTAGCCGTGTAGTTGTGGGGCCGATTTCGACCGATGCCGAGCCTCCTAGCCGATATTTTTTTTCATGGTTTTATATAGAAAATATGGGAATTACTTGTGAGCTTCTAGGTTATGGATAGTAGCGAGTCATGGTGAAAAAAAGAGAGAGAGGGCCAAAATTTTATTTTTATTATTATTGTTATTATTATTTTGGGAATAAACAAGCAAAGGGCAATGCGTAGCTAGTAATTTAGTCCGGAATCACTCCTTCCCTCGAACTTTGACGACAGGGACTAGGGCAACTTCTTATCATCGCTTGCACCGCGGCCATGATAATGATGATGATGAGAAATGAAACATGAGGCATTGTAATATTCATCTCGCACCTGACTCCCCACGAATAAGATTTTTAAAGTCGACTGGTTGTTTCATACACCAAGAATAGAAATGATAGTGGTCTTCGTAAGCTCATCAGCAACTGTGTAGACGTGTCTAGGACGGCGAAGACACTGCCAAGTGTTTTCTATTACTAGGCATACAACATGAACTTTCATAGTCACGTTTTATGAGCAAATACTAAGCAAAACTTTATGTTCCGTTGCGCTAGACGATGGCACGTTGAAAACGCAGCAAAAAGTGCCCACCGAACCGGAATTTTGTCTGCAAACCCCCAGATCGGTGCATCGTGAGTGTACACATGTGCATTCTTCAAAAGGCGCCTACCCTACTGATTATGTTTTAGGTAGCGACAATCGGTCCTACTAGTATTCGTGTTACGCCTCATGATTTTCCCCAGAAAGGACCCGGTGTGAGATCTTCTTCTGCATATGCATCACTCCGATACTAATGTGCCTTTACGTTGCAGTGCATCATCCGTGATAGCCGGCCCGTCCGGCTTCCCGGCACCACAGTCGAACACTCTACTCGGCGCTCTGAAGATTATTTGGTGATGGGGATATCTCATAATGAAGATATGTTATGAAGTTATACGCTCGCATCTCCCAGGTACTTTTACTATCACCAGGTACAATGCTAATACACATCTAATCAACTACGACGATATCTAGAAGCATATTACCACATGAGATGTTGACTAGCTTGATGAACTCATTCCGTGTGTCAGTGATTCTTCTCAAGTAAGACAAGACACTAGAGGCTCTAATCCCGCGCCAGCCGAATGCACCGTGATTGACGGGAGTGATCCGGATATCTACATCGCCAAGGTCAGTGTCGATCGCTGATAATGCCGTAGCATTGACCGCTCCGAGGTCGCTTACTTCCTCACTGACAGAGCAATTAAGTGTTGTAGAAAGTCTGACCGTAATAGTGATCATATACGACGGACTGTGTAACTCATATGAACGCAGACACTCACGAAGCAGGTAGGAAAAATGGAACCAGTCACATTCAAAAATACAACCAAGGTTTAACCAGCGAGTCAATTCCAAAGGTTTTGGGCCGCCCAGTCGATCCTCGATCCTCATGCTGTATAAGAAAAAATGGACTTGCGCTTTCGGTGTGAGCAGTGAGGCATCTGTGTCGTATTCTCAGACTCTGTGGGTGTTATTGTAATACATCTAATCCTATACAAGGTATATTCCCATACCGAGGAACATAAGGAGATCAAAGACCCCAAAATTTTCATATGCCTGTCATATCTATCTGATCGTGTGGGAATGATACTAGCTTCTCGACGGGCTGATTGACTTGATTTTAACGAGGGTGGTGGTTCCCAGAAAGTCAGACCATTCTGTTAAAATGTAACGAAGGGGGCCAACGATAAAACTGGCATAGTGGTTCACCGTGATATTCGGTTCAACATGACGCGATTTCTGTGCTGGCTGAGGGCCTGGATGTCCACCAAAACCTGTTCTGTTTCTTGCTGTGCGTTCTCCACAAGGCCACGCCTTTTCTGTTCGGTCCTTTCCTTCTGGTATTGCTCTTCGGCATGCTGACAAAGGTCTTCGAGTGTGTGGAATTTAGGCTCTTCCCCGCTCAATGTCTGGTAGGGAAGGCGTGATGCGGAGTAAACCGTGCACGTCTCAGGATCAATCGGCCGCAAACGACTCTCCTGGAAGTCTGGGTTTTCCAACTTCTTCTGTATGGAGAACTCGGGCGTCCAAGGGACCGACTGAAATTTGTCCGCTTCCATAACGACACGCCAGTCGATCAGGTCAGTGGCCCAGGCGGGACCGCTGGCACAGCGGTAGATGAAGGTATATATGGCGAGCTCTTTGTTGCGTAGCCATTCCCACTTCGCCTTGCACTGATCCAGAGTATGGCTAGTGCTATTGTGCTTAGGGCACCATCGCTTGAAGCCCTGTTGGCGTTCTGGGATCTCAGGGTCGAGAAAGATGGTCATGAAATCTTCTGTGATGTGCCTGTTGCTTCGACAGATACGACAGAAAAGCGTCTTCCCGAATCTATTTGAGAGATAAGGCGTCGGGGGAGCGCTTGAGCTTTCGAGACTTTGCTGATTTTGCTCCTCGACTCTGGCTTTTAGTCGAGCAACCTGCTCTGCTTTAGTCATGCGTTTCGTCGTCGGTCGCACGAAAGTGAGGTCGATGGGAAGCTCGGTGACGGCATATATCTTGCCGTCTTTGGCCTTTTGTGAACCCTTTTTGAGATCAGCCCCTAATGCCAGGAGGAAGTCTCGCCGGAGTCCCAGAGGTCCCATTTCTAGGGTCCCTCATTGGGAGGTAAGAGGCTGCTGCAATAAATTACTGTTCATCTGAGTTCTTCTTTGAACTGCGCGTGCCTGTCTGATTTCATGATCTGACCCTGACGTGTCATCTCTGCGACGCTTCTGTTGGTGGCCTTGTTGGCGACCTCTGTCTGAATCTTCTTGACGGTTGGCATCGGGGCCACCGCCGGGATTGGTTTGACTCATCTTCGTCTCCCAAATCCTGTTGCCGTGGTTAGAGTCTCGAAGAGTCAATGTGCTTGGGCAAGAGGTTGCGGGAGGTTGGCGAGCGTGAGAGTGTGTGAGATGGTGGATGTGGGAAAGATGGAAAATGAGTTGTTGGGGTGAAGGGTTGTTCAAAGGTCAGGTTTGTTTGCGCACGCCAGATGTGGTTGCCTGATAGAAGTATCCAAGTACCTAAGTTACCACACATCAAAAAGTCTATCAGGTCTACATCCGTTACGGATGGCCGGATACCTTTAAGGAAGACGACATGGAGGCATTGAAGGCTGAATTGTTAGGAGTAGAAGAGGAGTACTGGGCCGAGAGTAAGAGGATCATGGATCAACATAACCCAGACGCAGCTCTATTTGATTCAGATTAATCAAGGCAAAGATGGGTGTTGGAATGATATGGTTTAGAATCACCATCCTTACCTGCGGAGGCGAGAGATGAATAATTGGTTTGGGTCCACATGCCCATATCACCACTAGATAGACTTATTGGTCTTGGATCTCGCAAACCTAGGTAACTTCGGTTTCAAAATCCTGGTAAGTTGCAATATCTTCACGCATACTTTTAAAGCCTGTCAATAGATTTACATATACCTAGATATAACATTATTGTTCTTAAACGACAAGTTAGTATCAGACTACCTCTTTCTATGTCAAGTATAGGTAAGAGAATGAGAGTCTGAACAACTAAGTCTGTATTGTGTATGGTCACATCTCTTTCTTCCCCTTCTTCCCGGTTGCCACCGACTCTTGGTACGCCTCTAGTGGTGTAAACTTGCGTCCGACAGCCCCCAAGCCTAACGTGTGCCCGATCAACTGTGCCACCCATAACACAAGCAATGACCAACTCTCATCCATACCCCTTACCCAACGTTCCACACACGCTTCACCTAACAACCTACATATAGCGCCCTGGAGCCATGTCCCCGCTACTAATGCAGGCACATCCAACATAACGGGCACATTGTCCAGCTCGGCAAAGATCACAAACAGTCGAAATGTCACCCACCAGTCCCACATCCTCCTTGCTGGAAACCACCAGGGCGTCTGCTGTAGTATGACAGTATTCAGGTTCCAGAAGAAAACTGTCTTCTCGCCGTCTGCTGGATCCGTGCGCTCTATCACCACGACGTCCTCTTGAGCGAGATCGCAGTCGGAAGTTGCGTGACTAGTTGTCGCACGTCCCCAATCGTGCCATACCCCGCGCGGTACAGCGATCTCAATGGGAGCATCGCCGGGGCGGACATTCACAGTCTCAACCCTGGAATCGAGGCGGACTCTCACGGAGCCGCGATGCACGACGAGGTACTCATCGTGTGAGCGGTGGAAATGCAAGCCCGAAGACCATGTTGAGCCTGCCGGGAGGGTGATGATTGTCTGTGCCGGGTGGCTAAGGTCATATGTTACAGACGCCGGGGGTTGGCGTGTAATGATTGAGTCCATTGTGGACTGGTACGAATTGGAGTACGTTACTGGGACATGGCAGCAATAAGAAAGTACGGACACATGTCCCAATAGCTGTCCAGGTATCGTGACTATATACCCAGGTAGCTGACAAATCAAACGCAAAGCTGACATTGCTATACCTAGAATTTAGTAGCTGTAGATCATGCCGCACGATTCCCTTTTGGAACATTAAGGTCTACGAAGTAGGGTTCTCTCGTGATGAATCCATCTCTATCTCTCTATGGCAAGCTTTAGAAGTATGTGTGCAGATGTTGTATTGCGGAAGTCTTCTGCCAGACACCGTCCTCAATACAGTATAGGACACTGTCTAACAGACAGTGACTAGATGACAACATCCGGAGCCTAACACTTTATTATTCCTAATAAAGTAATCCTGGTAACCTCGGCTCGGGTTGATTCCGCCGCTGCGAACGGCGGTACACACCTTACGAGTAGCGCGGGACAGCTTAAGATGTAGATCATATATAGGTAGATAATGCGACGTCGGACACAGCACTAATAAGACATTCCGTCAAGTGTAAAATTATTGATTCATTATCGCGTTATGTACCGGCAATTCTTGCATACTTTGCATGGACCAGCTCCGTTGAGCTCAACAGCCAGTAGTCTGTGATGCATCAGCGCATTATGTTCTGGACTCCAGAAGTTGACTGAAGAGTAATAGCAGGCATGTGTCTGGTCATTTCTCAGGATTCCATGGCTGCTGTTATACCCATGGTTGCTTAGATCTGTGAATCATGTGGGACTAGATCGCGCGACTGCTTTCACTTCTAGTTCTATAGCGCACAATCCTGAATTTCGATTGTACTCCATTTGTAGAGATTGCGACCTTTTTTTACGACAATGTAATATTAACTGGAGAGGATGCGTTGATGCTGGAGTACACAGTAGGTATGCTTGTGCCAAGTGGAGTTACCAAACTTTACCCAGGCTTTCATCTGGGCTACTTGCCCGATACGGACTTCCGTTGATTTATGATTGGAGAAAGTGTCAGACAGCCTGAAAGTCTAACGCACTGTTCTCTAGACTAAATCGACCTCACACAAGAGACTACGAGGGTGAGGTGGATTGAGGTTCACATCCATCACTAAGTGCTTCGAGTCATCGCGATAGGTTAGATGATTCCTGAGTGGCAACATAATCTTAACATAGAAATAGAAATAGTCATGGTGCTGTACCATTGTGGTGTTTCGATTTTAATGCAGCGCAATTCCTGGTGTCCCATTCCTAGGTAGGCAACAGGTATTCTATACATGCCATCTGTGAGCCCAACCCCGAACTTTCTACCAGCGTTCATGCGAGAGCATGCAGTCATATAAACCCTATGGGAGTCACGTCACATACCGGATTCTGTATTCATGAATTTGCTGAACCTTTGCCCCAGATATGACCTACTGTGTGCAACTGAATGGGATTTCTGACGGCGCTAATGGTGTTCCTGATTAGCTCATTCGTACATGGCAGAGGTTCGGAATGACCCGTCTCTGCAGCTTAACTCGGTTAAGTTCGAGACGCATGTGCTATAACGCATCTCACTAACAGCTTCATGCCCTGTCATTAACCCATAAGCCGAATCGAATTGGGTTATTGATTGAACCCCCCTGCATTTAATGTGTATAAAGCAGATACCTACACGTCGTATCGAATACTCTGACTCATAGTTAACAACCCATGACAACTAGTCAAAGCATATTCTGCTCTCTCTTCTCATAAATATACAGAAGTTATTCACCAGAAACCCATCGCAATGGCAGTGCCACTCCGTCCAGATCAGCTCTCCACCCCGCCACCGGTTGCTTGGATCTCCATGGCAGGCCGGCGCCTCTTGTGGACCCTCCAGGGCCCCCTCAGTAGTTCTATATTCGTCCTTCCCGAGGACTGCAACCCGGATGGAGCGCGTGATTTATTATACCGCCAGACGCGCACAGAGGCGACGTGGCACCCAATCGCCCAAGAGCCCATGACACAGACACCAGTCGCATCACTCACAGTAATCGAGCAGCATCTCGACGACTGGCAGGATGAATGGTACACGATTAACCAAGAGGGGTTTGACGAGGACGTGCAGCCCGACACGGGTGACTTTCCACCTGAGTTCGACCCGCTGATCGTCAGGGCATCGTCGAGGGATTATGTAACGGTGCAGGATTTTGTGTCCGCCGTGCATCCCTGGCTGATGGAGCGGCGGGAGGATGTCCAGAGGGCGATGAATGTCGCTGATGAAGAATATACTCCGCCCACGGACGTGAGGTTGTTGGTATCGGCCACTAGACCTGAGGAGTTATCGGTCAAGGATGAGGCCGAATGGATGTCAGCACTGAGGTGGAACTACGAGAGACAGCAGCAACAGCAACAATAGCTACTAGGGGGAGATCTCTACACGTTGGTTGAGAATGGGATAAATCAACTCGTTCTATTCGAGTGTTGTATTACTGAGAAAGTAATGGTTGAATTCTTTCTAAAAACTACCTAGACGCCCTCCCGCCAAGCCTCTTCCTTAAACCAGACATGAGCATCATGTGATCCGAATGCATTCATTTTTATTAGTACTCTCCCAAGCTCGTCTTGGCAACGGCTCTTTTACTGGCTTGGCAATGTGTTGTTGGGGACATCTAGTCTGGCATCATTACTGTTGGTAAGACGCACCGCGACCATACATCAACCTAGCCTAACCGAGATGACTTTTTAAAGCAATTTCATACATGCTGGGGTCGGCCAACAGCGAGACTTAAATCAGCTCGCAGATTATTTGATCAGGATCTAGATAGGAGTCGAATTGGTTCCTTCGGTGCAATTGCCCGACTGACACTTGCCTTTGCCGCAGAAGTCCTCGCCAGTCCCGCACTTGCCTGTCGCGATGCTGCAGCAATCACCCCATTTGCCCGCACATCGTGAGAAGTTGTGTTCATAACCACAATTGCCATCAGTAGTGTAGATTTTGTGGCCGTGGCAGAGACCTTCCCAGCAGGTGCCCGCAGCACAGTCCTCCTTAGTTTCGCCGCACTTCCACGTCTCGGCATTGCAGCACTGCCCAAAAAGCGTCCCAATACATGTCGCGTTATTGTGATTAGGACCGCAAAGCCCATCTTGAGATCTAACTGGCTCAATGACTGTTGGCAAACCAAGAGGTGATCAGTACTTGTTTCGAAAGGAGGGAGGAAGGGGGAGAGAGAAGAAGAAAGATAACTTACATCCACGAACACAATATTCCGTGTTGGGCTGAATGCCATCGCAATTGGGAGACAACTCTGGGTTCAACTCAAAGAATCGCTCAATGGAGATAGAGTAGGCATTGGCAATCTGTTCGCACGACCAAGAACTAGCCTCGTCGTAGGTCCGTCCCGTACTGCGGCAGTTCAGTTCACCAGGTTTCGTGTCCGAGGGTTTGCGCGGGTAAGGTGTCGCGCTGGCGCGGAGATAGGTCACCATGTGTGCCGCTCTTCTTTCGCTTTCCCATGTCCAAGTATAAGGAGCACATTCACCGGTGGTAGTGTCAGCGATGGCAAAGAAGGCCACACTGGCGATGGCGAGCGCAGTATGTTCTAGAAGATACTTCATCTTAACCTAGGATTAGGACAGTGAGTTGGTGATGGTTAAGGGTAGAAATGAGAACCTGCGCTTCTGTAAGGTAAATATATCAAATGGTGATGATTAGAGCCAAAAGAGCTCTGAGAAGAGGATGACAACTTAATGTATCGATGAGTATTAACTGTCCAACAACTAGAAGCCCTTGGCATCAATGCAGACCCATAACATGAACCAACAGAATACTTTATGCATCTCGGTTAAAACCATCCCCCAGTCATGTCTTGGCAGTCTATTAAGATAACATAGATCTCTCAACGTGTGGACCAATGTGAGCTCGGAGCTTTGCCCTGGAAAGCCGTTACTCTGCCAGATAGCAGAAGAGATACACTTTGGGCTCGTGTCGGAAAAGAGAATTGGATTTATCTGCGCTAGATCATGAGCTGCAATACATATTGTAAGGCTCGATGTAATTGTATGCCAGATAAGTGCATGCAATTCAAAAGAGATCCAGAGAAGACAGAAGCCTTCCTCGTTCGCCAGGTATGACGAATAAAATAGATAAAACATGTTTTCTCTTGTCAATTACCTATATGAAAGTGAAAGTTATTGTGATCTTACTATCCTTGTGAATTTTATGTCATGCCCGATGGACTGGAACCTGCAAAAGGAAACAATCTGCCCCTGGAAAATGCTCAAGAAGATGTCTATGTCAACTCACAAGAAACAGTCATCATATTCATGCAATAAAATAGTGCCGGGTCTTGGTTTCTTACTATCTATACCGTATGAAGACAGTAAGATGGTAATACTCATCCAGGACACCACGAAGAGGTGCCCGGCAGGCGTCCTGGACCTCCGCCTAGCATACTCTGTGCTTGTGTTACACGTGTAACCTCTGTACCGGTTGAAGCATGCAGTTCGCCTTGCACTTCGGCCGTACGAAGGACCATTGCAGGCTGTTCATGACCTTCCAAGACATGCAGGCAATATTGGAAAGTGAGGTTATACAGACTTCGCTTCTTGAAACAGACCCTAGAGACCCAGGCGGTCTGGGCTGGCAGATCATTTGTATATAGAGTCATCTCAAGCCACCAACAGCCGAGAAGGAGTTGGTTGGTCAAGGACTAATGCAGCCCTAGTTGATCATTGTAATCAGAATCCTCAGTCCCAAGCCCAGTTCAATCTGCCCTTGTTATACCTTGGCTTCATTGGTTTGCCTTTTGGCTAGATACCCTCTGTCTAGGGCCTCAATTCAAGTACGGTGAACCCCTTTCGAGAGATTCACCTCGGTTCTACAGGCAACTTCATTCGAAAAACTGTCAAATGTGAGCGTCTTCTGGATTGCAAGTATATCGCTTGCATTACTGGCCTCAGGATCACGCTGATAACTTGCACCTCTTTGATTAGCCTCCTCCACTGACTCTGGTGGAGTTGGATCCCTCGGCTGAGAATGTTCAGGTTCACCCTGATCAGTCGCAGTTGTTTGTTCTGCTTCTGCATCGCTGTTATTATTCCCAGCTTCTAGGGTCCTAAGATCGGGACTGTCCCCTGAAGACTGGACGTGGGTTTGCTGAACCTCAGTATTGTCTTGCACTGAGTCACCATAACCGTGGGAGCTGCTTCCGTCGGGGGTATCAACTTTGCTGAACACGCTCTCCGGATAAAAAACCGGTCCGTCCGAAACTCGATCGGGTGACATGCCAGCGGGGTTACCCTCGATATGCGCGCCATCTTCTCTGATGGTCGGCATGGTTTGGATTCGCTGGGGTGGTAAGTTCATGCACCCGTCGCCCCCGTCAAGATCGGACCCACCATCGTCCTCTGTAACCTTGTTTCTAATACGCCGACGTTTTTTTGAAGCAGATTCTTCCTCATCGTAGTTTGGAAAGGGCCTCTTCTTGGGTAAACCAATACTCTGGGTTCTTCTTCGAGTTGACTTGTCAACACTCTTGGGAGTACGCGCTGGCGTTTCGTCGATGACATCGATATCGGAGGAGTGAGATTCATCATCTCCAGTGTCATCCTCGTCGTCATCTTCGTCATGACTGTCATCTAGAACTTCGTCTAAATCGTCATCTGAGTCATCTGAATCATTGTCTGAATCACCATCTGAATCATCGCTTGATTCCTCGTCTTTGGTTATGACACGTGTATTGATTGAAAGACTAAATCTGACGGATGGATTCTCTTCGATCCCATGCTCATAAACGATTGCCTCTTGTCGCAAATATTTAAGAGCAATTTTACGATACTTTATATACTCTGCGGAATTGATGGGTGGATCTCTGGCATAAGGTCTACCACATGCGCGCGCATAATTGAACAGCTTCTTCTGTATACTGGAGGGTAGGAATGGTGCACCATGTATCATCGTCCTATCCAGGGCTCTGGCAAGCAGTTTGAGATGGCTTGTTCTAACTGTGTGAAGAAACCAGAATTGTGGCTTCGCTTTCGGCCTGCGTCTACCACGTTTGCTCGTACATTTGGCGCATTTCCAAGCTACTTCGGCGATGGAATGGAAAACCTCAAACTCCCTCGAAGGCCATTTTTTTACCTCCTTAAGCCTCTTTCTCACAGCATCGAGGAGTTTTGGCACGGAGGATTGCGGTGCTTTGTCTTGACAATATATGATAGCCATGTATAAAGGATCGCGACGTGGCAATGGGAGTGTGCAGGGGCGTCGATCATCACACCTGCAGATGCAAGTAAATTTGATGGCAGCAGCCATAAAACTCATGTTTCCCTGCCATATGTTATGAATCAGGATTGGCATCAAACTCTTGCTAAAGGATGTTGGCCATTCCATCTCGATTAACTTGGATTGTATGTCTGGATCGTGTTTAGAACCATAGACTAATCCAGCAAATGGACTGATGATTTCCGTTGGAAATACATTCCATACTCTTAAGCTCGTCTTATAAAGCTTCCTCCCGTAGCTGGGATCACGGTCCCTGGCAGTGTCTTCGTGTTGGTTCGTCGGACCATGCACCGTGGGAGCTTTCTGGTTAAGCTTCTCTAGGTCGCGTTCGGACCAATATCTCGCAGAACGCTCATCTCGGCCAAACATACGTGCGCCGATCTTGGGAGACTCATACTTCGCTAATATCTCTTTCATATTGAGATCTCTTAGAATGGGCCACTTGGTATTGATGTGCTCTGCCATATCTTCTTTCCATATACTGAGGTCGATGACGTCCTTCGGGCCTTCTGCTCTTTTCTTTGCCATTGTGGCTCTCGGTGCTGCTCTGTAGCAGCAAATATGTCGCTGAGTGGTCTTCTTGTAAGTCGGGTTGTCGTTGAGGGTCAAGTAAAGAATCGTGGAGAATGTGAATGTTGAAAATGAAGATGAGAAGGACTGTGTTGAAGGGGGGAAAGAATCTAGAGTCTGAGATCACAGAGACAATCAACAATATCAGTCGGCCTGTGCAGGTAGTTACCTTAGGTAGGTACCCAAGTATCCAGGCAGGTACAAGGTGACTGGAGTAGTACCTATGTACCTAAGTACGTACCCAGCTGGGCGCCATCGGGGTGCTATGGCAGGTGCATCTGCTTCAAAAATCGAAGTCATTGTTTAGTATGTACCTACATAATGTAGGTAGGTATATTATAGTAGGTATCTACCTTGGAACCTAACTTCCGGTGATTTATTCAAACGAACTGCCAAAGATGTATGATACAGGATGGTTCAGCAGAGGTGCCAAAGGTTCAATTCAATAATACTACGATCGGTATGAAGGATATCGCAGCTTGGGTATAATCTATCATTGCAAATTTAGCGCTATGTGTTTGGTCCTCTGCAACTCTAGACAATCAATCTTGATATGATACCATTGAGACTTGACGCCGGCGAGTGTTCGGCTGAAGAGCGAGGTTTTCAATTGGCCGTTGGTTTATCCCGCGAGATTTTGGCCACTGTCCAATTTTCATCGTAAGGAAGAGGGGGCAGGGATTGAAGAGGAAATGAAAGTGTATCTCTGTCAAAGGTCCCGGGGGAGACGACGAGATATTTGACACTATTTCCAATTCGCAGCCGGTATTCACTTTCAAAAGCATCTTCATCGTCCACTGCCATGGACAGGATAATTGGTTGCATTGACGGGGCAATGGTGTGATCGCTAAATGTTGCCACCATTACACCACTTATTGTTCGCTGCTGTGCTTGAAGATGACTCAACCGCAGTAGAGACGTGGAGTCCGCACATCTATGTTTCCAAATTCCTTTAGGCCTTGCCGTACGTCCTTACCTTTTCGCTCTCTATATGGGGCATAAGCTGCACGAGACTTCAAATATTGGTTTATGAGTTGTTGGTTTTGAGCGTTGGGCCACATATTCCTAGGGCCTACTTGGCTAATCAAAATCCAGGTGCAGCCCCAGCCCTCGGATTGAAAAGGGATGGACCTTGACGGCTCTTGTCATAGTTCATGAAAATGGTACTATTGGATTGTCTTCATTGACATATCTGTTCAGGTTATAGCCTCATATAACGTAAATATCTCAACCATATTTGATGTTATGGCTTTGCTGTGTGTCCGATCTTTTCTAGCCAGTCCACCACATCTTCCGCTTTGCTGCGCTGAGCTGCTTGTAACGGTGTGAGCTCCTCCCATGATGGTATAGCATTGACATCAGCCCCCTTTTCATACAAGAACCTTGCGGTTGCAAGTTGGCCGCCGTGGCAAGCGTTCCAAAAGGCAGCATCTGTTTCCTCACGAGAAGGTTGATCATTATTCGAGTCCAAGCACGCTTCTTCCCCCAGGATCAAGCCGGCTCATGCTGCTCTTTTCATTACCGATACCGCCTTTATAGAACGACCGCACACGGTCCAACAGACCTAAAGTGGCCGCATCTTGCAATCCAACGAATGCTCCGTGCCGTATCAACTCATGCGCTGCCTCGATCTGAAGAAACGCTCGAGCGTCAGCCAAAGGGGTTCCACCGCCAATAACACCTCCTGGGGCTTCGATGTCAGCTCCCGCATCCAGTAGCGTTCTGATCAAGTCCACATCGTTGCAGCTGGCAGCCCAATGCAATGGGGTCTCGCTGTGAATCGGGCCCTCAAATGAAGCGTTGATATCAGCCCCGTACTCAATTAAGAGTCGTGCTGTTTGGATTCTGTGTGGGAGATGTCCAGGGTAGTCTGTTAAGATGTGAAGAGGCGTACGAATGCCTGATGGCAAGTGGCCGATGCGTATACGAGCAAAATTGGGGTTAGCTTCGAGGATAAATCGAAGTGTTTCAATGTCACCAGAACATATAGCCACCTTTAGGGCCTTCGCTTTAGGAGCACTTGGATCCAGAGGCATCATGTGTGATTAAAGGGATGTCAGCTTGGATGGCCGCGCCACACCGGTAAGTACCTAAAGTGCATGAAAGTGGCTATGTCTTGTGGCTGAGCTCAGCAACTGTGGCGCTTCAAATGTAAGGTACCTAGGTATCTAGACCTACCATGATAGTGGCTCCGATAATGGCTTGGGCAAGGGGCTGACGGAGAGACAGACTCACCGTCATATGACAATTCGGTAAATAGAGCCGAAGCAGTAGTCAAAGCCAATGCGAAGTAGGACGACAACAACGATTCGAATAGCGACATCAAGGAGAATCAACCTCGCGCTCACAACATTGTAGTTCCATAAAATCGAAGTGACACTCGGCGGATAACTTCGTCCACGAAACAATTAGGTGCGCATCATATAACAAAGGCAGAGATACTGGGCTTGGAACTTGGAATTCAGATTATAATGAACAACTAGGGCCGCATGAGTCCTTCTTAGCTGTTGGTGGCTTGAGTCGACTCTATATACAACTGGTCTGCCAGCCCAAACCGCCTAGGTCTTTGGGGTCTGTTTCAAGAAGCGAAGTCTGTATAGCCTCACTTTCCAATATTGCCCAATATTGCCTGCATGTCTTTGAGAGATTATGAACAGCCTGCAATGGCCTTTCGTACGGCCGAGGTGCAAGGTGAACTGCATATTCAGCTGGCACAGCGCTTTGTGCGTGTGACACTAGCTAATCAGCCCGCCTATCCCATGGACTCTTGTCCCGAGGTTGATAGTCATAGTCTCTGTTCCTATAACTCTGGCGGTGGTAGTATCCTTAACCTCCATGATCCCGATTATCACGATCTCGGCGCTCATACCATGGTTCGCCATGGTTTCGGCCTCTTTGACCTTGGCTCCTCCTAAACGCCTCATAACATTCTTCCTGCGACCTTAACGGCCGACGTCCGTGTTCTCGAGAGGGTGAAACTGGGTATGATCTCTTGAATTCCGCCTCATCATCATCATCATCATACTGCTCCTCTTTGATGTTATTACATGACGGCTGGACTCTGCCATAGGATTCTTTGGGATCAATCTTAGACAAATTCCCATCGACAGTTCTCGGCATTCTGAGAGGTCGCTCCGGCAATTTAGAGGCTTGTGGCGTTGGGTTAGACGGGGGTTCGGACCTCTGAGGGAAACTAAAGTTCGATTCTGAACCAGACGCCATCCCAGAAACTCGTTTCTGCTGCCGAGCCGCTTTCGAATCAGCAGACCAGGTCATGACTCGCTCTAGAAAATCAAGACGAATCCGTATAGTATTGACCTGCTATGGAGTAGCAACTTCCACCCTGCGTGAAGTTGGACGATATCTATCCGGTGTATCTCTGCCATATAATAGTATGCAATCTACACCAGGGTCTCCCATGCTTCTTTGGGTCTGTTGACTGAACAGATCCTTTGGTGCGCAGGCTTTCATGACTGGCAAGACAGGCACTTCGTGGTTCGACCACATTCTGAGCTCTCCAGAAGGGTTTGTCTTGTCAGGGTTGAAGTAACAAGCGAGGAGAGCATAGATGTATTCTTTCTCTTCTATACATGTAGGTAGGTGCTCAAGCTCTTTAGCTGACTCCTCGGTCTCGCATATCTTGGGGACGGCTTCCTGTCGAAGTTTGAACGAGCGGAACTCAGAAAAGTCTTTGCGGACATCGTCCTTGTCCGCTTGATAATGCACTCGGATATAGGGCGGGTAGGTACACGATAGCTGTATTGTGCCCTTGTGGGGCGGCGGGAAAGGTCTGATACGATTGAAGAACTTAGTCATTTGCGACTGGATACTGGTGTGGTTGTTGAGCTTGACGAGTTCGTTTGTCTTCTAAAAATTCTGCCCCGTTGGCACAGGTATCCACCTTGGAAAAGTGTCACTCTCCAAGAGTCGTATTACGGCATCCCGACGAAACAACGCCATGGACGGGGAATCCCAGAAGTTTGCCATCGTATCGTGGTGTAAGACATCTAGGAGTGTGGGAGCCGTGTTCTCACTGATCTCGTATCCAAGATCTTGCAACAACTCATGGACTGCTCGAGTCTCTGTCTTTCAGAGAATGGTTCCACTACCCACGCCATTCGCGCGAGAGGAGATGTCTTCTTTGCTCCAGAAGGGTCTTTACCCCACGAGTGGGCAAACATGCAGCGCATAAGTTGCACGGCGACTGCAATGGTTTGGAGGTTCATTGTGACCTTTCGACCATCCTTGGTAAATTGCCATCTGAGCTGCCTTGGCCAGATATTAGCCAAGTCGCGCATCATCAGCATTGGTTCTTCTTCATCCTCATCATGAAGAAGTCTGATGTCGTCGGGCCCGAGGGCAACACGTTCTGATTCCCCTTCTGGTTTACTGGCTTTGTCTCGGAGGGGTAACTCGACAGCAGCGTCAGTTGACTGACTAGGCGAACTAGAAGGCTGTGCTTGTGCCGCTTCAGCCTTCTTCTTCTGCTCTTCGGCCTTCTTCTTCTCCTCTTCCTTTGCGGCCCTGCGGTACTGAGCATAGATTTGGCTTTTAACCGAATCCATTTTGTATTCTCGCTGACAGAAAGGATAATCTTCCAGGGACTTTCCCGCCCTTTTGACTCTGTCCTTCCAAAGATATTGTTCTGCCTTCCAGTTGATGGCGTCAACAGACAGGCTAATTATTCTCCTAGAGAATGCCTTTTCGCAAACCTTCTGGATATTAACTTGGAATTCTTCTTCCAGTTCCTGGAGGTCCTTTTCTATGTTCTTGAGGTCCACGTTGAACGTCAAGGCAAGGGTATATATGACCGCTTCGTGACGACGAGCGGTCAACTGATCGTTGAACACCTTTGTGTCCGACATTTCTGGTGTTTTTTTCTAAGAAAAAAATTCTCTAAGGAGAAAAAAAAGCAGGGGGGGGAAACAAGAGGGGGGAGGGGAGGCGCGCGCGCGTCTGGAATCAAGTATCACGTTAGCAGCAGTATTCTTCAATTGCCATTTCAACGAGGAATAGTAGACAGCGATCCTATCTTACTGGTGTTTTTGTTGTTGCTGTTGTTTGTGGTGGCGGCGATGGTGAAGATGAAAATGGAGAAGTTCAGAAGAAGAGGAGTTCAGAGAGTTGGTCAACATGTGGGGGGAGTTGTGGGTGGCTTGGGACCTAACCTACCGAGTCTCGATACACTAATCGATCAACCTGGGCTAGGTATCTGCTTATCTGTTGACTTCAAGCAGTCTACTTAGATACTTATTGTAGTTGGGATCATAAGAAGTAAACAAATCATTGGCATTGATACATGTTACATGTATATCTGGTGAACGAATAACCACAGCTCATGTACAAATATAGACAGATATACAACTAGGAACCTTACTTGACCGTAAGTATTGACAAGTACTTATGTAGAAATACAAGTTTATCTAATCGAAAGAGCAAACCACACACTCCTAGGCAGTGTTCAGCTGTGACTTGTTCTGTAGGTTAAACCTATTGTTAAATATCGAGACATTGTATGACCCGTGATGTACTTACACCAACATCTGCAATCTTTCTATGTCAATTTACCCCTAGTATCTAGGTATTTACCAATTTCCACTGCTTCAACTCCCACACGGGATAGAGAACTCACATTCGGCCATACGTAGATCATTCACAATGCCCCTGCAATAAGAGAACAAGCTTTCAACCTAGCATAAAGTATACAGTCCTTGATTTAGTGGTAACACCTGCATGCTTCAGTTTTTACGGCGCCCCGGGGATTCACTATTCCGTTGTTGTTTTTTTAATACGGCAGGTTCCCTGCATAGATGGTGAAATGGAGGCTCTAGTACTACACCGGCACGATGAGTCAGCAGTCACGTTCGTCTGCCTAGGTACCTACCAGGTTGAGGAAGGGGTGACAAAGGGTGTTTGAGACATGCTGAGAATAAGATTGACGGCTATATGATTGTGGATATGGAGGTGTTGTAATGTGTTACGTCTTGCCCTTCACCGTGCAGGTATTGCAATTAAGATCTTAATTGACGCTTTGGACTCTGGCTGCCTGAATGAGTTGATATTGGCCCAGACAACTTCAAGAGCTGATTTCTAGCACTTAAAGCTGGAGTGATACCTACTTGCCTCCGAACTCGAGATATCTACGAACACCGTTAGTAGATATCACGATATCGGTATACTTAAGTATTAATAGCATGAAGATTCTTGGAGGAGCACCCTAGAGGACGTTTTGTGTCAATCAGTAACGAAGATCTCCGGTCAACTAGAGCGCCTGACATATAAAATCAAATTGCAGTGTTTTTACCTATAGATACATATTTACATCACGAGTGCTACCACACAACGCGTATGAGTACTACATATAGCTGCATAAACAGTACCAGCATACCCTCTGTACTAGATAGTATCCAAAGCGACAGTGCACCTACTTCAACAGATACTTAACCACACAGGAAGCACTACAAGACTAAAGCTACATAGGCAAAAAGAAGTTAATGACGCTGCCAGTGTCATTACCTACATGGCTACCATTACAAGGTCCCACACAGCTAGTGGGTAGCAGGTCTTGAAACAGTATCTTGTCCAGATCTCAACCAAACTCTTCGACAAACTTCCTCCGTCTTCGTCGTGCTCGTCACTAGCCCCACTGGAACTTTAACGTGTCCAAAAGCAACACACGTAAGTTATAATTTGGCTCAGAATGAGTATAAGCCATTGAACTTCATGTGGACATCGAAAATATTGTTGCTGACTTAACAGATGCAGACTCGTGCACGGGACACCCTCGTCTGCCTTTAGTTGCTCCTTTCCTCTAGGAAGCCGTCAAGAAACCCCACTATGCCGGACGAAAAGGCGTTTGATCCTCGTTTGACCGCTCGTCGTCGGGAAGCGGTTGTGTACACCCTCTCAGGTATACTAGGGAAAGAAGAGTCTTCCATACAAGCCCTGATCAAACAAAATATGTTTCAAGTATGCAAGAATGCATTCGACAGCAACACGTTGGTCCTATCAGAGGATACCATTGGGTATAGGGCGGAGGAAGCCACCTGGACGCAGTTAATGCTCCAGGCTGGGAAGTCTATTGAAGAGTTTCCCTTCATTCAGCGAAAGCCTCCAAGTGACTTGGCGGAGGGTATAACGAGCAAAAATGTTCTTGCGTTCGTTTACACACTTTTGGAGCGAAGACTGGGCGAGATGAAGAAGGAAATCAATAGACAGAAGCAACAGCTGACAGAAGAATGTAAGTTAAGCAGGACAAGCTGCGCTTGTAAGGCGAGGCTCCCGTTGCAAGCTGCTGCCGGAGTTTCTAACACAGTTATAGGCCCAGAGATGAGAGAATACCTAAAGCTCGTAGTATCTAGTAAGTATCTCCTTTCATCCCGGTCCGCGTGTTTAGCAGGTTATAACCATTTGAATATATATAGAGGAGGGCGAAGACTCTCACTTTAAGCGAGAAGAAATTTAGATCGTTAATCAAAGCAGTGATAGGAGGAATAGCCACGAGAACAGAGAAACTTGGCATGGAAGCCGCATGATACTGAGATAGCTTCGGTGTTTCTCTCCACTAGAGTACTTGAGGAAATATGGAAACAGGAAAGCGTCGCGACAGGCATGGAATGATAGCAATTAGATGTAATAGACTCCCCTCTTCCCAACCCTGGTACACAACGACCCTCAGTAAACAAGTAGATGGTCTGTGAATATTGACGAGCTCCTGGAGGCCATCGGACAGACCATATTGCCACATTGGCGTTCTTGATAAGCTTAGAGCTGGCATTGATCTAGTACGAGGCTTACGCTGCGCCTAAGACACGGAAAAGATGTTATTCAGGGCGATATATCACGGTGAGCGGCGCGATGATTAAGAGACGACATGCGCAGTTCATTTATAAATATCGTAATTAGAAAGCTTTTTCACTCGCGCTGCAATATACAACAACCCAAATTGAGACGGCTGTGGTATTACTTCACGCGCCACGATAAACCCGCCGTAGATGGGAACCGGGACCCGCGGACACCAACTCGGCCCGGACCGGGGCGCCGGCTGGCTTGGGTTGGAAATCTTCACTGTGCTTACGATGCTGCGTTGGTCAATTGCTTTTCACGCGCCCCAGGCAGCAATTGAATCGAGGGTAATTGATTGACTACAGTACTGACAGGCTATTCGTAGTTCAAAGCGGAAATACCACCCGGTACGGAACGGCGATAAGCCGGCAGACTCCATACAAGCCATACCCCCGCCACGACCACGTTCACTCAATCTGCCTCTCGCACCCGATGCGATTCAGCAATTCCTTTCGATCGCTATGCCTTGATATACTCGCACCGCTCGACCTCCCCGTGTGCTGCTGCTTAACGCCGCTCCTTCGTTTCCACGCATCGAAATCGATGACTTCCGCCCCGACCTCTTCCTCGATGCCGCCCTGCGCGTTTTCGAATCCGACCTTCTCATCCTCCTCGACTTCCTCCTCCTCTTCGTCGTCGCTCCGGACGTCTTCAGCGTTGTCGCCTCTCAAAACTTGGATAGCCACGCGGACGATCGCCGCAGACCAAGGAATCATGATAGCTTGGAGGACGAGCAGATACGACAAGAATCCGATACGGATCCCTTCGGTCATGCAGACGATGCCCCCAGGGTTACGGAAGGGCTCGAGAAGATATGATCGTCCCTCTGGAGCAGGGAATGGGCCTCGAAGATTGTCCGCTGGGCCGTCATAGCATGATGTAGGCATGTGTCGTGGCGAGTCGCGATAGACGCTCCAGCACACCATGAGATAGAATATATGTCGCGTGACCAGCCAAGTGACCATGAATATGCCAAAGATGACGTCACAGATAGTTGTAAATCCTAGACATTTGAGGCATTTCGCAAGCTATCCCCACGGTCAGCGTTTCCCGCCTCACCGCAAGGGACTAAGCCGACTTACTGGGAAAATCAATTCGATAATGTCCATCAAGACGAATATCAGGTTGGAGACCCGCGTATGATGATTAACATATGCGGAAGCTATCAGTGTAGTGGTGGCGACATGATGAGCGATCATCTGCCAATAGTCATGTCGTCGGGTCTCGAGATTGACGACGAGCAGCTGTTGTGTCCAATACGCGAGTTGTGCCAGCACATAACCCTTCGTAAGACCGTCCATCTCCCTCTGAGGCCAATCAGTCCACAGCTCCTCTAGCTTCAGAAAGTATGGTGAATTGATGTATATATACTGTAAAACAAGTGTCAGCAAGGTAAACAGGGTCGGCCAACTGAGAATTCTCACCATTCCCAAGGTCCAGAAGATAGCATTATACATAAACATCCAACCCTGCTCGGCAAACCGCGTGATGCGCTTCTTGTTCGTCAGACCCCAGTACCTGGCAAATGGCGCGAGCACATATTGCATTGAGCTGGCGCGGATGCCGCAGAATAGCACCACGCAAAAGCCGACAAAATACAGATCATCGTGCGATGTAGCATACTTCCCCGTAGCAGGGTTGTAGCCCGATAAAGTGAAGAATTTATATGTAAATGATCGCTCGTTGGGCAAAAACGTGTGAATAAGGAAGAGCGTCAAAATGAGATTGAACGAGACGCCTTTCAATGAGTTTATGGTCAGCAGTGGGTTTCTAAGGGGAGAGAGGGGAAGTCTAAGCTCATACCAATCTGGTGCTCAAACAGCCATTGGGTGGGACTTTGCAGTAATCCCCATCGCGTCGTCGTCGTCGTTGTCGTCTTCGTCTTACCGTGGCCAGCCATGGCTTCTACCTTGAAGAATCCTCTTCTTTTACGTGGTTCTTCTCACAATGAGAAGATTTATATGTTGTGTGAGATGTAGATAGACGAAGGTGGCAGGGGCCCCGTTTCTATCCCCATGATCGGCGTTTCATTTCATCCGTGGCTAGACTGTGGCTACCCAACATATCACTATGTGGCTTTTTCTGCTTGGCGATCCCCGAAGGGCGGTGAGGAAAAGCAAGTGAGGACATGTTACGACAACGATTCGCAATCAAGCCATACTAACGAGAATGATTCGCTAACCTAGCTGTAATATACCCCTAGGGTAGATCTTCTGATTCTAGAACTCCCTCAACAGGTGAATGCCTACTGTACAGGGACAAAGCTAAACTGGTAGCGGCACAACTAATACATCTGGAGATTCGCTCTATCACTTGAGATGGTACGCTAAGATCAGAATTCTAGAATATGGGCCAGCTACAATGACTTGGTCTTTTTCTCATTCGCCTGCGAAAGGGGTATGAGGTTAATGAAACTCGAAGATGGGGATATGAAGTTAATTCCGCATGGGAACAACTTTAACTCAAACATGTGTTCAGAGATCTACACTTTTCGACAATGAGGTTCGTGTCATTTATAATGCGATGAAGTCGATTCGCAGATTCTGTGGTGTCATCTTTGTCGACAGGTCCCTGAAGAAAGCCCCTATCGGGACCCCTTCTAGTGGTCCAAATACCTGAAACTACGCTAGCTAGAGCGCTAAGCCCCAGGCTAATGCACCCCCTTTACTAGGCGCCTAAGGTAACTTAAGAGCACCTGGGCACTATTTAATTCCCTACGGGATCACTGCCAATAGGGGTATTGGCGAACCTACAGACAGGTGTGGCGCCGAAACCTATCGGATCATCGACATGAACACTTCAGGTTCCTCTACATTTCTCATTTTGACGTCTCTCAGCCTATTGGAGGTCGTAATAATGATCAACAAACAGCTACACATCTCACGTCTACGGGTCAGAAGCTTTGGCGGGCGCCGTAGAGGTCCATATTCAATCGATGTACCAAATGAACTCCCAGTATATACGCGATCGCCCTGCTTTGGCCGATAACGTGAGATGTGAATACCTTCATCTGAATTGTTGTTTACACACAATACAAAGAGAGAAGCGATTATAGTAAACATCGACACGACATGAACAACAGCCTACTCCAAGTCGACCGTTTATACGTGATTGACACGCGAGAATTTCATTAGACGCCTCAATTATTCGCATTGGCGGGGTAAGTGATAGACCCCCAATCCTACGCTGTCTGCGGCATCGATGGTGGTAGGTATCATCTCTCGCAGACAGGCTAAAGGGAAAGGCCGTACTGAGGGTTTAACGATCCGATCTCATAATCGACGTCAACATGCACCCTCTATCGTTCTCATTAACTTCACTAAAGCTCCCGTCATTGAAAAAATGGGAACAGAATCAAAGGTCTTCACGTGGTTAGTCACAGGCGCATCAACAGGTATAGGCCAATGCATCAGCATCGCAGCTCTCGACGCAGGACACAAAGTCGTCGGGGCCACGCGCGACGTAGCTAGAGCCGGAACGACCAATCCCGACTTTGCTGCGAAGGGCGGCATTTGGATACAGTTGGATCCCGCCCATCCAGACTCATCCCGCCATTTCGCGCAAGCACAGGAGGAATACGATTTCGACGTTCTTGTGAATAATGCAGGTTATGCATTTATTGGCGGAATAGAAGATACGAGGTCAGTAGCTCACTATTGGTGCAAAAATTATGCTCTCCGATGAGACTGATGGATTGCTATAGTGAAGAGGAGGTTATAGACCAATTGAATGTGAATTTCTTGGGGCCTCTTCGCGCCGTTCGAGCTGTTTTGCCGTCAAGTGAGCATTCCCAGACCTCTATTCTCCTTTTTGATGAGGCTTTCTCTCCAATGCTCCTGAGGTCCCCAACCCCATTGGACTAAAGCGTATCTCATCATAAGTCTTGTCTGACACTGAAACACTTATAGTGCGCGCAAAGAGTCATGGTCATATCGTCTTAATAAGCAGCGGGATTGTGTATGCCGAGTACCCCACTATCGTGTTAAGCCATGCTAACCGTGCGGATTATGAGAGCAGTTATATGAATATGCCTGGGCGGGGAATATATAAGGCAAGCAAGTCCGCCATCGAAGCTATACATGATGTGCTCAAGGCAGAGGTATCATCATTTGGTATCAAAGTGCTGATCGTCGAGCCTGGTGCCTTCCGAACATCTTGGACCACGAATTTGAAGATCCCCGTTGCACTTGAAGATACCAATGGTTTCAGCGAGGGATACAAGGGCACTATCGTCGAGCAATGGGTTGGAACGGTCCCAGCTTTCAAAGCAGCTCCTTTACCAGACCGGATTAAAGGGGATCCGAAAAAGGCTGCGAGGGAAATCGTGAAAGCTGTTATCGAAGGCTATGATCATACCCGCATGATGCTGGGGCCTGATTGTGCCGAATCGGCTGATCGAAGACTGGGAGAATTACGCCACGACCTGGAAGCTACTAGGTTGATTGCTAGATCTACAGATGTGGATGTACCAGGATCGAGTGATAATGGTCACACTCATAACGCAGGGCCATAGGACGGAAAATACTTTGGTACGCAGGTACTTCAGTACAAAACCCCGAGGTACCTGCCTTGATGCTTTCCTCCACGAGGTGCTGTGTTTGGTCTAGATTTTAAAGGAATTGGGGGATATGTCGAAGGCAACAGTTGAACAAGGTACTTTGTGCTATCCTTCAAAGTGAATACGAGTTAGTAAATAGACCGGAAGTGTATACCAAATATACAGAACTTACTCATTAACCATCTATATTTCAATCGCGATCCTCCCAATACCCCTACTAACACAACTCAGCATAGCCTCCTTCTTATCTTCCGCTGTCAGTGCCGTCCCTCTATGTTCAACATTTCCGTTCTTGACGGTAACTCGGCATGTGCCACAATTGCCGACTTCACAACTGCTAGGCACATCGTCAAAGCTCTTTCTCAGTACCTCTAAAAGCGTCTCTTCGCCAGCAACCTTGAGGACCTGACCTCCACGGTTGACAACCTCAGCTTCGAAAGGATCGCCAGTGGCATCAACAGAGAAAGCTTCGAAGTGAATATCATCCTCCCCAAGATCACACTTCTTCGCCTGTTCGACAGCTTCGTCAAGCATCCGTTGTGGCCCACACACATAGACATGTGAATTCCACGTAACTAAAGCATGTAGTATTAGTTGTTGTCGTTCTTATGAGCGTGAACAAGCGCGTTGGTAATGCGAATACTCCAGGAGTGACTTACGGTTTCGTAGTATCTCCCCGATATTCATGCGTTGACCTTTGCTTCGATCATACAGCTTGACAGATTCCTTTAACCCTTCCACCCGCCCTCGAAAAGGCATATCATCTGCGGTACGCAAAGCGTAATGCAGCGTCGTCTCCCAATTGATCTGACGATAGGCCTCCATCATACTCAGAAAAGCCGTTATACCAATCCCACCAACGATGAACACATGATTACTAGCTGCGCTTGCAGGTTTAAGATCAGATGTGATACGACCAACCTCAATCATATCGCCCTCCTTTACATTCTTGTGTAGGTACGACGAGCCACCGCGGCTCGCTTCCTCGAGCGCAATACCAAGTTCGAAGCGGTTGTCAGTCCCCGAGACAATGGAGTAAGAGCGTAATAGTCCGTTGGGTAACCGAAGACGTACGTGTGGCCCAAGCTTGACGTCACTGTCTTTGATATCAGGATCAGGTGTTACAGCTTCAAGCATGAAGGATGTTATCCTGGAGGTCTGCGCCTTCTTCTCAACGACTTTATAATCGCGCCACTTTTCTGCTTTATCATCTTGGTTTGCCGCACGTTTCTGCTGGGCCTTGAATTTCGCTACGCGCTTTAGGAACGCCTTTCTGCATTCGTCGCCCATGTCAGGAATTTCGGAGAGCTCTTCGTTCATCTCAGTGTTGTCGGTCGTGCGATGCAAGTATTCCTGGACACGTTCAACAGTCCACATTGGCCATTTTCTTTCGACAAGTCGAATTTCGTCTCCAGCTTGTACTGTACCCTCGCGAAGTACTCGATAATACCAACCCGTGCGGCTTTTCTTATATGTGTTCGGCGCAAAATTCTTCAGCTTGAATCGATGATTGAGCTTGAAGCATGGCTGTCGCGGTAAACTAATCTGCAAGAGTACCCCGTCATTTCCGACTGAGAAAACATCCCCTATGCAGATGTTGCGCTCATTCATGAACTCAGTCACGAAATTTTCTCCAAAACCACCTGGTTTGAACCGTGCCTCGGCATCGGGGAATTCCTGCTTCCACTGTGTATAATGTGACGAGCAATCTATTATTCGTCAAATTGATGCGGATACTAGATTGTGTCCCATTCGTCAATGGAAACTCTTCATATGAGAACTTACATCCGTGGATGGCTTTATCTTTGCCGCCATGAAATGTAGGATCATGCTCGTCATCGACGAGTCCAAGGTAGGTGACATGAATCTTCCCCGACCGTAATTCCTTATCAATTCCACTTTGGATTGTGAGGCCAGGCATAGTCTTCATTTTACTAGTTCGGATCTCCAAAATGGTGTCCTTCTCGAAGGGAGCGAACAAATCCATATCAGCTGCAGGCGACATATTTTCGACGTCCGCCCACTATGCAGCAGGAACTGTTAGGATGAATATGTTTTTAAGGAAATTTTGCGTTCAAGGTGAAGCGCATTGCCAAGATGATGAAAGAGAAGAAAGTAATGGTCGATGAGTCTTAACTCTCCAATTATTTTTGACATGCCTATTTGGCACTAATTAGCCCGATGGATCCGGATATCGGTAATTTCTCGTAATCATCACACCAATTATCTTCCGCCACTTGCATCAGATCGGATGAGCACTCGACGATGACAGTAGAATATTTCCAGACACAAGACGGCTATAAGCTTTTCTTTATTCGGTGGAATTAATCCTCAATCTCTTCGATCGGGTCCTCATCAAAATCAGGTAAGCACCGAATATTGGTCCTACCGTCTGTAGTCATTTTCTTCCTCCTTTTCCTTCTCCCCCCTCTCTCATCTCTCGACATACCTGCATTGAAAGGTCGAACCGCTGGGGTTCGTTCAATGTCCGCATATTTTCCTACAAAGGATTTTGGCAAGACGAATGACGCAGATTTAGCTGACAGCCCGACAGAAGACCCAACCGTCGCGATCGTGCTTAATGCCGCCTCTGAGCATGTCATCCTTCTCATATGTAAGTGACTCTCGGAAGATGTCTCGTTGTAATCATCCTGGCGATCTCCAGGAGATAGCTCTGTCCCACACGTCGCAGCAGTTTCTGTATACATATCCGCGCTGTCAGAGGTGTCAGAGGGTCGTAATTCCACAGCTGCTTGATGCGCGGCCTCCTTAAACGCATTATTTAATAACTCTTCACTATCCTCACCTTCCCCATACGCAAATTTACGCCACGTCTCGTTTAGATCATCTGTGCTCTCCCGTTTCTTTGCAGGCTTGCACTGTCTTTTGGACGGCAGTGAATTATATTTCCCTGGAAGATATTCCCCAGCTGGATGGATATCATGGCTTCCCTTAGGACTTCTGTTGCTAACATGTATTGGGGATGACTCAGGCGAGGGCTCGGGCGAGGGTACAGCTCCGCTGTACCTGAGTGCCGCATCTGGCTCACTAGAGAGACAAAAGCTAGGTAACCGGAACTGAAGATGAGATGGTAGGGTGATGATACTGCTCTCCGAGTCTTGAGCATGAATCTCCGATGTAGCTATAGCCGTCACAGCGCTATCGGACAGTAGGTCTGAATTTTTTTCATATGAAACCCAATTTTTCCATCTCCTATTCTCCGATGCTTGTGATGGTGGTACGGGTCGAACTGGTCGCTCAATTTCGACTTGTATACTTTCTCCATCTTCCGAACTGGGCGAGAGCCATTGCTGAGTCTTGGAATGGAAGTAACGACGAGGTACCGGCTCAATGATAGCTGGGGATGAGTAGATCACGTTGACAGGAGGTTGGTCTCTGCTAAAACAGCAGGATAATATCAAAGAACGGTTGACTGAACTAGCACTCCTATCCCCATACTCTGCGCGCCCAGAACTCTGTATGGTGCTTGCCGCTATCGATCGGTAGGGAGCCTCATGGGCTGATGAGTCTGGCTCCAGAATGTACCACTTGGCGCTTGGTTGCGAGCAAGTCTCTATACTTGGTTGTATCTCCTGGCTGCCAATTTGAATTCTCATGGATGATCTCTTGAGGTGACGGGACTGCTCTTGATTATACCGCTCATGTTCATACGAGAGAGTGAGCTTTTGCGACTCATTCAACGCATTGTCTCGAGGGCTGGCAATTTTGGACCATCTCCTTGTCGCATAGATCTGGCCAGGGAAAGAAATATTCAATGGTTCCTGTAACTTCAACCCAGCCCAATCCGACTTCTCGAGCAATCTTTTCCGCCGATTGAAGCTAGTAAGTACCTCTTCAGGATGAACATCAAGTATATCTGTCGGGTGTTCTTGCCGAGACGCTCGAATGCTAGGTGGTAATGGAGGTGTAGAAAGCCTTTCATCGTAGCTCCAAGGCTTGGGGGTTCGGTGTGTTGATTCCGACGTTAAATCCGGGTTCGGTTTGGACGGGAGAAAAGATATTGAAGGAGGCCCTCTTTGGGGTCGCGTGTTGAGTAGACCACTCCGAGCCCTCGCAAAGTGCTGTTTCTGTCGTGCAATCAATGCGTTGCGCTGCTTACCTCGAGAATGGCGAGCAAGGCTGCCTTCAGTCCAATTCATACTTGCTCACAAGCATAAAGATGCTTTTCAAAGAATGCAAAGCGATAATAATATCTCCGGAGTATTGATGTATGTTTTGTGTCTAGAGATTCTGATCGTAGAGACAATGGTCAAGTCTTGACTGTTCGGGAAGTTTCATGTGCGTCCCTCGCCACCCAGGCATCATCGCTCTTGAGAGTTCCTTCCCGTCCGCCGAGACTGGGCCTTCTTTCCTTCTTTCCTTCTTTCCTCCAACATTTCCACATAGATACGTTTTATCACCAGAGAGGTACGTGCCGTAAGGCTGCCAAATCACTATCCTAGGGTTTCTAGGCCCCGTGACTACCTACCATATAGTAGGTAGGCATATAGCATCCTCACTCCGACACTTAAGGTACTCTTCAAGACCACCTCTCGTTTTGCTCCTGCTTTATGTACTGCAAGGATCGCATAGTTGTGACCTGGTACAGAGTTTCACCTCATCTCGGACTCGGGATATGATCACTCAAACCAGATTCCAGTAACCCCTGATGCAATCGCCAGTGTTCAGGCGAACTCTGAATTCGTAAGGCCAAATCCATATTTGAATAGAATAGTGCATGGTGGATAGGTAGTGATTTTATCGGTAGAACTCTTCAGAGATCGTGCAGGTCCGATTCAATATGTTACTACAACAACCAACGCCCACAAGTCCATGGATGTTGCGTTGATGAGTAATCGTCCTGTTATTCAATCCAGGGTGTCTTTAGTCCTCCTATTCTCTGATTTTCGAGTAAGCTATTTTACAACCACGTTGGGTAGTATTAGTATAGATACCGCAGCATACTGTATGCCATTACCACCTCCCGGCTGAGGCAGCTGAGAAAGGGGTAAGCATGCATCATGTTACATCGCAGTGAATCATTTCCACACAAAAGAATGCTTGTTAGGTAGTGTTGCTTTCCAGCAGCCGACCAGCAGATCTTATGTACTACTGCAGCTGTACCATCGTTTGCGTTCCATTGCCTGCCTGTCTGTCTGTTTGCCTGCCGAATATGGAGGCTTGCTTGTGCAGCAACGAGAAGCCAATGGTTCTTTCGGACGGAAGCGGTGAACATGTCAGTTATAAGACCATACTACCACACCGAAAACGCACCGCCTTTACATTGTATGAGGGATTATTGACTTCGTAACGGGTACGAAATTGCATTTTGTTCCGTTAGCCGAAGCAACAGTTCACAGGAAGCTTGTTTGCTCAAGTGGCTCTTCTAGCGCAAAGTCAAGCTTGGCATTACTCTATCTTCTATGTTCTGGTATGGATGGTTCTAAGTACGCCCCTTGCAGCTGAACGACTCACCACCAATGGGAACCTCGCGATAACAGAATGCTACCAGCAAATAGACAAATTTGATAGGATCACGAATCGTCCCATACTCCCTGTTCACCCCGCGATCTGGATGAAAATATTCAGACTAACTACATACCTAGTTAAACTAGGAGGGGTTGTCGCGTGCGCGCTGTGTATGTATGTGTGTGTGTGTGTGTGGGCTGACAGGACGGGCAGATTATCAGCTTCGAGTACACCATTTATTCCTTCCATTTTTACCAGGGGTTTACATTTTACGGCATACTGTAGTCTAACCATTTGTCAAGTTCCCGTCAAGCGAAACAAGTGACCCCAGCTAAGTTGGGGGCGAGCATCGTGGGGTTGAAAGAACAACCTATCATTATATCCGTCTGACAGCTAGAGGAACGACATGATGGAAGGTACCTGTGAGATCCAAAAAGATATGGATGTTGGGATGGTACATTCTTGTGTCTTGGTACATTCCAAACATAAAGGGGTGGTTGAATGGATATGTATTGCGTACAGTGTCGCCCGTACAAGGTGTATAAATATAAATGAAATGCATTAGGAGTTTGGGTATATAAAATCGAGAGGCTCTTCATAGTATTGCTGACCCGACTTGCGCCTCTTGGTTCGGAGTCCGGGTAACCCCATGCAGGCCGGCTCAGCGATCACAATAACCGGTCCACTGTAGCCAATGTTGACCTAAGCCTCAATACTACTCATTTGATGCGTGCGTTAAATACTCAAAAAAAAAAAAAAAAAAAAAAAAAAAGGAGAAGGGCGAAAGGAGGGGGGCGTTAAGGGGGAAGGGAGGTGGTAGTTCTGCAGGTACTTTGGATGTTCCATTCGCCAGAGCCTGGAATTGTCTAATGCATTGACTACGGATGTCTCAGTTCTGACTCGAAGGCTCGCCGAAAAACGGAGCCTGACCCCACGTTAGGTTGATGGTCCCGGTGAAAGAGTTAGTGATGGTGCCCAAGTTCATATCAACCTGGAAAATCGACTTCATTCTTGCTGGGGACATTCCCTTGGCAAGGATTATCTATTCCGGCAGTCTTGCAAGGAAAGCCGTGAGTCGCGAATCGGCATTGAATAACTGACTAGACTAGATAACTAAAATAAATCAGTAGGAGAATGAATATAGGTTCTATGTATGAGTTGAGACACAGAAAACACGTAATGCGCATGTCCACACAGTTGATCAGCCAATTGCTGTTGTAATCGATCTAAGTCAAGGCGTCAAGACGTCAACGCCGAACAACTGGTTGGTGCCACAACTCCCCAACTATTAGACGCAGTAGCACGCTTCAAGTCTGATCCGAAGAGGCATTGATCATTAAGACAGAATACATGTAAAATGATTTGTCTCAGTTAGGTTGTGGGCGGGCACGGGCTAAGAAGCCACCGAACGATCGGGATCACATAGGAGGCGGTGGCTACGAGGCGAGTCTACTTATGTCTAACGCGCGCTAGATAATTGGGGGTTCTTAAACCTAGAATGGGCTACTGCCCTTATCCTTGAAGACTATTTTGGTTTATGTAGGTAAAGTGTGCCTTTTTAATAACCTATGTAGGTAGAGGTATGGCCTCTCCAGTCCGTACTTATCAATACGGGTCCAGACAAACATGAATAAGGATTGTAGTATTGTCACATCTCAACATCTCAACATCTCACATTCCACTTCAAGTGGACCTAGCCGACATATATAGTACATGCATTTGTTTGTTGGATTAGACATACCGGCATCTCACCGTACTATGTAGTGTAGACTGGGCCATATACCGTCCGCACCGCCCGCATTACCTGTACCTGCGATACCGCTCCGTGTCATTGTTTCCTACCTGGAATCTGAAGACAAGGGTCCTACCGGGGTGGTCTTGTTCATTTGTAGTCGCAGGCAAGCATGACGTGACTCTGGGGGCGAGAGCCGATTGAAGCCGGGCAGGTTTGTCTACTGCTATCTTGTATTTCATCATTGTATTGGAAAGGTTGGAAAGATCACACAGGGGAAAGTGACGACATTCTGATAGTAATAATGGTAGTGGTACAATACATATGTACCTACCGTAGGTTTAGATGGTCACGGATGTGCTCTAAACTTGGTCAGCTTGCAGAGGTTTTGACTTGATGCGGTACATGACTTCGAGATACTGCACCACTCGACTACCTAAAAAAGTACTGAGCCGTGGTACAACGACCACCCCACATGAATGCATCCCACCCATCCACCCACACGCACTCATCTATCCCATCCATTCATCCATCCATCAATCGTTACCGCGTAGGCGTGCCAAGGTGTGACTTCGGTGGAACTGCGGCCCCCCAACTTTGTGGTGAGGGCGGGCAAAGCAGGAGGCGGCGGCAGCAGCAGCAGCGAGCTTGTCGAGAACTGGAACCAGGCGTCATACCTAACGCTCCTACGAAGTACTCCTATGCTACACCACGTACCGGGATATCACGATATCTAGGTACATACATACACAACGCTACGCATACATGTATCTCGAAGCACACCTAGGTACTTGATACCTATATAATACTCGTAACAAAATACAGGTATCTCTAGATCACTGTAGCAGGCAGTGCCGACGGTAAATGATGCGGTATATACGAGATTCATCGAAGGCTATTTTCTCTATTTCTAGAACAAAGAGGCATCGCGTGCGCCGAGAGTCTAGACTAGCTCACAGCTAGGCTACGCAGGCTCCCCCCTAACACCCCTAATACGACGCTAGGGGGCAGTGAGCAGTGATAGTACCTGGCCGCTGTGATCGTCCTTATCTCTGCCTCCCATTGGCCCAATCAGACACAATCCAATTCACTTACTTACAAAGTACAGACATCATTCACAAAGCCGCCCTCTCGGCCCTCTGCCCTCTCACGCCCCTCCCGACAACGGTCAGCCCATGTTAAAAGGCCTCAGCTCCCCGCGCTGTTCCCCAGCCTGCTCCCGCCCTCTCGCTCCCTCTCAACCTTGGAATTCATCCAGCAACAGCATCACTTGCGATACTTTGCTTCTCTTTGCGTGTCTCGCGTCCTCTCAATAATACCCCCAGTCTTGATTTCAACCCATCCTTCACAAACACAACCGCAAAAATGGTACGTCTTCCTGCGCCTGCCACCCCACTAGCCGCTCATCGCCAGCCAATTACCCCTCTTCTTACGAGACGATTTGCTAACAGAATCCTTTGCCAACCAGGCCGAAAGTCAATTTGTATCGTATACTGAGAATGTGAGCAACCACCCTACCGAACCCTTTACGCCATGCCATGGCCCGTGACATTGGCCTCCGTTTGCTACGCGAATATTTGGGAACCGGGTGCTGACTCTACTGCCAATGTAGCTTCTCAAGTACATGAAGCTCGACCAGAAAGGCAGTGCTATGGCCGAGTACATCTGGATCGACGCCGTTGGACACGTACGATCTAAGAGCAAAGTACGTTTTGAAATTTTTCTCTCGTTATCTCTGCCGAATCACCGACGTTTCTGTTACTCGATCGCTTTGTGTCAAACCTTGGCCCATTTCTCCGGTATCTCGTCGCCCTATTCTAGAACGACCCGGTGCCTTACCAAAGCTGGTTCCTGCACCCCTCTAGGCTGAGCCAGTCAACCCCACACCTCAGCAGCCGGCATCATGCGGAATGATGGGACCCTTGCAATTCGTAGTGGCAACTGTCGAAAATGGAAAATTGGTCGGGATACATTGGTCCGATCTCGCCCTTCTCGACGTATTCACCCGTTTGCAACTCGACGCAGACAAACCTGTCGCGCGCCCACACTGCGCCCTGCGTCACTGTCCCACCGTCTCAAGGTCCTGAGCTCTGCAGCATCCTGCAGGCCAACTTGAAACAGCCCGAAAACTGGCGTCATTCCTTGGTCCGCCTGGTCATCATTAGCACATAGATTTCGCCAAGTGGTGCCCTTGGACCATCGGACTGTATTCTAGTTATCAATCGGTTGCTTGGTCAATAGATTGCCTCCCACTAACATAACATCTTCCATAGACCATCACCAAGATTCCCGAGAGTGGAGAGTTCAAGCCGGAAGATCTCCCCGTGTGGAACTTCGACGGTTCTTCCACTGACCAGGCTCCCGGCGACAACTCCGATGTCTACCTCAGACCCGTTGCCGTCTTCCCTGACCCCATGCGCGGTGTTCCCAACATCCTCGTACTCTGTGAATGCTGGAATGCCGATGGTACTCCTAACAAGTACAACCACCGCTATGAGTGCGCCAAGTTAATGGAGGCCCACGCCGAGCACAAGCCTTGGTTCGGCCTTGAGCAAGAATACACACTCTTCGACATGGAGGACAGGCCCTACGGCTGGCCTAAGAACGGTTACCCTGCTCCCCAGGGTCCCTACTACTGTGGTGTTGGTGCTGGCCGTGTCATGTGCAGAGATATTGTCGATGCTCACTACAAGGCTTGCTTATACTCTGGCGTCAAGATCTCCGGTACCAATGCCGAGGTTATGCCCGCCCAATGGGAATTCCAGGTCGGCCCTTGCGAGGGTATTGAGATGGGTGACCACTTGTGGATTGCCCGTTTCCTTCTCCACCGTGTTGCCGAGGAATTCGGTGCCAAGATCTCAGTCCAGCCTAAGCCGATTCCAGGCGACTGGAACGGTGCTGGTCTCCACACCAACTTCTCTACCAAGGAGATGCGCACTGAGGGTGGCATGGTACGTTTCAATCTACGGACTAGGTAATGGATTGGGCGATTTAGGACATATACTAACGTTTGCATAGAAACACATTGAGGCCGCCATCAAGAAGCTTGAGGGTCGTCACCAAGAACATATTGCTGTTTATGGTGAGGGCAACGAGCTTCGTCTAACCGGCCGACACGAGACCGGTGCCATCGACCAATTCAGCTTCGGTGTCGCCAACCGTGGTGCCTCTATTCGTATCCCCAGAGAATGTGCCGCCAAGGGCTACGGCTACTTTGAGGACCGACGACCTGCCTCTAATGCCGATCCTTACCAGATCACTGGTATCATGATGTAAGTTTCAGTCATTCTCGAAACCCTTCCTTCGAAACAGCTATTGATATTTGTCTTGCAGGGAGACATGCTTCGGCCCCGCGAAGGAGTAAATGGTTTATACCCAATAGTAAAAAACTTGCTTAACTCTGTAATCCTTTTTGTTGCATAAATATTAGCCGGTGTGCTATGAATGACTATGATTATATGGATACCCAGACTAATGCTGTTGGAATCTTTTGAATGAAAGTGAATTGCACTGTCCCCGACATGAGCCAGAAGATGCCAACCATGGGTGAATCCTTGCAAAAACGTCGAGCGACGACCATACCTAGAAACAAGCGTTGCAGAGAACGCTCCAGTACTATTATAACCAAAATCCCCCGTTCCAGTTAGTTTATAAGCATCAAAATGACGTAGTCTCTTCCCTCATTGGGGATCTGATAGGTAGAAGGCAACAAAAGTCCCAACCACATGTCAGCATATCACCCCAGATTACGATGATGTGGGGGATGTCTTTAAACCCCTCGGCCACCAACCCCAGGTTCTCGTAGGTGCCTGGTAAGCTAGAGGCCTACACGTCTTACTGTACAGTAATGGAATGAATGAAATGAAGCATGGCCTATTGACACCTAAGATTGTGGACGATACAGAGTTTGCGAAAGGATTGAGGCACTTCGTATTACACGTATTTGGCAGCCTGACTACTCATCCAAGGTCACTCTGTCTCTAAGTCTCCAAGTCTCTAGGCAGACGGATTTTGTAGCCAAGAAATCAAGAACTCGTGTATCGGATGACAAGCTTCTTTTGAGATCTGACAGGTCTGTAAAAAACTACTCTAGGCAGGTGGTCCGAGGAAATCACATTATATATAAGTGCATAGACGTAAGGACTTTTCATGTGTAACGTGTATTTGTGTTTGTAGCAGGACTCACTAGGTGTACGAAACGGGTTTCATCCATCCACACACACGATCAGCGACAGCATCCTACAGGACATTTCAGAAGCTATCGCAGGGGGCTGGTAGGCTGACAGAAGAGTAGTAAACAACTTTGTCAGATCTTGGTAATTAAATCCTGATTGATACCTACATAGTATTTCCAAAACAGGCCGCAGCTGTCTACATAGATTGACATCTTCATTTCCCAGTCAGTCAGTGTAGGTAAAAGGGCTTGTGCCTTCTACCTGATGCCATGTGCACATTGTCCCAAGATATGCATCGAGGTGCTAAAAATATACTGGCTTGGGTAGTTGTCTGTCTACACTAGACCAGCCCGCCAACATGGTTCCCTAGCCCAAACAAGTTACACCTGAAGAGCGCTATCTATTTGGCGCTTGCTATCAGCCACCACCACCACCACGATTCGAACAACGGCGGCTTAGCGAATAGACGCAGCCGCCAAATTGCCCAGGTTCATATTTTGGGCATTTTTCAATGTACTGGATGTGAGGTAAGCAAGCCACGCTTCGCATCAAACACCCAAATAAGTAAATAGAAAGGTCTGTTTCAGGGACGAAAATGCGCTAGGTGAGTGTGTAAAGAAGGAAATGCTGACTTGCATGGTCACACGTGCACGAAGATGACAGACAGCTGGACATCTCGCCAGCGCCAGACAGGCGGGTAAGGCAGGGCAGGACAGGGCGAATGAATGGGCGAAGAGCGGCGCTGCCCCTGGCCAGACCGTTCTCCGCGGACCTATTGATGCTATTCCTTCAGTGCCGATCCCAAGCTCTCGGATCCCACTGATCCTGCCCGCACCAAGGAGGTGCGACGTCCAGAGACGTTCCTACCTGGTCTGCACGGTAGGGCTTGTAGCATCAAATCTGATTTCCATCACTCGGGGCAGGCACGGGATGTCCCAAAACGAAATAACGTAACGAACAGGAAGGAAGGAGGTAAGGACTACTTCGGGAGGATTCTCGACCTTCACTCGCCTCAAACTTAGGCAGGATTTGTGAGAGTTGGCCCTTCAAGCTTGTCTCGGTTCGCTCTACTTTCTTATGCTGACTTGATCCCGGTCCATGAGGGGCTTGTCAAATCTCACATGGCGGCACCCAGCTAGCCATCTCACTCACTGGGCGATGTACAGAGTGTGGCAAAGCTGGCGTCAGAAATTGCCAATCTAGGATACCAAGTAGCAGGATGCAAGCCTCTTCGATACCCTCCCCTGTGCTTGTGACAACACAGAAGTAGAAAGACAGGAAAATATGAGATCCTGTTCATCCGCTCCTGAAGCGCAAGAGGAATTCTCCTTTCAAGATATGATATCCCGTCATCATCACCATAATTATCGTCATCATCCGCCGTCCAACGCAAATGCAGTACAATCGGCAGAAGAAGAGTACCGTGTCTCATCATGTCGTACTACCCCCCGTCGACCGTTATTCCCATCTACTCCGTGTTCATGGGCGTCGCCGTCGCATTGACGGCTCTCCGACTATGGGTGCGACTCTCCTTTGCGCGCGTTGCCTTGGGACCCGATGATTACCTGCTGCTCTTCGGCCTCGCAGTCGCGATAACGTGCAACGGCATTCAATATTATAATTCGCTGAAAGGAACTGGCGGCGAGGCCATTAAGGACCCGAACGAGAGGACCCAGATGGTCATCATCGCACATCAAATCGACTGGGCTAGTAAGTAGCTCCCATGGCAGTTACCTGTCGTTTTGGCAACTTCTAGCGCTTCCTGTAAGTGCTGCTTTAAAATCAATGGTAACTAACTCCGAGTTTTGCAGTGATCGTCATTGAAAAGGCAGGGTTCGGTGCTGTCAAGCTCTCGATCCTATTCTTCTACCGTCGCATCTTCGGCGTATGGCAGAGCTTCCGCCGAGTTAACAACGCATTGATATGGATCGTATTCATCTGGGCCGTCGTGTTCACGATCGCCGACGTGCTGATTTGTGGTTCCCATCCCGAGCTCATATGGGGCTTCGATCAGACGATTGCATTGCACCGATGCGGAAACCGAGGCGCGCTGTTACTGGCTTTCTCAGTCACCAGTGTCGCGACGGATTTGCCATTATTGGGACTGCCGTTTTTCTATATTAGCCGGTTACAGATGGCGTCGAACAAGAAGTGGGCTACGAGTTTCGTTTTCTTCCTCGGCAGTGTGTGAGTTATGCCTCATCTCCATCTTTCCACTAGGTCCTCCTTTTCTCTACCCACCGCGTTCGCATGGCTGACATTATACTGTAGATCCACAGGAGCCAGCGTCCTTCGTCTAATCTTCCTAATCGTCTCCTATCCAGTCGGACGTCTCAACTTTGCGTACACACCACCACCAGATAACCAGACACCCCTCGTTCTCAAGGTATTCAACCCAACATTTTGGGCGGTAACGGAGCTCTGGCTCGGCGTATGGGCCGCTAATCTCCCTCCCTGCTCGCCTCTCCTACGCGCCATGGATTTCCATCCATACCAGCGGCTAAGCAACGTGTATCGACGGATCTGGTCACGGGGGTCGTCCACGGATGCCTCAAGGGAAGTTAAGACGCCATTCTCAGGTGAGACGTTTGGTTCTAGCGGCAAAAAGAAACCCATCGATGATCTCTCGACTCAGGACTCGATGCCATTGGTGCCCGTATCAGGACAGAGGACTCGTGGGATGAGCGTGACGTCGGAATATCCGCCTTCGCTGGCCCCGATAGATGTCACTGGCACCGGCCACCTTTCAGTGCTGATACCCTCTTCAGAGCCTCCGTCTTTACCCCGGTGACATGGCGTTCAAGCAGGCATGCGTAACGATGATGATGAAATGTTGATGTAGCGTTGATACCCTTTGATTATACCAGTGTGCTCTTTTCGCTATATCCGCCATTGCGTCCTTTGTTCACAGATGACATAAGCAAATATCCATGGAATCCCCAACCCGAGTCAAAAGATGGAAGTGGTGAGCGGAGGTAGGAGAACATATCAATCTATTATAGACGAGTCTTACAAGTCCGCCCCCGCCCCCGCCTCCACCTCCATCACCGAGCCTTACCACCACGGTAAAGGAAAGGACAAATCCACCATCGTACGATCCGTTCAGCCCCAATTCCGGGGTCATAGCAACTACACTACCACTTGATTCGCTCGTTAGCGAAGGGCACGGATCCCGATCTCAGGCTACAGCATAAATACTGTGAGGTGTCTTGCATAGGATATATCAACTCAGATATATCTTGGTTGCTTAGACCTTGTGAGTCATCGCATGCACCACACCCTACGGTTTCGCATTGTACTACACTACGGAAGGACTATTCGCAACCTGGGCATTCAATGCGCTCAGACTCGCAAGCGGGGTATCGGTGAAAAGTCGCCGAGTGATGCAAACATGGTACGCTCGAGATGGTGAGGTCCCAGACCAGACAGAGAGTATTTATACCCAGGCTCCTTCCACGTACCTGGGGACGCTATGGGCGTAAATATCAGTGCGATATCAACAGGATAAAAGGAAGGAAGGAAGGAAGGGATCAGAGTTACATTCCGAGGATCACAACTCACATCGCCACAGGGTCTAGGGTGTCGTTCCCTAGATGTAAGACCATGACTTACGAGATGAGGGTTCATTATGGATGAGATTATGAAAACGTCGACGCTGTACCTGGGAGCTTGGGTGCAAAAAAGAGGGCTGGTAACATGGCTTGAAGTTGAATTTATTCGCAATATAATAATCTACTATGGCGCCAAAGATTCTCTCCCATGCTAAACTACTGGCCTTGACTCTATATCCAATTCGACCGGCCTCCAAGATCCGTCAACCCATCTTGACAAAGCAAAGGCTGAATGGCCTCGCTTTCAAACCCAAAGGACTTATTCGCCGAGCAAATGCTGAATAAGTCACTCTTGCCACAGTTACTTCAATACGAGCCGATACGTGTCCATCGGGCGAATACACCCCCCAAGTGATTCCACACGAAAATTCAGGCTCAAAGATCCACCCAACCATCAGCAGTTGAAGACCACCATTTTTCATTTGGATCATATTTCGGGATCTTGAAGTCCCAGGCAGTATCCGCATACGCCAACGCATTATCCAGGGGCGAGGCCATCCCACGTTGCTGCTGCTGACGCTGCTCTCGTATCCGAGCCTCAACCCGTAAAAGCTCGTCAATCCAGGGTTTCGATACGGGCATCTCCTTATCGGCGAAATACCTGACTAGTTTCTTCACCTGGTCTAGGAAATCAATGTGCGTATATTGGCCAAAGAAGAAGATCTGTCCATCCCGGCCGAGAGGATCGCTGAACACACTAGGTGGCGTCCATTCTGTGGCATTAGGGTCCCCAAGAGCAGGCCCTCGCAAATACTTCCAGACCGGCTTCGAAGTTGGGTTTTCCGAGCTAGGGTAGAGAGTTTCCTGTATCAACCTCAGTAGAGGCTTCGTTGTGAAATCTATTGGTCGAAGGGGAATCGCCGCCATCATAAGCAAGCCTATGCAATTTGTTTAGTACAAGAACATGTGCCATATTGATGATTAAAGTAAAGAAAGGTCGAAGTGTAGCGTACCAACTGCGTGCCACGGCCACAGCTTTTCTTTTTGATGCAAACAAGTGGTATACTGAACTCGAGATCCCCAAGGGATGGTGCTCATCAGCCAATGTGCATTGAAGGCGCAATGGTAAAGTCGTCTGTTCACAAAAGTCCTCTTCATTTCGGCATCGAAGATGTGAAATCTTTTCCGCGCTTCTAGGTTGGCCCACTTTGCTCAGTAGAATTAGTACACCTGACAACCCTCGTATGATAATTGTTCGATGGACTAACTGGTGAATTCAACCACTAAGATATCTTGATTAGCAGCTATACAGAGCCTAGAGCAGCTTAAAACTTGTCAAAGAAATAATAGATGAAAACAACTTTTGGCTTGGTGATTCAGGGGTGATCTACAATGTTACGAGTCGACGATAGATTATACTCACTTTTTGGCGTTCCTGGTCATACCATCCAGCGCGGGCTTGGTTGTACACTATCATTTTTCCCAATTAGTGATATTTCGTTTTGCCAGGTGCTGCAATAATGCCAATAGTATTGAGCATGAAGAAGCTAGAACTCGAAATGAGCCATGACACACTCGCGAGATTTCACTTACGGCTCTCCCTTAACTCCCAATCTGAAATCACATCCGCAAGCCCCTCATCTAATTGTCCCTGCTCACGTAATTCCGTAATCGTTTCGCGATCCATGATCATTGGTGAGGGCCTTGAACTTTTGGAAAATGTGGCGGCATAATATGGATGCTCGGAACGGAAAAAGTCGATACTGTGAAAGAAATTGTCGCTCTTTCTAGGGATCGTATCGTCTTTCCAGAATTCTTCTGATAATAACTTCGATGTCCAGAGTGATGTTACCAAGGTAAGCGTGTTATCGACCCCATCTTGATAGGCTGGGTGTCCACTGGCTGTGCGGCCGAGACCGCCTTGGCCTCCATAATCTGGGAAGGGCCATGATAACTTGTGGATGCCGAGCATCGGTTCCTGCTCGCCCTTCACTATGGAAATTAGTATTCGCTGTTCTCGCTCCATATCAAATTGGCTGTCTTCTGCAATGAAGGTATATATATATGAACAATAGAAACCTTACACCCAACTATACGAATGGGACCACCAAACATAACTTTCTCCACTGTTAACGTAATGATGGTTAGTAATCCCTTGTCGTTAGGGGTTCGAATTATCTCCTTTTCGCACTTACGGGCGTACCCCATTTCCGCCGACCCTCCATAGTCCACAAACTATACAATATAGGCCAACTATCATTAGTTGCTTGATGTTCTCGTGTTGGGCCACTAGGACGCATTTTATTCTTTTGATTCAGCTTACAGGCTCCGAGTTCATTCTAGGGAATTGCAACCAATCGTCATTGTATGGGTTCAAAGTGGTAAAAAATTGGTCAGTATCGTGTTTAATTCGCCTATGCACCAGGCCATGTGCTGTATATTGAGGTCAGTCATGTCTCGCAAGTCTTCTTTTCGTAAAGAAAAACTGTAAGAATAGTGTTATGTGAGAGAATGTGACTTGGAATCTGCCACTCATTTCACGACAGGGTGATATCAAGAAGTCCTCTCATACCAAGTTCGTGTACCATCTGAGACGTCGTCAGTTTATAACTGCGGAGTTCAAAACGACGACTTTCCCCTCCCTTCCTCTAATGCCTCGTGGCAACAAGAGAGAGAGAGAGAGAGACAGGAAGATTAGAAAAGAAAGAAAGACCAGAGAAAATACGATTAAAAGAAATTACTAACTGTGTCTGCTTGAGCAACTATTGCGTTACAACGCTCAGCTAGCGTGTATCGATTGTTCATTAGTGCCCTTAATCTGATAGAATTCAAACAAATGAGACCACCCCGTGTCGGATCTGTGACTCCCGCATAAACATCATCATCAGCATCAGTAGGTGGCAAGAATGCCCATTGCTGATCCGAACTCAGATGTTCAATACGCGCAGTCCACATAGATTCGTCATATTTATCCAAAATCGTATCCCAGTTGAACGGCGCGTCGCCATTCTCTGCCTGCCACCGTTGTTTCATGAAAGCTCGTGATAAGAGGACTTTAGCCTCGGGCTGGGGCTCCGCAGAAGGGGCAGCTTGTACTTATGGAAAGTCAGTTGGTGATGTTGCACTAGAGATACACTTTGCCCTTCGAAGTCGGACAGCGAGCGGTGAAATATCGACTTCGACTTACTGTATTCTGGGTCATTCCAGTAAGTTAATTTCCCGTAAAGTATAGTTTCCAAGCTTTCATTAGAAGTTAGTAAGGCAATAAATCTTCTGTCGCTGGACTCGGCCGGCCTCACAATGGGTGCTTATCCTTAACAAGTGCTTTAAGCATTCGGTCTACTAGTTCAATTACCATACTAATCCAGTACCATGCCCTGGGTTCGTCGACGGACCAGCGATCACCCTCCACGAGAAATTCCCTTTGGTCTTTAGGGGAGGCTACTGAGCCCCACCATCGATCCTTTCTGAAGCATTTAAACCACCTGTCTTCGTTGACTTCTATGCGCTCTGTGCCGAAAATCGCTGCGTGGATTGTGGTAACTTTAGGTTGAACAAGCGACCTGATATTTCCGCCTGGTACGTATCCTCGGCGTGAAAATCGAACAACGCGGTTTTGAGGGCCTAATTGCCATGGGGCAATGTTTTCAAAACGACCTCGATATTTCGTTTCAGCGAAGAAGAATCTATCAATGTCGTCCTGGCCTGAGAATACTCCTTGGTCTTTTGTTTCGAGCGGGTCATCGTAGTATATGGAGTGAATAAATGGGCTGATGAGGCATATAGCGTGAGTAGTTGAGTCTAGCATTTACAGAGCTCGATCACTTCAACGCGCGTACGTTCTTATGAGCTGAGACAAAAGCTTTAGGAATCTTACCCTGAAATCTGAGGATTAACAAACTATTCCCTACTATCATTGATGAGCCGTCTTAGAGGTGGTTCAAAGTCGATGGGCTCGAACACGGCCGATTGTAACATTGGTATGCTAGCAGTACATGAAAGAGATGGAGTGGATACTTACGGTCAGGGGCAACACCCGATTTCTGTTCGGGAGCCCTGTCAAAGACGGCATCCTGATCAGTGTCTGTGATCCCAAAACGCGCTGCCCAAGGCGAGAACGGCCTGCTGTCTACGTTTTCATTTTGCGGATCGTCTAGCTGTAGAAACTGAAGCGGCGGTATCGGCTGCTGTGCTTGTAGTGGAAATGCCATCGTGTCGCCGTGATTCGACCTTACCTAGTAGAAGAACTGAAATACTGTGAGGAAAGTGAAGGAGAGGGTTATATGCATGGAAGGGATAGGATACGAAGTGTTCAGCGAGAAGCTGTGGTCAGTTCCAATGCCCATTCTACTAACCGATCTTCGTTTATCTTGCAAAATTGTTTTCTCGAGAGTTTCGCGAGTTCCAGGGAAGTCACAACAAAGCAGCAGCATTTGGCTGCAAACGGAGCCCCTGCCTAGATGGGACGTCACACGTGGCAACAAAGATGATTGTAAAGACTGACAATCCCGACGGTTTGCATACAATACGATTCTTACTTGCTGTAGCTGTCGCATTTAGTTCCTAGATGATGATACTATAGATAGAAAGTGTGAATAGATAGATCATTAGGCGACACGCATACTACAAACCATCCTACCAATGCCAAGTCTGAGTGCAACAATAAACAAATAAATACTAAAAAGATGGATAAAAAGATGGTATCTGAAGGAAGAGTTGAACAGTCAATACGGGCTAGTAATATAGATTGCCTATTTATGATTCAGTCTAACTTATGCATTCGATGTTGCACCAGAATGATTGGTTGCTGATCATAGAACTTGGAAGCTCGTGTGAACCTAGCTTGCACAGCCGCCACACTTGATTCCGCTGGAGGTAGTGTACTAATAAGCAGTAACTGAAAGTACACTCTTTTGAGAGCCACGCCAAATGCTTTCAAGGTCAAGGTGACGCTGCCCAATGGAGAGGTAGATGGTTCCTGGGTGGTAACATGTAATCGAGCTGATATCTGACGGTATTACATAGGGCTTCGAAGGGGGGGCAAAACGCTGCAATTGACCGCATGAGCTCAGAAATTGCTTGTACACATCTCGAGCATCTACAACTAAGACAGCAAATAGGAACTTACATAATAGCATATAAAATCTACTAAGACCAGAGAAGACCTAGCTGAGGCAGCTTCTGGAAGCTATGTATGGTAAGATAGGGCTTGGCGGCTGAGAGCTTACGAAGTACGGATCTGTACGGATGTTGGTGCGATGCGCTGAGGATGACTCAATAGTGCTCAGCCACGATTAGAGTGAGATCGGGATTCGGCGTGTAGACAATGCCATGATGATGATGATGGAGCATGTAAAAAACGGCGCGGCCGTTTGAATAATTCTTCTAACGGCTCTGTAATGGCCTCAGATTCGTATCTCGCTCTCTTGCTTTCTTTTGCTCGTCTTTCCTTTGCCTATCTAGTGAAGAACTTTGAAGGAGTTACCTATTTGGACATTACTTATGTCATTTCCACCTGTATAATTATGTAGGTACCCATGATCTGCCTCTGATTTGCCCTTGCTAAGGTTGCTAAAGCTACATTTACAGCAGGACAGCACCCGAAGAGGTTAGATAGTGGCGGATAGGTACCCAGTTTACCGTTTGCCGAGCCTTTCGACCCCTGCCCAACTCCGTCACGTTCGTCACCAGACACCAGACGAGCATTTGGTACCTACGAAGTAGCGGGGCATCTTCCATCTCCCTCCGATCTTCCCTAGATAGCCGCCGGGCGCAAACATTCTCTTCCTCAACACAACCCATTACTATTCCAACTCTCGTCCATTTTGGCACCTTCTCGCATTAGCGCGCCGCTCAGAATGGACCCCGACGGACTGTTGAAGAGGAAGGACACCACCAAGGGCCCTCCCTTGAGGATACTGAGTCTAGGTATGTGTATCAACGGTGTCAACCGCGCCAGCGACAGCGCCAACACCATTACACCACGTACATTGTGACATGAGCTAACGCAAGCGTGTGCCCTCGGCATACAGACGGTGGAGGAGTTCGCGGCTATTCAATGCTCATCATTCTCCAAGAGTTAATGCATCGGACATATGTCGAAATCGAAGGGAAAGCCCCGCGCCGTGAACAGATTCCCAAGCCATGCGATCATTTCGACCTGATCGTCGGTACTGGCACCGGCGGTTTGATCGCTATCATGCTAGGTCGCCTACGTCTAGACTTGGAACAATGTAAAGAATTATACGTGGAGATGACGCGCATGGTTTTTGAGACGGACAAGACGATTGCCGGCATCCCCTACCGCTCGACCTTGTTCAAGGCCTCGATGCTCGAGCACGCTATCAAGGAGGCTGTAAGGATGCACACTGTTTCGGATAACGAAGGCAACGATAGTAGCACACCAACGATGGTCAATCCCCTATCCGCCGCCTCACGATCAAGTGCTGGTTCGGGTCCCAGACGGCACCAAAGCAATGCCAGCACCGTCAGTTTCAGCGCCAGAAGTCCAACTACTCAAGGACGGTCGGCATTTAGAGGGGGATCAGGAGACCCGAATGCGAGATTATATGACTCGCGGGAGAACAGGACCAAAACGTACGTGTAGCCCTTTAGCTTGAAATTATGACACATGTTGCTGATACGAATGTAGTACTGTCACAGCCGTTTACAAAGGTACCAACAGAGGAGGGGAGCCCGCACTGTTACGATCGTACGATTCGAGAAAGGAACCGGCGCCCGAATATGATTGCAAGATCTGGGAGGCTGGTAGGGCGACATCTGCCATTGGCTTGGCTTTCAAGCCCATCAAGATTGGACAATCAATATTCCACGACGATGGAGCTGGAACTTTTAATCCATCTCCATACGCCTTAGACGAAGCTACAGTAAACGAATGGCCTGGGCGTGAAGTTGGAGTTTTCATCAGCGTGGGAACTGGAAAACGTCCAAAGAGCTCGGACCAGAATCAACACGTCTGGTACGAAGGTTTCATGGGAGATTACGCTGATGCCAGGAGGAAGCTTATTTCTAAAATCGAGGGTTGCGAAATAATACACGAGCGTATGAAGAAGGACCTCTTGATGAAACGGGGCGTCAACATTGAGAACTACTATCGATTCAACGTCGAAGTTGGTGTTGGTGAGTTTGCGATGAACGAGTGGCATCGGTTGGGCGAGATCAGCACTGGCACAAGGAGGTATTTAAACAGAGATGCCGAACAGAGGATGGTTCAGGGATCATCCACAAAACTAGCAAAGATTCATCGGGCGAAACAACGTTATGAGAAGCTTGGAAATGCGCCTGACATTATAGCCACTCCTGTATCTGTCATGGGCTCTATTGATGCCCCCTTAGCAGTTGAGCTCCCGGGAGACATGCCGACGAGTTTCCCGCCACGCAACACACGTCCAGTGAGTAGACAATCCTACGATTCTGGCACCGATCACCTACCATTACCCAACACGCCATCGCCTCGGAGTTCTGGGGAACGCGTTCGCCCCAACAAACGCTCATCACCGCCTCAGACAACTTCGCGTTACCAACCACCTTCATCTCCAACTTCTTTAGCCGCAAGTATCAATCCGCCGGCGGATGACGATCCAGACAGACTTGTGGTCAATGCACCTACACCAACGCAATATCGTCACGCCTCTGGAGCAGATAAAATTGCCATCACTAGCCCCGATGAGCATTCACGCAGGCAGCCTGTATTACAACATCAGCCTCATCGCATCGAGCCACCTCCACTGCCTCCTAAGACACCTTTGCCCGATGCCCCTGAAAATACACGACGACGAACAGCATCGGGTCAAGCTCCGCCACCTTATCCCCTAGATGACGTTGGACCACCACCTGCTGTTAATATGGCGAGGAAGCCTAATTTCAGAGGCCGGTGAAGTGCTCACTATGTGACCGTTCGAAACTATTTTCATATGCAAAACTACGATATCATGCTTTTTCGAAACCTGGTATAGACCGGAAGACTGATTCCAGGCGTTGTAGCGGACAAGGATGCTGTTACCGGGATGCACGCTTTTGATCTCTTTATGACTCGCTCGAAATACTATGGACGCGACTAACGAGATGACGGGTATGTCTGTTATAATGAACTTAATGAACACTATGGCCTCAGCTGCGGGCGTCATTCGCAATGTCTTGTACTATCGATACCCCTTCCTTTCTAAATATACTATTTTATGACTCACGCTACCCCGGTTTCTGAACGTCAATGTATTCTGTAACCCAAACGGAGCTAGCGGGGTTTCGCCAATTCCGTTGATGTGGGGGCGTTCATTATATATATACGTTCCTGTGATTCATCGCCAAAACTGAAAGACTTCGACATCAGTCTCGACTCACTATTTTAAAGGTTGACCCTCAATCTGAAAAGTATCTGACCAATTGGGATCATGTCGCCAATTAGAAAAGTTGCGATCATCGGGGTAAGTCACATAGTTTGCTTGTTTAATTTTCTTGGCGTTGCCCCAAATCAAACCGATTCTCTTTGTCCCGGCCCGGCTGTCAGATCGTAGAGCTGGGCGACGAGCTCCTAGGTGATTGAATTGGACGCCTTACAGACAGATCTTGGTTGGTCGCGATTGATATCTTATTTCGTAGATAATAGATCTTACTTACCGGGTCGGTGGGTGTGCGGCGCACGCCGCTGCTGACGACCTTACTTATCTACGCGTCTCGTTGAGTTCTGGTTTAATTTCACTTACTCACACGTTCCTTGGACCTGAATGTCAATAAAGATGCCAAATGCTAACGCCGCTCCTTGTTTTCCCCGAGTATAGGCCGCCGGTAACTTCGGCGCGCCCATCACGTCCGCGCTCGCGAACGCCGGGTTCACAGTGACTATTATCACGCGTCCGGGATCTGCGTCGGTGTTTCCGGAGGAATTGCCCGTGGTTCGCGTCGAGTATGCCGATGTGGATGCGCTCGCGACTGCGCTCGCCGGTCAGGATGCTGTGGTGTGTGTCGTTGGGCCCGGCGCGATTGGTGCTGCTAAGGGCATGGTGGAGGCTGCGGTGCGCGCTGGTGTGAAGCGGTATATCAGTAAGTTTCCCTCAGATCAGTAATGTGTTTTCTTGCGGCGCATTCATTCCCCAGATCTACCGCCTTTTCTAGGCTTTCGGGGAGTGTTAAGAGGAATTTCACGTATCTTTGGATACGGCGGTGCTCGGCGAACTTACTAGTTCTATTTGTCCCTAGAAGATGCCAAAATAGCAACCGTGCGATTGCAGCGCATGCGCTGGTTCATCTTCACTGACACATCGCTCTAGTCAACGATTTTGGCTGGGGCTTGAATGAGCGCAGTCTCCCCGAGTTCAAACCCATTGGCGAGCCGCGTAAGGCTGCCTGGGAGTGTGCTTTTGAGTATGCGAAACGAGACGAGGGGAAAGAGGATGGATTTACCTGGACGGGCATCACGATTGGAAATCCAATCGACTGGGTGAGTTAAATTACTTTTTTGCCTCCGCGCTCTACCTAATCCTTCAAGGGGCTCAAATTTCCTTGTCGCCTGGTCTTTGCCGACTCTCTGCGGGTGTAGAAAGCTAGAAGCGTTGAATTCACCCCAATGACTTACTTACAAGTTTACTCATATCTCTTCTTCTACCAGGCACTCGCAAAATTCCCGCGCATGGGCTTTAACATCGCTGAGCGTCGCGCGACGATATACGACGCCGGCACAGAGGAATTCACGGGCACGACGCTCGAGGGCATAGGACAATCCGTTGTCGGCGTCTTCCAGCATCCCGCCGAGACAGCCAACCGCTTCGTCAAGGTGCGCTCGATCCAGACGTGTCAAAACGAGATTCTCGCCGCGTTTCAAAAGGCAACGGAGGGGCAGCAGCGTGAATGGGAAATCGAGCGCTCAACCGCGCAACAGACGCTCGAGGAAGGACGTGGCAAGCACGCTCAGGGCCTCGGAGGCTGGATCCTCGATCTCCTCGTATATCAACTATATGCGCCAGGGGAGGCCCGCTGCGTCGTCGCGGGAGCAGAAGACAGCCTGCTTTTGCACATCAGGCAGGAGAGCGCCGACGAAGTTGTGGAGAAGGCGCTCATTCGGGCGAGAGCCTAAGCCGGCCACGTATCTTACGGAGAGTCTGGACTTCTGAACCCGGCCGAACCGACGCAAACCTCAGTGACCCCCCTCAGCAAACAAAACAAAAATAGGTCAACACCTCTCTGCTGTGTTACTATACTTGGAGGTTGGCTGTGGGTTTGGGCGTGTCTGGATGAAAATGATCCCATCATTACTCGGCCGCTCGTGATCGACATTCAATCAAGGCTGGCTGGCGCGGGCAAGGCAAGCTTGGGATGGGGATGCTGATAAAAGAAGTGGAGGCTTGATTACTGGAGAGATGAATTCTCGACCCAGACAAGGCAGGCGTATCAGACGTGTCAGGGCGTCTAGCCTGGTCTATACGCGCAACAACACACGCCATCGCACCCATACATGGCCATCCGCAACACACGATTAGGCGCAGGGAGAGGCAGGTGGTGGTGTAGTATAGCGGCGGCAAAACTCGGAAATTTTCTTTTTCTGGCACAGGCACACAGGAAACAGGGTCCTCGTGCCCTTGTCCCCGGGATGGGCCCTGTCTTGTCTTTGCCTCGTCTTGCTTACTCGGTCAGTCAAGCGAGATAGAGAGACAGAGAGGATTGCCCCGTCCAACGATCAACCTTGCCGTAACGAGACCTCTCCACTTCTCCCCTTGGCCCCCTGTCCCCGTATCATCTATCATTTCACGACACTTCACTTCAGCACAGACGTACCCGCCCCGCTAGGGAAATGGTCAGGCGAAAAACGCATCAGCCAGGTAGTCGGACGTAGGGAAATTATCGGCGATGATTGACCTATCATGGATGATGGTATTCTTTCTTGAGCGTATCCATGCCCATGGTCTGTGTGCACTACTAAGGTGTATACTAAACATTCAATCTCAGCAACATCCCATCGTGTTTCACAACTGCCGTATTTGCTCTCTTCTTTTTACATGTTCATTTCATCCCGCAAAATTGCAGCGTAGCAATACATTAACGAGACTGCTAGCGCAGGTTACGTGTTCGTCCGTGTGTAAGAAGTCATGTAATGTAGTGTACTACGCACCGAGCCTTTGAAACCCTTGTCCTAACATCATTTGGCGAGTTCCATAGTAGCTTTACTTAGATAATAAAACGCTTTGATATTACATCCACAACAACTGCAGCCACAACTACAATTTACAGTAACTTAGCCGACGAAGTTCTCTTCACTTAAGATGGGATGAATGCAAGTACAAGGTAAGGGGTTGCAGAACGACCAGATCAGACCAACCAAGCCCAACCCAACCCCGGGTTTTTCGCCTGCTGCTCTCCTGCCTCCGTGCTCGCATGAGAAGCGTAGTTCTTGCTTGGGCCTATCATACCACAGGACTCTATACTCCCTATCACGCGCAGTATATCCAAGAGTGTCATATGTATATAGGCTGTAATAAGTACATTATCATTATACATAGCGCAGCATAATACTGTAACACACAGACTACGCAGACGGGAAGGAACAAACTCCTAGTCGAAACCCATCCAGCCAGCGTACAACGTAGCATATAACGAACAGCAAACGACAAGGACGAAGAGGAGGAACCCGGTAAAAGTCCTTGCAGGAGGAAGGCTAGGTGCTTCATTCACGTTATCAGCATCAAGAACCTAACAGGTCAAGTAGCCTTGCTAATAGGCAGATCAAGGACAGACAGACAGACAGAGAGCATGATGATATCCATAATACACGTCCCCAGCAGTCCACTTCGGTACATTAGGCTAGACAGCTGTATATCAAAGCGAAGTAGAGGGAAAACAGCCAGCCTCACCACGCTCACTCAGCAGCGTAGCCCCATACCTGTCTCACACACATCCGCGAAAAAAGGGCACTTTCGCCTGTTCCTTCCTACTCCGTAGACCATCTACGTATCTATCTATCTGCCTGCCTGTCCATCTGTCCATCCATTCCATCCCGTTCACGTGTATACCGTATACGTATCTGCAAAATGTAGGTGGTGTGAATAAGCAGAACGAGTATACCATATACCTACATAGGTAGTGTAAGTGAGAAGAAGTAAGCCGTTTTGCAACGTGCAAGAGGTTGCAGCCGTTGACGCCACGAAATGCATGCAACAAAACGAATCACCTCATTTTCCCCCGCCACTTTGCGCTAACACCCCTCCAAGGTTATTGCCTACCTACCACCCACCCTCCGCCGATCTCCGCCACGGAAATGGGGGAGGATCGGTCGGGGAAGGGTAGGTATAACGACGTACGTGGATTACATGTGCTAGTGTACCAGTGTAGGCGCCAGATAAAACCGGCATAGCTACCGAGACAGCCAGCCATACAGACAAGATAGGACAGACAGGCTGTTACACCGATGAGACAACCGAATAACAAGGCGTAGTGTACTGTAAGCAGAGTCGCTACCGTCGCCTTTGAAGATACATTACCAGATCAGGCGAATCTATCCCGGGGGCGGTCAGACGTTCCATAAGGCCGTTGTGTCTAAGTAGTGTCATGTCGTGTAATTGAAATAATGGTCTTGTACTGTGCTACCTACCTACCGACTCTACGAAGTATGCTGTGCTGCCGTGCGACGCAGAATCGTGCGTTTCTTTCTTGTATCCGCCTGATTATACTCGCAAACTGAGCTGATAGACTGACGGGTCACATTTTGTTTCATTCGGCTGTTTTGGTTTGTTTTCGAATCGATCCAACATCATGTTGCCGTGCAGAGTTCATTGGTGCAGCTGAACCGCGGCGCATGCACGATACATCATCCTGCCGTGGCTGAACTTGCTCGGTTTGCTCGGATGCTTCTCGTTTCTCTCGCCTCGCTCGGCGGGCTGTACCATGCATACACTACATACTGACATATCCGACTATCTCACACGCATTCTACATTTCCATACATGGGGATAGCTGCAGAAAAGAACAGACGTACAGCTTACAGCTAGGTGGACTCAGGTGAGGTAGCCAAGCTCTCTAGCTCCCACAGCTTCCAACCACAGCTGCTGCTGTTGCGCATCGCTTTTCGTGCTTCGTGCTTCGTGGTGTAAGCGGAGGGTCGGCAGGTACATAGGCGAGGTCAGGTAAATGTAATGTAAGTAGGTGGCTGCCGGCCGGATTGCGCCGCGCTTCGTGAAACAAATCTACTACACATGCAGGAAGTCAGAATAACTAACTAATGTACTATGTATGTGGTGTAGAAAAGTTCCGCCGCGAGCGCGCGCTCGAACCCGCACCAGCGCAAACGCAAACGCACAGGCACAGGCACAAGCACAAGCTACAGTAACAGCCGTTAGGTACTCGTGGTGAAACGAGCGAGCGAGCAAGAAACTAAGTAAGTAAGCACCTGCATGTCGTGTTAGCTGCTGCTATATGCGCGTCTAGTATATACCATATACTATACTAGTGTCGTGCTATGTGTTATAAAGGTGTACGATATACGTTTGTGGGGAATAGACGAGACGAGGCGAGGCGAGGCGTGAGAGATGAAAGAATAGTGGGCAAAAATATCATCACACAGTCCCCTGCCGTGTGTGCGTGTGTGGCGTATGGAAGAATTGAGGGCAAATAATATCAATTACTCCGGAAACACCAGGTAACCTAGCGGTTCGTTCCGCTCCCTGAAGAACGGCAACCCGTAATTCCCCGGGCCAAGCCGTTAGAGGACAAGGGTGTTTTTTTGGGAAGAGGAGCAAAAGCGTTCGATATCGTACTCTGGACTGTGCCTAGTGTGCACACTACTTACAGTCAGGTAGCCTAGGTATGTGTGATATTTCACACACAGTATCACTGACATGATCCATGGCTGTTGCAGACTGCCGTGCACGGCCTGTTGACAAGCGAACGTTACGTCTTTCTCTGTATCCGGATTGTGATGGCAGCACTAGGTATAGCATACGATTTTAATGTTTGGACCGGAGAATTTCGCGTGTACAGCAAACAGAAAGATGCCGGTAATCGTGATGACCAAGTACGAATCAGAGACAGAGGACAAAAAAAAAAAAAAAAGTCAGAGATCAAAGGGGTCCTTCCTCATGATCCTAGTACACATCTTCGGGATGAATTGAGCGAATGCCCTTGCGATTGGGCCGTCTGGGCAGGACTAGCGGGTGGGCGGGCGATGGACGATGGGGAATGATTCGCATTAGCGTAGCTTCGCCCAGGGCAGGATGGACAGGGGTAGACGACAAAGTCGAGGAGTCGTCAAGGTCCTGACTGGACTGAGAGCCAGGGACATCTGCTGGACCTGCTGGGTAATCATGCATGGCATTCTTGAAAATACGACGCTGGCCGCTTCTGGTTCTCGAAACAAACCCTGGGGAGAGGCCTGGACGGGTCTGCTTAACGCACCGCATTATTCTCAAACATTCCCAAGCAGGGAAACGGGCCAATACACGTGTCCGTGGCTTGGGATGGTGACTGACCTGATACTGACTACAGTAGGTATCTCTCCTAGCCATGCAGCACCAAGCAGCAGCAATACCACCACAAACATCTTCACCACCTTCAGCCATCTGCCACCATTAGATTGGCGCACATCCATACTTATGGATACTGCTAACTAAGTATGTACGGTAGGTAGAAGTAGGTAGTGTAGTCGAAACGTGATGAGGCTAATTAGCAAAGATATCCTAATAACACTATACTACATATTGGCCTTAGCATCGACTACACTACCGTTAGTGCAATGTAGTGCTCGGCCATCTATAGTATACAGACACTACTTAGACAAGGTACACTCTGCCATAATTCCCGGGATAATACCTACAGTAAGTACACCAATCAATCTACTGCGGGCGACTCCAGTGGCTCCTCCTCCTCTTCCACAGTTGGCTTCACATATGTCCCTTTTGGGTATGTCGAACCGTTCGCCTTGTCTTGGCCTGCCTCTCCCGGCTGCTTTTCTGGCTGCTGCTCTAGTTGCTGCTGCGGCTGCGGCTGCGGCTGCTCCTGCTGCCCTGCTTGCTGGCCTGTCTGCTGTTCAGCTTGCCCATTGGCCTCGCCGTTGGCTCCATCACCACCTTGAGCTGCGTTCGCATCTGCCGTGCCATCCTCAGCTTTCTCCTCCTTATCCTTGATCTCAGGCGGAGGCGGCGGCAACGGTTTGGGGAGACGCATCTCTACCCGCAGTAGCTCGATCTCGAGCACGGGTGTCCCCTCTTCCACCTTGGATTTCAGGCCGTCGCCGTCAACGTCAAAGTACAAGCCCCAGAAGTTGCCCTCCTTGACGGCCAAGAATCCTTCCCAGCCACCGAATGTCAATCTGCGATCCTGACGCGAGCAGTCCCAGGGGATGGGGAAGTTGTCATCTGCCCATGAGCGATTGCCGAACTTCAGCTCATAGCTCCATCGATCCACATAGATCCAGTTCATGACGGGGGGCTCGTCACTTATCGTTGAAACGAGCCCGGAGGCCTTGGAGTCTGGGTAAGGTAGATAGTACCCTGCAAAGGGATGTCCAAATTCCGCCGCATGGTGGGTCCCTGTGTCGATGTATAGCTATGGCTTTGTCAGATTCATGTCTCCTTATCGGTTAAGGAGAGCCAGGGAATAGAAAGGAAAGGGGACTAGGTAGGGGAAAGGAGGAGCAGTGTAGGGGAGGAATCGTAGAAAGGAAAGGGGGAGGTCAGGAGATACGCACCTTCTCGCCCGATAGTACAACACGTCTACCTTCAAGGTAGGGGCTGTATTCGCATGACTTGAGGCACCGGACGATCAGGTTATTCTTCCGGCTCCTGTGCTCCTTTCTTCTCGCGTCCGACTGGATATGCTTGATCGCTTCTGAAGCGCCGAAGACGGTCGCGAAAGCGACTAGGAACGTAAGCTCATTGCTCATGTTGGGCGTCGATGATGGTGTAGCTGCTGTCTCTTGCGCTTGTCCTCTGTGCTCCTGAGATCGTCTCCAAGTACTTAGGCTTTTAGTCAAACCCGGGGGGCGGATGATAGGCAACGCAAGGTGCTGCTCTGATGGCAAGTTACCAAATGATGCTTATTGCTGATCCAGGGGTACCACAAGTCAGCGTGCTGCGTATCGGAAGCATCTGCCCGTTAATTCGGTGCTACAACCTAGAGCTCTCGATCGATATCGTTCGATCCCAACTTCTTGGTACTAGCTAAAATTAACAATGGCCGGAAGAAAAGGAATATAGAGGATTGCCGCTAATGTGGAAGCGCTGTGTTGAGCTGCACGAACCTCCAACTTTTCATGCCGGTCAGGCATCTTTGTTTTTCTATACCCCCTATAGTATACTGTATATGTGCGGCTGATGGTAGAAGCAGGGATCGGCCCTGTAATCGGGGTGGAGAGGTGTGCCCCGGACACTGTCAACAAGCAGGTCGATCTCGCATGGAGTGCGGCATACAGAACGGGCATACCATCCGTGGTATCCGTAATTCGTCCCCGTCCCCCCCACGACGCCGTGTTATTGGCCGTCGTGGTGGTTGACAACGAAGCATAATCTAGACGAGGATCGGCCCTGTATCTCGGGACGGCAACGTGTCACTTGTACGGGACCGTCCGATCCATCGACTACATGGCATGCTTTTCATCGTACGATCTAGATCCGAATCTGGCAAAGCCCACCTTGGAGTTGAGGACGCAACGACCCTATGGCGCTTCAGTAGTACTGCACACTGAAGCTTTGACGACACTCACCTTGCAGCCGACAAACACGTCAGTATCTGAGGGCGCGATACACAATTGGACGACGAGGAGAAGAATTAGGCTAGGCGCGGCTATGACCTCCTGGTCAAAATGGTTTATCAGGACGACGAGGGAGGATGTGTATAAAGGGGCGGCACAGCATCCCCAACCATGAGTTCTTTTCTGCCATCATCACCAACATCAATCAACACAGACACAACGGATTCTTACCCAGAATCGCCTCTTCCTCCATCATCACCGCAAGATCTTGCATACACAAGCCCTCGTTCTTCCGGTAAGAAAAGACTCATCCGCCCTTCCACTCCTCCCCGAACTTCCTCTCGTCACGCAACTTGGGTTATTCCCGACGTACCAAACAAGCTCTTGCCTACAAGAACTTTGAGGCGTAAACAAAAGCGTTCTTCGCTCAGACTTGTTGAAACTTCGCCGCAGTCAACCAACCAACCCATCTCCATCATGTCTTCTCCGTAAGTAATCTGGTCCTCCGAAGCCGAGGAGATCTCCATTAACCCTCAGCCCAATAGCGTCAAGACCTCTCCTCCCACTGCTTTGGACCGCAACTTCGGTTCCAGCGAAAACTCCCTAGCTGCCCCCAGCCTTCCCATGCCCGGTCTATCTGGCCGTGCCAACTCTTCCACCGGTAAGTTATTCCTTCCCAGCCAACATTGTGACCGCAAGGCACAGCAGCACCCACTGCACACACCTCACCACATAAATCTACCACCCTCTCCATCATTCACCCCGTTATATTGGACACGACACCAGGGCATCTGCCAGACTGGTTGGTTAACTGACGCTAACGGAAGGTAACGCAAAACAGGCAACCTGCTTAAGGGACCCATTGACGACGACGGAAAGCTCAAGAGCGCCGCCCTCCTCGTTGGTATCAAACTTGACCTTGAGGCCGAAGTCCACCTCACCGCCCGCGTCCGAGGTGACATCGTCGTGGGGCTTTACTAGATGTGGTTTCCACAAGCAACCAGGCGTGCCCGCCTCGCACGACAACGACAACGACAACATCAAAGGCAACAAGAACCACGATGACGCCCTCATAACAGGGCTCTTCTTCCTTGGCGGTGAGAAATCTGACAACGGGAGCGAGTTCCAGTTTGGCAACGTTCGGGTGCACTTGCAAACGAGCAGTCAGGGTTTTATCATAGGGGCAGGACGGGAGTCGGTGTCTATTCTTCGGATTACGCTGCGCTTCACTGTGGATTTCATGGATGAGAAGGATTTCGGTTTGGACTGGGGTTTCGAGAGCATAAAAAAGAAAAAGGAACAAGACGCTACTCAGGGGAAGAGGGAAACGGATCATGGGGAACAGGGCATGAAGCATGGGGATGGTGGAGGAAAAGGGCAACAGGAACACTCACTTTCATTATCTCTGACCGTGACGATCACCATCATGGCCATTAATTCACCATCGCTCTCTTAAAACAGACCTGAGTCCGCTACTTCTGCTTGTGCAAGTGATGATCCTGTTTATAAAGCCTCAAAGGTATTTGAGCCTTGATCGAAGCGCCTGAAATCGGTGTCAATCTAATTGATTGTTTGGTAGGTTTCCCTTCCAGCCTGCAGTTCAGCTTGTCGTGAACTTTCTATCTTCACAGCATTGTAACTAAACCGTAGGATCATGGTTTCAAGTCTCTCGCACAAGTTTGCACTGCCGATTTCACGCTGTAAGCGGCATCTTGGCCCATTCACTCACAAACCACATCAAGCTAATTCGTAAACCATGTCTAATTTTTGTTCCCATAAGCGCCGTCAAGCCAAGTGGTATCAGTACTAACCAACTCCAAGAAGCATAGTTCAAGAAAGTCATCCACTTCGGTCATCCACTTCGGTCATCCAATCATCATTCCAACCGGAGTTTAATGAACTCAACCCACTTATCGATATCCTCACAGACTTCAAGTTTCTCGGCAAGTATCTTCCTGTCGAGAGGTACGTGCTTTCCTTTGGCCTGAGGAACTTCGCTTTCGATCTCCGAGAAAATATTATCAGATACAATGTGAATTTTCCCATTGAGCTGAATCTCAACATTGATCATAGCCGTCGCGTCCCTGAAGGGAAATACTACTTGAAGTCGGGGAATCGGGTGTGCAGAAAGTACTACATCGATCTTCAGACTCTGAGGAGAGTTATCATCCTTGGTCCTAGACATGAGGTCTCCGAGATCGCGGTTCGTCGTGCGTATACTCGAAGAGGTTTTACTGTATGTAGCGGACGTATTCGGCTCCGGGAAACTAGGCAAGTCATCGCGCGGCTTGAAACAATTTGAAAGTAATAAGGATAGGAACGCGTATTGTCGCAATAGAGGCAGCATTGCAACTAATTCTTTCGGGTGAGATATTGGTACGTGAGTGAGGACTTGGCCATATACTGGCTTATCAACTACCAAAGTATTTCTGTGGGCTTTGAGGATAGGTGGTTCTGATCTGAGCTTGCTCCTATCCGTCCACACAGGTACCGTCTGCGTGACTGTCATAATACGAGGCTCGCTAGGGTCGTAGTTGGCACCCTCCTTAACAGGGAATAGGAGATTATCGAATGTGCTGCCAGACAAAGGGGCGTTAAACGCAGATATCTTATAAATCTCCATCGCTACTCCGTGCGTGACAACAACTGGAGGATCAAACGTTGCCATGAAGGTAATTTCGACGGGCTTGGGTATTGAAAGCGCTGCAGCATCTAATTCTCCTTCTGGCTTGTTCTCTTCGGTGTTTGGGAGTAATGTGTTAGGCGGCTCCAACCAGTCTAATATTGGCCCTGGGGTTGACATAACCTCGTCATCTGTCGGGTTTGCTTTCACAATGTTGGGACCAATCCATTTGTCCGAAACGCGCACCGGGGTGTAGACCATGCTATTTGCGGGTGCACAATCAATGAGTATTCCCCAAGTCTTTCCTGTTTCGTGTTCTACTGTGTTCCACGGGAATTGGCGATATTGCTTCCAATAGGCAAAGGTAAGACCAACCTGCCCTTTTGTATGCACAAGCGGACAACCATGTCGACTACAGAGAGCCCAAACCCGCAGGTTGTCTTCGGATTTATCACTCAGGCCCGGATCTTCACGTAGCCTCTCCACATCCCACCTATGCAGCTTCTCCAAACTCTCCCACATTCCGGCGACAGCCTCGTGACAGTTTAGACCTGGTATGATACTCAACCTATCCAATGTTGCCAAGCGTTCTAAGTTGATCCTGAACTTGGACAATTTCTTGGTAAGCTGGCTCTCGCCAGGCCCGAGTGCCAAGTCTTTGAAGAGTATTGCCGAAGCTTTCTCAACGTGTTTGTCAAGCATTGGTGACGGTTCGTTAAAAGTCAGCGAAGCATGATAAACAACGTGGTTTTTTATATGTACTTCAATGCCCATAGTTCGACCTGCTATGATCAATACTTTGTCATTCTCTGAACCAGTCCCGGCGGTCTCCCAAAGGCACTCTAGTCCCAGGTAAACAGCCAATCTCTCGAGCCCATCATTGCTGACTCGTGCAGTATCGAAATTCTGATATTCATGTGAGCTTAGAGTGACCTCTTAGGGAAATTACTACGCGACCTACCCAGAGAGCTGTAATTACAGCATCCATACGTTTCTTCCTATCATCTTCATCTGATCGGTTGCCCCCTCCCACCAGACCACCAACGCCCAGAGAATCGAGATTGATGTCGAGGCCTAGGCCGCCAAGCGCCGCAGCAGCAGAGGGGCTATCGAAGTTGAGAGGCGGGTTTCCAGACTGACTAGACATGGCTCCAGACGGAAGGGTAGCTGCTGCAGGAGACTTCTTAAGTTGCTGCGGCGAGGAACGAGGCCCGTGAGGAGATAGAGCGGCGGCGGCGGCTTGCGAGGTCGAGAAGGGAGTCGATGCTTGGGGCGTCGGCGCGGCGGCTGGATGTTGGGACGGGGTGCGACCCTGCTGAGAGGGGCCGTGGCGCATTGGGGTCGACATCTTTGATGCTCGACACAATAGCAAGAACAAGGGCAATTCGGCAAGTGGTCTTTAACTCTATGGCGCAGTGTGACAAGGGCGTGCGAGCAAATGCAGGTCGGGTACGTAAAATGAAGTCCAAGCAAGCTCCTAGTCGTGCAATACAGAGATTCTCATTGAAGATGTTGTTTCGCAATAAAGCATTTTGAGAGACATGTATGTGGGAGAAAAGAGCACACCTGCGAGCTCACACTCGAGTTGCCCACTCCGCTAGTGTTGCGAAGAGAGACGCTGGCACCGTCGAGAGTTCCCAGACAGCTAAATTGAAGCTTGGAAAGCTTGACGCGGGACCAAACGCCTGTTGACGAGCGGCACGTGAAAGTACATTCGACCCCTGCTCACCTGCCTACAGTATCCCGAGGATATATGCACGGTATTTTAACACTGTATGAACCTCTAAAACATCCTTCTTCTTCTTCTTCTTCTTCTTCTTCTTCTTCTTCTTCTTCTTCTTCTAACTTCAGCTACCTAGCCTATTGTTCTATACATGCTACAGTAGTCCTACCGCAAGAACAAGAAACAAGAATCACAGTTACCTCCAACACAGAAACACAATTCATAATACCATCTTAGGTAATGAGCAATTCTAATAGCTAGTTGATTCAATTCTCTAGGGCCATTCCCCTCAAAACACACTCTCTCATTTGCAACCAGTGCCATCATCTGTGCTACAGTAATGACCTATTTTTGGCCCTCAGCCTAAACCGACGCCCTTATTCTTTCCATTTCCTAGTCTAACGTCTACCTATTCAGTACCTAAGCTTAGGTATCATTCCGCATGTGTCCAGTGCAAGGAATGGGAAAACAAGAATCAAGACGGTCTGGCCGACTACTATCCCTTTTCGCCCTCAAAGGCTCTAACGAATGTAAGAACGAATCAATATATAGATACAAGTGCGTTGTCGAAACCTGCCAGATTCAGCAAATATGTCGGGGAGAGGTCTGAATCCGCATTGCCACAATGCCTTGGTGATACGATATTTATGCTGGCAAAGGGAAAACTGCTGTCGCTTTAATCGCTATGGAAATAAAGTGGGAAGGCCGAGTCGTCGATATGGCCCCGTTCTCATATCGTTTCCCCTTACATTTCAGCCAAGCCTCGAGCTTCTGGCTTCTTCGCTCTTTTCCTTTATCGCCTGTCATCTGGGCGCCAATTTAACAAAGGACCTTTTGCGCTCCTGAGCGCTGACGATCGGCGCGGCGAGCCTGTCGCTGTTTGCAACTCAATGCATAGGTTGGATCTGTCGCTCGAAGATGCTCGAGGTACTCCTCGTATTCTTGCTGTCGTACCGCCTGTACTCCATCCCCAGGGCGGAATGGACGGTCCGGCTTTGACACTGGTTTGGGCCCAAACATATTCTTGACCCAAAGAGGTGTGCCGGTCGCTGGTGGGTTCGGCATCATGACTCCGTTGCCGCCAAATGGAATTGATGGTCGTGGAGGATTGATCTGATTGAGGAAGCCATTTGGCATTCCGTTAGGGATGAAACCCTGGGCATTATGAGGCAATGTGCAATACCCAGTAGCTGGTATAGGGTTTGCACCAACTCCTCCTGCCCCAATTGCAAAGTTCGGTATCGAGGGACCAGGTGGAGTGAGAAAGGCGGTTTGGTAATCTGCCGGGCCTGGGAGATTTCTATTCACCCCAGGATGGAGAATACCTCCGCCATGTGCCGCAGGGCCAGTAACTTTATAAGACGCTTGGTTTGTCCTGTATCCTTTGCCCCATCTCTGCCGTGCAAACTGATCCTGACTAGATCCCTGACGTGCTATTTGTGCCTCTAATTCTGCTACACGCGTTTCCAGCACACGAAGAGGGTCCATAGATTCTGACGGCTGGTCGGAAGCCTGAACAAGATTCATGGTTACTGCAGGGCTTGAAACGGCCTGCTTGGGCTCAATGCTGACGGTACACTGCTGCTCTTGGCCGGTACAATGAAACTCGATGGCTTTGGGGTTCAGCGTTGAAGACCTCTGTCGGCCTTTGGGAAATAGACCACCTATACCCGAGTCTCCCGAGGGACTCTGAGGGTCAACTTTCATGCCCTTCTCAGGTGATTTAGAGCGGTCACGACCATTCGAATTGTCTTTGTCGTTGACAGTAAATGCGCGGAGGCGTGGGGCACACAGCTTATTGAGTTTCCCAAGAAGATTATTGAAGTGAGTGTCGCTGGGGGTCTCGGCGCTTGGTGCTATGCTGTCACTAACTACACGACCTCGACGACTACGTGCTTCTAGCGTCGATTGAGCGAAAGAAATTGCCTTGCGTCTTTCTTCCCGTATTTCATCATACTCTTTCCTGAGGTACTCCGGAGGCAAGCCCGCCGAGTGGGGTTCCACGAGCGCCGACAGCTGGTTGCGAATCGTCTCTTCAACGTTACTCAATTCCCGTTCGAATCTCATGTCACCTTTGACAGCCCGAATCTCGGCGTAAGGGAAGTCGATAGTTTCCCAGCTTTCGGGCGAATCCGCTAGGGAGACTATTGTGATAGAGCTGGAGTCATTGAGACGTCTGCGAGTGTTGCAGGCATTTTGTTCATCCCAGCTGAGAATATTCTCGTAACCTGCACGCTTAGTAGGTGCCATCTCATTGAGTCGGACAAGAGTCTTGATAGAAGGCTGAACAATTCCGGGATCGAACTTTGCAGAGCACTTGTCGGTTCCTGTCTCAGCGGTGGAAAACTCCGTCTTGGTAGCGGGCGCCGAGAGACAGAGATCGGCGCTGACACTCTCAGGCTTCGTGAATGGGATGAGGTGGGGCTTGACTTCTTCAGGCCTTCTAGATCGATATGCTGTCCGCTCAAGACTGTGAGCATAGTCGATGGCTTGATGTTCATCATCGCGGCAAGGTTTTGCTTTTACTGCACCAATAAATTTTGACTGCTCCGGAGGTGCTGACCAGAGCTGTTCCGGAGAACTCACCTCTAAAGGATGCCGGTGCTTTCGCCAATTATTGTTCAGCATTGCCTCTGATAATCTCGGTGACTCGACGTAGCTAACTTTTCGAGCCAGTCTTACATTGGCAGGGATGCCACTGTTCTCAGCATTACAAGTCTCCCGAGCTAGTTTTGTATCAACAGTAAGGCCCTTCAGGCCAACCTTCCTCTGAGAATCATGCTTATCATTGCGACCACCCAGCAGGGGTTGGTCATTTTGAGGGCTATCCTCAAGAATGACAGTCGCCGTGCTAGGCTTGAAGAAGTCTTGAGCAAATCGAGGATCGATAGTGAGCCCTTTGACGGTGGTCCTAGCCCTAGCCCGCAAATTTTTCTTGTTGGTCGTAAGCATGGCTAGTTCCTGTGCTTAATTTCTCGCCAGCTTTGATGGGAGTTGTTGTTTCGGCCTTGAAAAGAAGTAATCTTAGTACGTGAACTTCAACGACTCATGGTACCCCCTTCACCATGCAGATTCTTTCGACGAAACCACAAAAGAAAAGGAAACGTGAGCAGTACAAGATGGACAGTGGAGCTTGGCCCGCAAGACACGGTGCTGGTTCGATTGGCAAATATTGAATCTGTTTTCCATATCAGTACATGACCACTTCGACATCTGGTGACTCTGCACACTTCTCGTTCAAGGGGACGGAACGTAACATACATAGCGCTATATCAGGTAGGCCTGCTCTCTTCCAAAATTCGCGGCCGGCGTTGCCAATGTTGCGAGCTCGGGTTGCTCTAGGGGTAGTTGGCTAAGAATCTCTCGAGCGGCCTAGAACAGAGAGAAATCAAGGATGTGAGCCCAGCTCAAGAGCAAGCTTAAGGGTGATGGTTTAGAAGGGGGCAATGGGCTGCTTTGAAGCGGACCGATCTTTATTGTTTCAAGACGAGGTGAAGAAATTGGGAAAGATATTGTAAGTCTGCTCGGCTGAGGACAATACCAAGCACAACCAAAAGAGCTTGATCCAAAAGTCTCGATTTTGCCGAGGAGCAGAATCGAGTAGATCCAACGATGGAGGGATAATGGAGAACAGGAATAGTAGCGGAGTTGAGGTGATGCGGTAGATGCCGGCAGCTTGGAGATATGTGGACAGGGGAATAAGGCATGCGCAGAACTGTGGCAAGAACGGAAGGCGTGAAATTTTCCAAGGAAGGATTGGTGCTGCCCGTGGATATGGACGTTGCGAGTTTTGGAAGCTGCGCCTATGGTACATGCTACCAAGAAAGAGCGTCGTCTCTGATGGAACTTACACCTGAAGAATTGGAAATATTCTGGTAAGCCGCCCCCTGCGATTCACTCATGGGCACTGGAAGAAGAAAGGAGAAGGAGAAAGGAGAAAGGTGTAAAAAGATACGGAGGTGAATCTTGGGGCTAGCAGAGATGAAGTTGCTGAAGTTGGTCTGTAGACAGAGAAGGGTCGGGTCGTTTTTGATATTGATTTTTAAGCAAGGACGATTGAAAGTGAAGAGGGCTTCTATGCCTCTGTTGTATGTGTTTGCGCACCGGCCACAGCTTCAAGTACCGCAACCATTGAAACACCGCCCTGCAGGATGTGTACAAGACGTAGGTCGACGACATGTGAACAATTGAAGATATGATTTGTTTCATCATTGTGCGGCTCTTCCCTTGAACGATGCGACACCGGTGTGACAATAACCTACAAGATGCTCCACGGATGACTATACCAACACGGAGGTTCGTTCCCACAGACTGGTCTTCCTCTGGCGAATCTTGATCCATGAATGGTGATTCCTCCCACGCCTAGACACAGTATTACATCCAGTGACGAGGTAGTCCAAACACAAACCACAATGGCACACCAATCATCAGCACTTCTGCTACAGGCACAGACCTCAGCTTATACCTTGACTAGCCGAGTTGGTTGACAAAAAGTGGCAGGTATCCATGTACCTAAATACAGTAGTAGAGACATTTACTCTGGTACACAATGTATCTATCAAGCAACAATGAGGCTCGAGGGTAGTACTCCACCTGCAAAAGTCCACACGGGGTTGTTTGCTTCAAAGGCGAGCATGTGATCATACCTCCGGGGGAGGGTACCAAAGTACATGATTGTAAAGCTTGGATATTGGCATGCTCAAAGCATTTGACAACCAGAAGGACCTATGTATGCACCTGCGTATGCACCTACATCTACCTACACACTTAATGCATAACTTGGACATGCCTACTGGCCAGGGCAAAATGTCAAATACCTGACATCGGCTGGCTGGTGGTATTGGCGTATGAGTCTGTCAGTTGCGGCTATCTGTGGGAGGGCGGGAGCGTGTGGAGGAAAGAAGGAGCGTTGTTGGCATGTAGGAAAAGATCGAGTTTGCTCCTCGATTCGGGGTATCAATTGGGCTCAACGAACTACCTAGCCTAAGGTATCTCTAACTAGACTAGAAGATTGAGTGCATCTCTCATCTCTTTCGAGCCTCAAAACACCGACTCAACTGGTGCCTTACTCTTTCTCTCCCCTAAATTCTCCTCTTCCCTTATGCTGAAGAAGACACCATGATGATTACCATACAAAATACGCTTAGAAAAAGATAGATGGAAAAAAGAAAAGCAAAAAAGAACACAAAAAGAAAATAGCCCAACAAGTAAGCCTATGTACAAACCGACGCCCATGCTTTCCATAAAGATACAATATTTCCTTCCACAACTCTCCTCCAGACCGTATATACAAAGCGTCTGTCTCTTCTCATCAGATCTCGCCATTATAACAGCATCAGCCGCCGCATATGAGCAATCTGTGCTCTAACGATCGATTTCGCTCGTTCCTTGGCCGACATGAAGTCGTGTCGATCGTAGCAACTCGGTGAAGCTGTCCGTGTGACGGCAATCCTTTTGCCATACACTGCCTCCTCCCACATCTCCCTAACCTGCTGCTCCTCGTCGTAGTTGTCTCTCCATACCCATGCGACGAAAATATCCTTGGTCTGCTCCCAGGTCTTCAAATTCAGTGCGTGGCTGACAAGCCTGATCTTCTCGTGACACACCTCCCTCCACTCTTCGATCTGATGGACCTCTAGAGGCGTGCTTGGTCGGGCGGTGGCTACTGCGCATGTCACCATGAGGATCCCCCAGAACCAAACCTGTCTAGGAAATTTGCCTTGTCGCATGGCCTCCTCCTCGCGTGTAAGATCCGACAGCATCCACTCCACAAGCCAGTTGAGCATAAAAGGGTCGACAACATCCGTTCCAAGCATGGCGAAAACGCATAGATAGCAGCTCATCAATCGCGCGCGGCTGATGGCGTTTGTCGACAATGTTGTCGGTTTGATTTCCAGGACTCCCGACCCCTCCGTTGCCTCCTCCAGCGCCTCATTGACCGTCATATCACTGAAATCCACCTCTTGATCAACCATTCGCCGAAACCTATCGGGGATGACTCTAAAAGTGCACATGCCAAGGGATTCCGGGTTCTCGATACCTTGTGTAGCGTCCGTGAGCTCACGCAGTGTCAGTCTCCCTGTGCCCCTTGACGTTCTATTGTGTCCACACCGTTAGCCGAGAACCCAACAAGCAGAGAAAATGGATGAAGCTTACAATATTACTAGACTCTGGAATATGTTTCCATCAGTCACCATTTCGTCGTCTCGCATCTCTAAAATCTGCGAGAGCCCAGTCATGTGGGCTTTTGCGGTGTCCCGACATCCTAGTGCGCTCTGTGCATACGCTCGTTAGCCAACTACTGCTGATCGAGTTCGTGACGATGACAGGTTACGTCTCTGCTGGATCGTAAATTCGATGCCTACCTCTGCTAAGGCTAATGCCGCTATGCTCGCTATAGTGCAGTCTGTTGCAGCCATGCCGGGGTCCTGCAGTTGTTCGTTGACAAACTTAATGGCCTCCAGTTTGTGGTGAAGAAATGACTTCTTGATTCGATCCATGGAACCCGTGTCCCATGTGTACTTTATTGCTGTCATCAACAAAGCAACGTGCAGGCACGCAGGACTCGATAACGCTCGGCGGATACTATCGTAATGGCAATCAGCCTTCTATTCCGCGCTATCGACAGTGAAACCCGACTTACATGAACGACTCGGGTTGCAACAGAGTGTCTCTCGAGACTACACTCCTATATCGCGTGACTGGACACATACAGGTGAGTTCGCCTCTTCACGCCATAGGTAATACTGTTGAAGCAACTTTAGCTCAACGTAGGGTTGCATGACTTACATATATCGAATAAGAACCGCGATTCATCTCCCATCTCTACCGGGTAACCCACGAACATATGGTTTGGTACCGTGGTCTTCAAGCTACTCGTCCCTGCATGCCATTGTGCATCCTCACTTTGGCCAGCGGTGCAAGGAGCGCATGGTTTTGGTTTGGCTTTAGTATCCGTATATCCGCATTCGCCGCCTTTAACGAGGCAATTCGTGCTACAAGAAGGTCAGTTTTACTTTAATCTATCAACCATCTGTCCATTGGGCCTTTTCTATCTGTTTAATTTCTTCGCTTTGGAGTAGGAGTCGAAGATCGAGAAGAAAAGCCCCGCCGAGTTGACTACAAATGAAAGATCTGCAGCCCTACATTCGACGGCACCTCGAGTGGCGTATTACGAACCCCAAGATGATTCTCCAAATCGCGGAATGGTGAGGGGAATGGAAGTAGACTCTGCCTACCATAACGGTTTCCTCTCGTCACAGCGGATATGCTTCATCTTACAGGTCGTACATCCATTTCGCGACCTACTGTGATAGCGACGCACGCGCAGCTCGGGTTTTGGTGCGGGCATGGTGCTTGTGTATGACGAAGGATGATGAGGGACGGCAATCGATCAATTCAGAATCCACCTCTTTCAGAATCATGACAACCCAGCCTGCGAGTCGATTGGCGAGTGCGGTCCTCTTTATTAGTAAACGATGCAGGAGTCAGGCCCTAGCGAGCCTAGAACTGCAACGTAGTACAATTAAACGTGTCTGGGTAGGTAAGCAGGTAGGGTGCGGGAGAGTGCCGACAGCCAAGGAATGGGCTTGAGGGAAGGGTCGTGACCAGGATACGAGTGAAAGCTTATTCCACGACACCAATAATAAACGGCCTGCCTCGTCCTGTCATAGCTGAGTGATCTTCAAATGGGCGCGGATGGAATAAGGTGAGGCGAAGGTCAAGGGGTTTAGGGAGCAGGGATTACAGAACACGCACATTTCGTCTAAGTAATGCCTACCTAGCTCTGGTGGTGCGGGCGCTCCCTAACTCTTATATTTGTCCGACCCTCTCCATCTGTACTAAATGTCTCTGCTATTGCCTTGGCGTCGCTAACATAATGCTTTCTTACTTAGTTTACGATATCCATCTGTTGGGCACGGTAAACTCTTATACAGACATACTAGCGCCCTAGTCAAATCCGTATTAAGTAAGTTAAGGACCCAACATCATCGCCGTTTCGCTTGGTCCATCAATACATAGTAATAGGCAGCGGACCGCTGTCTTTGACTGAGGTGCATGTGTACCGCAAGAATGATCACCAATGCTTACATACCTACTGTAATCGAGCTGCAACCCTTCTCATTCCCTTTCGGCACACCGAACAACCTAATAGTCTCTATCGTTGGGCAACCCCAGCCGATTGACCACGCCCAGATAGACCAGTCTGACCAGTTCCTCGTTGCTATTCGTCCAGGCCGCTGGATGCGACGCTGAGGAAGTGATCGCATCCAGCTAGCAATGAACCACGCGAAAATTTAAGCTTGATTGATCTAGCGAATAGGATCTTAGCGGATGCGACAGGGTAACAAAGGCAAAACCCGTTGCTGACCTCAATGACACCTGGTCTACACTACCTCTCCGGCCCGCCCAGCATAATGATGACAATTACTACTACACTAGGCAGGTCGTGTGTGTAGTGTTCAATGCCTACATACTTATACAGTTCTGCACAGTGAGCAATTTGGTTATGCTCCACCCTGCCTTTTACAATATGGGCACTAATGCTACATTCATTGCCAGAGCGCTGGGTTGCCAAAGCATGAAGACGGGAAAACGCGTTTCGGCAAGTTCCACACCATCGTACCACATCGAATCATACAATAGGGTTTCCCACGACCTTACATAACACCAACAATGCAGTGAAAGTATGAACAGTTCTTAAGTAAGCACAGCCTACCTGTTATAACTATTGAAAGGTTCAGCCGCTGATGATTCAGTGCGAATTCCCGAGCACACTACCTACTTTGTGCGTCATGCCAAATACCTTAGTAAATCAGCGACCAAGTGGCTTGAGTGAGCCACCAAGAGGACCGCTAACCCTGCATAGAATATTCCATGCTATTTTAAGCATATTTTGATTATCTATTTTTTAAGCATACTTCTTAGATTGAACGCTAGGTGGGATCCATACCACGTACGACAAGGGATGACGGCGAGTGGCAAGCTCCAAACCTGATTTACATGTGGTCCTGCAGTGGAATCGGCTGGCTAGGCACCGGAGTCACATTGCCTCCACTACCTCCCGCCTCTGTATTCACCACACCACCTCTCCCGCTTTGCCTTATATTACATGGAAGTATTCTGTTCTCGAACCACGATACAACTGTGTTGGCATTGCCCTACCTATATTACTCCGTTGGGTTCGTGAATAGCGAACGCAAGCATGCGTGAACACATGTGCAATCTCCGCACTCGATACAACATTCGACCGAGCCTAGCACAATCTACATACTTACAGTGTATATTCAGTAGGTATGCATTAGTCTATAATCATGCCAGACGGGAAAACGACATCCAGCACAGGAGAATAAGGAGTAGGTAGATGAATCAATAATACAGTAGGTACGCGTACATGTTCACCATCCCTTCCATCGCCAACTTGGCATGCAGTACATCAATTCATCCGGTCACTCGATATATGACGCCTGCAGAGCGGGGTAGATAGGTAGATAAGGTCAGTTCATGAGACCATTATGAAGATACCGTGCTTAGGTAGCAGCGATCACGGCGACAGCAACTCCAGAGACGGAGAAAGAACTTCCCGAAAAAAAAACCACACATTGCATCAAAGGATTGTGAGAAAAGGAGAAGAAAAAGAAAAGCTAGGTAGGGTCTATTCAGAAGGCAGGAAACCACTCCTCCCTAACGACGGACTAACCGAGAAATAGACAACACCATCAATCATACTACCTACGGCGCTGTCGTCTCATTGCCATTATCGTGAATACCTAGTGATGGCGTCGTGGCGGTGGTGCCAGTCTCTCATTGACTGCTTACTGTTCAAGTCTACCAGCACACAGCGTGGAAAAATACACAGAACCGAAAGGACTCAGCTCTCACCTACCGTACACTCCATCCGTCCTCTTTGCCGCATCTAACGACTGCCTCAATGCTTAGCTTCATATCACCTCTACGCAGTCATGTAGTATAGGCAAGGAAGAGGAAGCGAGGGAGCGGCCGCAGCATGTACCCTCGGTAGTGTACAGGTATGTATAACTCCGCGTGGCGTCTGACTCCCGTAATCCATGATCGTAGCTCGCGCCCTGGTCTGCATACGGGAACACTGCCTAGTGTATCTCACTGTACCCACGACATTACCCTACTTAGTAGGTAGCGCAGGCGACCATCTGCGGGGAAGACGATGATTCCAGACAGTACAACATTACCGGATCCGACGAGTCAATCCGGATTTCGTGATGAGCAGGCTTGGACGAGGTCGTTTACCGATTGGGAATATCACATTCGGCACACTACATGACGAGGGACGTCACCTGGTCTCTCGAATCATCCACGCTGCCTAGTGCTCTAAGCGCCCGCTTTGGTTTCTGAGCAACAAGAGGAGAAGGGGGAAGAGTGAATGGATGGATGTAACATGAAACCCGATATGGCTGCCTATGGTTGCCCTACTCTTCACGATCTCGACACCACCGCACATATATGCACGCTACCACAGGTGTACACACATATGTACACACGTATCTCCCTGCAGACATCCTCTCCCATCGGCCCCCACGACCTGGAGTCCTCTACACTACCTAACCTACGGTACTTAATTACAATGTCGCTTATCAAGCTTCATACAGATTGTTAGTTTCGACCAACAGGGAATTGGCTTGCCCTACCCGTTACCCTGTCCAGCACAGAAACCATATCACGTAACCCAGCAGAGCACGTATGCTGCAAGATAGGTGTACCGCGTTTCCAGCACAAATACACGTGTATGCTTAGTAGAGATCTCTCCACGACATGGGGTAAGTTTACGCGAGGCTAGATAGGACCGGAGAATAAACGAGACAAACCTTGAAGAACCATGGAACTTACCATTGACAACTCATAGCAGTCACTACATACTCTACATCACATGTGGTGCACAAGAGTACTGTACAAGCACTTTGTTGGTGTTGGTGTTGTTGATGTTATTGTTCATCGTCACGGCGAGTAATTGCATACTGCCCTACACTAACACACTTACATATGTACAGACATCCATAGTCAGAAGAGGCCAACCCTGCTGTCCCTCTTCGAACCTGCTCCTAAGATACATTAAGTAGGTAGAGAAAGTCGATGGAATGATTCCTCGTCTAAGGAATTAACCAGCCACAGCAGCAACATCCTCCAGGATTTGAGCTACACCACCTGTGTACTTATTTGTGTACTCAACTGCGGCTATGAATCGACAAACAAGGCAACGAAAATGGGATCAAGGAACATCCTTAGCTACTCACATCGTCTCGCCATCCCCGAGATTAGTGTAAGTAAGAGCTCTCCTGGGGATAATGAACACGGATACGTTACATAATCTGTCATGGATCTACTTACTTAAGAAAGTGTAATGAGACCCATGTTATTAACGAACATAGTATCCCTAGTATACGCAAGGGAAATCGTTCGGTCCCGTACCGTAGGTACAGTAGGTAGGTACCTAGGTAGGCAATTCGCACACACGTGACATCTTCAATGGAACAAAAAACGAAAACCATCCCATCTCCAAAAAAGACTCGCTTCAGCTCTCATCCTTCCCATGTCTATATCGGTAAACTACTTAGTCCACATGTCCGAGTGCTAGCATGGAATAGGCAAAGTAAGTAAGATATGGCGTGCGCTACACTAAACTCAGCACGTACTTGTTACTCAGTAGGTCCTACTTACAGTAAGAAGTGGGCTCATGGAAGCCAGGCAATCTTGCATACTTAGTATGAATGTCAGGAGGAGGTGGGACAGTACTTACTTATTTACACTACAGTCCAACATCTCGGAAGGATGCCGGACCTTTCATGCAAGTGCGGATGGGGAGGCGGATATTGAAGCGAAGCCAAAAAGTCAAGACAAGATAAGCAACAGCGAAGCAATGAAGATATCTTGATTAGGTAAAAGGAAATGTACCGTTCCCGCCGCTAACCCGCAAAAATAACACGGCCCACTCCTGCTTACACTACACTCGCCTTTACCCGACAGTCGTTCGCAGCACATCAGACGGGCGGGCGGACAAACTAATGAATAGACTGGCCGACTGGCTGACTTGCCCGGCTTGACTAAATGACTAAGGGACCGATTCACTGACTGATCACAACCCCGAGCTGGAATGATATCTCCTCTTTCCCCAGGCAGCAGCACGATAACTTCCCGATTTCTTCATGTTCGAAGCAACAATATCATAGCCTTTTTTCAAGGAGCTGCCGAATTACCTGACATATACATTCCAAAGGCACGCTGGTAGAACAAACACGACTCGTTAGACAAGACACTTGGCGTCGGGGACTTTTACAATGTGCAGAAACAATAATGTAGAGGGGGTGGTGCAAGGATAAAGAGGGGGAGGGCAAACTTACCGGGTTTCGGGTTTGGAGGAAGACCGTACCGGGGCCCGTGAATTTACACACGAGGCCCTCACCGCTGGCAAAGCCGGCGATGATGCCACCACTAGTGACGCGCTCCATAACGTACTTCACGTTCCATGCGACGAGGTGACCGTTATCGACGATATACTTCTCACCGTCGGCGAGGTCCTTGCGGATAATTGCGCCGAAGCTTGATATCCACAACAAGCCAACACCAGAAATCTTGTGGACCCAGAGGCCTTCGCCAGAGAACATAGCTTTACCCAACCCTTGACGCTTGTAGTCGCGATTGACGCCCTGTGTATTCGCTACATAGGCGTCCTTGCCCACGCTCCACGACTCCTCCCCGTTAAGGCGAATTGTCGTGATGTCGCCCAACATACTCGGAGCCATCAGTAACTCACCTGGGCCAATAAATGTTGATTGACCTAGGTCGGTACCCGCAGCCATGAGCTTCTTCATGCTGAACTTGTACTCACCCTTGAGTGTGATTGTTGGACTCATGGCAATGAGAACCCCCGGCTTCGCTGTCAGGGGACACCCCATCGCCAGTTGAATCGTCACAATCGTGTTACAATCTCGGTGGCTGATCCGAAAGGAGCCGCCATTGAACGTGCCCACATCATCTACGGTAGCGCTCGCGCCTACGAAGGTCCCCGGTGTAGGTGCTCCTGCCGACATGTTGGGCGCGGGTACTGGTCCTCCTGAGGGTTGTTGTGGTGGTGATTGTTGTTGTTGTTGCTGCTGCTGCTGCTGCTGCTGTAACTGTAACTGTTGCAATTGGGCTTTCTCTTCCGGATAGCCCTGAGGCGCATTCGGGGCCGCGTCAGAGTAGGCTGGCACGCTGCTGGGTGGTGTCATGGCGCCATTGTTTCTGATGGCGAGATTCATGTGCTGCTGCTGCTGTGGTGGTGGAGATGACTGAAAGGTTTGCTGAGTTGGAGGAGGAGGATAGGAGGTCGGTGTCCCCGTCTTCGGCGGCGGCGATACACTCTGTTGTGGTGGCGCAGGATAGCTCTGCTGAGGAGGAGGATAGTTCTGATGCGGTGGTGAAGGGTAACTGGGCGCCTGGGCTGCTCCTGGAGGCGGGTAGCTCGGTGTACCAGGCGGCGGAGGATAAAACTTGGTCTGATTTGCGGGAGGGGACGTCGGAGGTGGAGGGTAGCTTTTTTGTTGGCCTGTTTATGTTTGTGTGCCTTGTCAGCAATGAATGATCCCCGAGCGCATATTATGTTAGAGGATGCTGTCAAAGGCTGAACAGAAGTATCATCTCAACCCGTTGAAAAGACAAGGTATAAGACGGCCTTAGAGCCATGATCCTCTCTCCGCTCGTCATCGAGAAAGTACTTCGGCGTAACGCAAAGGTGAGAGGTAAATTCAACATACCTGAAGAGCCAGCCGCGCCAGGGGGCGGAGGATAGTATTGGCCCGACATTGATGCTTCGTTCACCGCCGTATCCAACGATGATAGACCTGAACTGTCTTAACCAAAGCCTGCTCGCGCCTTCACGCTCGAGAGATGGCCAAAGGGAGAATTGACAGCTAGAAACATCTTGTTAGTTCAGTCGGCTGAGGGCGACGAAGAGAATTTGGTGGTCGGGCTAGTCGGGCAAAGCGGACGGTCTAGACAACGGACGGCAAGCTGTCGCCATGGACCATACTTAGGTGTATGTAGGTAAGGAGGAAGGCGGGAATCATGCTAAAGACTTCGAGCCCCGCACTTACCGTTTGACAGTTATAGGGAGCAACCTTGGTCTTTACACAAGTGAGTTTGACTAGTGTCTTGCGAATAGCCTCACGAACAATAATACCATGCGATTGACCGATGAATGATGGTTGGATGAATAGAACGCAACCTGGATTGCGGCGCATTGCGGAAAATTGACAGTGAGCTTCCTTCAACTTGCTCCGAGCTAACAAGGGAGGTCCCCCAGTGAGGGGAGCATGAGGGGAGAATGCACTGCATTTCTCGTCGGCTCATTGGAAGTCGAGCCGCCAACCCCACCCGCGCCGTCGTAAGGTACATTGCTGGGCGCTACAGTCAACGCCAATCGTTGACTCACTCTCTACAGGCTATTGAAGATTGCCTGCTAGGCGCTTAGAGCCTCGCTAAAGACTAGGGATCTGAGCTGATCAGCTGGAGTAAGCTAGCCAAGGTATAGTACAACCCTTTGAGGAGAAGCCTCGTTCTTTCACTACCGATAGTATTATCGCAAGTAAGTTGCGTGCTGAAAGCAAACAAATCAATAGACGGTGCATCACGTAAATCTACGGATCTAAAGGTACTGTCCCCTCGCCCGCATCTTCGCATACTCCTCCTGAGTAATGGGCGGGTACCGCAGCGAGTTATCCGCCTCATTTGCGCACACAGCAAGACACTCGACAATAGCCGTGGGATCAGGCGCAACGAAATAGGGGATCGAGTACCGCGATTGAGTCATTAGGGACTTCCCTGAGACCCCGTTTTCCTTTGATAGAGGTGGGAGTGTGACGCGATGGAGTGTTGATTTCAAGTAGTCTAGGCTAGATATCAGTATACGTGCCTAGATAATAAGATTTAGGAACACAGTCTTGAGATTTAAGTGGTGAGAAGTAGGGGACGGGATGGGGGTGAGTCTTGAATGACACGAAGAAGTAGGCAGAATAGAAATTTACGAACCGTTACTCCACCTCATCAATAAATCGCCCACGTTCAATATGAGCGCACCATCCATCGGCGTAGCATCGACGAAGTGACCGTGTTGATTCGGGTCTTCGACCTGTAGGCCTCCGCCGTTGTCCTGAAAGAGCATTGTGATAGTGCCCCAGTCAGAGTGCGCAGGCATTCCTAAAGAAAACTAATTAGAATCACTCTACAGCATCATGATAGATGTATATGAACACAACACAAACTCACTCTCCACCTCGCCTTTAGCCAATTTCTCGACTTCAACAGGCGGGTAGTGAAGCAATCGCAGCTGATTATTCAAGCCGCTATGAAATCGCACAAAGAACTCCTCGTCGTCGAGTCCGAGACCCAGCGCCAGCGCCCGCAGAAGCTCCTTCGCAACCTCGAAGCACCGCGAATAGAACGCCGTCGTGAACTCGCGGAAGCCCGGGAGCACGTCCTCGGGTATCCAGACATTAGGTTGCTGGGCGAAGACTTCACTGCCAATCTCGTAACTTTCCTGTTCTCGCGCGAAAGTAAGCAAGTACGTATAAGCTCTAGCCATATGAAACGAAGCGAAATGCAGGTAGTTATAACAGCATGGCAAGGGAAAAGGAGTGGACAAGCAAACCTTAACATCGGGAACCCTCCGACTCCCAACCTGCTTCTCCTCCTCGCCGTCGGCGTAAATAATCTGCGATACCTTCTCAAGCCCAGGCCACGAATATCCTCGATGAACGCTCATTCCTGTATTCAGCAAACCCCTCTACTCAGCCAAGTACTCAAATCAACGATCAATTAATCAATTACAATCAAATAAAATAAAATCATTCTGCAGTCTTCATGACATCAAAAGCACTACTGTCCTTACCAGGCGGATGAGGCGCAAGCATCTTCTTCTCGAGCGGCAGATCAAACAACTTCCCAGCCCACGTAAATGCTTCCCGGAGGATATCATCCGGGACACCGTGATTCCTCACATAGACGAAGCCAACGCGTCGACAGGCCTCAGTGAGCTCCGAAGCGATGCGTTTCCGGTTCGCGGGCTCGCCATCGGACCACGAACTTAGGTCTACCACCGGGATAGTCGCCATTGTTTGGTATTGTGAGGGCTGCATCACTGTAAGCCTTGCGCCCTAGACGAAGAGTGCAGCAGCATTGTATATCCTACACACCTCAAAAATAATTAGATATTTGTTTTTTTTTCAAAATTGGGGAATGATAGGTATCGCATTGTCTGCTCCCCTCGGCTGATGTCGCAAGGTTGGTTGAGTGGAGCGGAAATAAGGTTGTCAGATTTCTAAGGAATCCTTTCTTATCCCTCATTGGTCACAATGTTGTGTGCTCCTGTGTAAAATCGAAAGTATTGCCTTAATCTTCTTCACTTACGATGAGATCAAAATTTAAGAGGGAAACGGCGTTTCTCGTCGCAAATCCAATTCATGATCACATTTCGTCGTGAACTATGTAATAGCTCCATTCCCGGGCGAAGTACACGTAAGATGCAATAGATACCTATGGAACGTACATGGCTTTCAAACAACAGGCCATGAAATGGCTTGTAGACCATTATTTTGGATTATATGCTAGTCATGCTATCTGTTGAAATGCGTACGGTTGTCTAGCTCGTAGAAAAAGCTTTCGTTGAGGCTAAGATTCATTACAAATATGACGAAATAATCCATCGCCATTGTTTTTTTTTTAGTTTTACCATGCATGGAGAATACATGACTCGTTAATCGTCACAAAGGCGAATGCGTACTTCTACAATGCCGTGGGATGATAGGTACTCTGGGGTCGATCAAGAAGAATATGATCTATGAGAGTCTGAGACACGTTTAGCTCACTAAACTTAGGTTCAGGCAAAGAGGAAATTTGAGACATACCCAGTCAGCCAAAGTTGAATCTTTCAATACGCTGTCGATTGGTGCAGAGTCCATGAAGTCCAAGGAAAACCCCATGGCTGGAATAAGCTGTGATTGGTCGTATGACGCAGGTAACGGGGGTGACATTTGAACATCGTTATTCAATAGAATGGCGAGGGAGCCATCTCTGATATCGGGCTGCGGAGGAGGGGGTGGAGGCTTTGAATGCTGCATATCTTGCATAGATACCCTCCTCAGAATTGCTCCGACGATCCTCGTAGCATGTGCTGCCTCTCTGGATGCATTTTTCCGTTCAGACCATATCTTATATGACGTGCCTAAAGCCTTTAGTTTCCTCGATCTCTCGGCAGAACTAGAGGTGAATTAGCAAGGAGACTAATTTAAGCTCGAGGTAAATACTTACGTGCTGGGTAAATTTTCCGTAAGATCCAAGCATAAAATCATGGAGGCAATCAGAAAGTCATGCACAGTCAATGAAGAGAGCATGTATTTGTCATCATACATTCGGCCACCAGGCTTGCTCTCCTCCTCATATTCTGCATGAATATCCAGAATCCTTAATGCAGCTTCTCGACAGATATTACGAGATAGATCGCATTGCGGGTTGTCCTTTTCCCGATTCAGGTATGGGCGATGTAAGAAACATAGGCTTTTCAGGAACATCATTTCAAGCATCAAACGATGCATAATCTCGGAGGTCTGATCGGTGAAGCTATAGGAGCGGATAGGCTTAATCTGCAGAGCCGATGGAATTTGGCTATGGTAATGATGGAGCTCATCGTTGAGTTTGAGGACTTCATCGTAAGTGGGAGGGTGAATCGATAATGTCTGTCGGAGAACACGACGGAGTATGCGACAAAGTCTAGACTTTATATTAAGATATAGGGTCGATGTTGGCTCGGAGGCTGGTCGTGATGGCGGCAAGACCATCATATTCTCATCAAAATCAGCATCATAGAGGTTTGCTGGAGCCTCGGTGTCACATTCGTCATCACGAATGATGGGTGGCACCCCTTGTTGAAATGAGAACAAGACATCGAACACTTCGATGAAGAACCATGCCCTACGCCGAATCTCACCTTCAAAGGGAGTCACATTGGAGAGATATTTGGGATCACGATGATATCCCATACGCTGCGCAAGTCGGGCAGTCAGCCCCCACTTAGCCCATAAGCTGGAATCAACCATGTGTTTTTCTCTCATCTCAGTATAACCGTGGAGTAGCAGCGCCTCGATGGAATAAGGTTTGGCGGATAAGTAATCGCCTGAAACGAGGCAGTCAACTGCCAGTCCAGACAGCTGTTCGGGCCGAGGAGTGTCGCTCTCCCCCTTTTCTACGGCAATTGTGGTAGCAATCCATAATATCGAGGCTAAGCAGCTGATCCATAGTAGACTGACAGATGTTGGCGCCCTCCAAAAGCTGTCATACTCTTTCTGGAATTTGTTGGTATGGATATATGGTGCGGCGGTGAACCGATGCCTGAAGTAGAGCAAAACGAGACGATCACATTGGTGTTGCTGCGGTAACCGCGCAACAGCCTGCTCGTGAGTTAACATTTCGCCCCGGCCGAATATGAGATCCTGACAATCCCCTGTCCAATTGTGAGTTGACGGTGGGGGCGATGGAGTGGGAGGTACATCAAGCTCTGAGTCTAGTATGCCCTGAATGTCATGAATGCTTTCAAGAATTGAAGCCCAGTGGGTATTGCCGATATAGTTACCCTCACCACTCCGTGTACCGACATGCACAGAAGAGTTTGGCGCGCTTAAGCTTGGAGGTGAGCTCAAATCGGAGCGAGTGTCAGCCTCGTTCCTGTGATCCGAGCTGGACGGTGTGTTCAGTGACTGCTCTGCAAATGCGGCACTTGTAACTAGGCCATTGACCATCTCCTCCAGCTTTTGTAAGCGCGTCTGGAGCACTGGTCGCGAGACAGCTTCAGGTTTAGAGCGAACCTCGGCATGGGTTCGCGGCTCAGAACCTCGAGGCTTGCGAGCAGCACGCGGGGCGTATTCACAGAAATTAGCCTCGCCGCTCTTAACACATCGCTCACAAGGCTGCTGCCGGTCGCATTTCACCTGGCATAACGTTTAAGCTACAACGCAACTCATGGGCACTGAAGCACCGAGATGATACTCACCTTGCGAGTTCTGCACAAGAGACAGCTAACTGGAGGCCGGTTGCGCTTTTGAATCTTCCGCTGAGCACCCTCAGTCGGCTGGGCACGAAATACAGTAGTCTGGTAGCTAGGCGGCGGCGGCGGTGGTGGTCCAGTCTCCATAGTGCGGAAGCTTCGGGGTTAATGGCGTGGCACGCAGGTCGAGTATCTATGCAGTACAATGGAATTAGGAGAGCGGTGCGAGCTGGCTGTGTGATGAGCCACACATGAATCAAACAGTGATGCCACTATCCAGGGCAGCGAATTCCGGGCCAAGTTGGGATCTCCACCCAGCAAGCGACCGGTTGGTTTGAGAGAGGGAGATAGAGGCTAATTGATGATTTTAAGGAATTAAGAAAATGCCTAATCGAGACGAGCCCGAGAAAATGGATGGATGGACGGATGGGATGGAGCGCGTCCGTGGCGGACGCTGCTGGGCTTGTGTAATTGGTAATGCGGTGTAATGTACGGTACTGCGGCAAGTAATGCAGCAATGTAATAGGTAGGTAATAATAACGAGCTGGAACTAGCAGCGTAGCTGACTTACTTACCTCTTCCCTGCTGTATGATGCTGTGGGCGCTGACCTTGAATGCCCATGCCAGATCTGAAGTGCTTGGAGTGCTTGCTGATGACTGCTATCGCCAGGCAATGCCAGACTTCCCAAGGTTGCCAATGCGATCTGGGGTGTCGGGTGTCTGGTATCTGATGTCTGGTGTCAGGGTACTCGGTGGTCGTCGGAAACAAGTGGCGTGTGTCCGTGGGATAAATCCGCGAACGACGAGGGAGGAGATTGGGCGAGATCTAGCCAGATCCATTCCAATGCGGTGGAAGCAGAGGAACCAAACTCCGGGTGAGGCATCTTGGACCCCCGTCATTCGATGGGATGCATCATGGCGTGGACACCGAACGAGTACCTGCCGCCCAAGTCCCCGGTACGTCGCACCCCCATACTCTACTTTGTAGGGTACCTACACCTGATGTATGGTATACATACCTAAGTATGTACACTGTCATACACGCTGTACCGGTAGCCTGCTGTACTATCGGTTTCAAGTACTGCCTACAGGCGAAGTCCTAGTGCCGTGGTAGTGTGCCGGATTCCTGGCCATAGTGCCTATTGCATACTGTATACTTCGGAGATACAGACCTCTGTCTGCTTATCGCCAATATCCATTGCCATGTCATGAAGTAGGCGAGGCAGAGAGCAACATTAGGGACTTACTACATACCTAATGTAGATAGGTAGAGAGAGGCTACATCAAGAGCACATGTACCGCTAAGGTACCTGAAAGATAAATTATGTACAGTATTGGTAAGTCCGGGTGGGTCCACACATATCGTCGGCTCTTCTGCAACGCTTATTTCCTTCCATTCCATACCTCCTACTTAATATGGAATATGTACCCTGCAAAGCCCGTTGAGCCGAATCTGTCGTACGGGATTACTTCACAATATAGAGTATGTACTTAGTAGGTAGGTAGGTATCCCAAGCCCGATTCGACAGATCTCATCCCGACCGACACGCCCTGAACAAGCACCAAAGTCATTCTTTTGTCAGCATTGCCTGCACACGAGATGCAGTCAACTTCAGCCGACCACATGTACGAGAACCCAGGTAGCAAGTGTCATTCTCATACTCGCTTCAAGTTGCCTGTGAACATCTTACCACGGGTGTGTAAAGGTGTTGATATAACTGCAGCAGACATTTGTATTATATGCAGACAGAGGTTACAGCCAAGTCGGCGCCGCATCTCTATGTAAGCTCAGACCGCGATACCGGTATTCCAGCTTTCTCAGCCGCTCTACCCGGACTAGCCGAGCAATATGGCACACACACGCCGCACGTGAGTTCGTAGATTCGTTCGCCATACTTACCCCCCTCCCTCCAAATGCCGAGAGAAGCACATCGAACCCGCTGCTTTTAATAACCCGCATCTTCGTTTCACTTTTCATACGCTTTTCATACATACGATGTATGCCAGCGGGCACGAAAATAAATGGTCACGGGCTTCGGCGTTGACGCGTCAACCGGGCTAATCGTAGTTGAGTTAATTCCATTTGTAATCGTGGGGAACCCATTACAACAAGATCACTAACAGGATGCCTCGCGCCACTTGCGCACGGCAGACAGTAATGTCACGCCACGATAAAGTGGATATAAGCCCACAGAACTACCCAACGCCGACGCTAGGTAATGGGCTTTTGTCTGAAGGAGGGGGAAGAGATGCCCTCTATTTTCATGTCAATACGAGACTACCGCCTTGACAGAAAAGCAACACACGGCGGAACTCACTTCGAAATATTTAGCCCCGCGCTAGACACGACCGAACTTATCACAGCTTGCCTCGGAGCCAAAGCGAGGAGATAAAGATGTGCGCAGCGCCGATGTGATGCCTAATGCAGTAATGTGTATCCCCGGTAACGGAATCGGGGGGTCCCAAGTTCCGAACGGGACAACGTTGGTAGCAGATAGCTCCGTCTTTGATGAAGCAATTATGATCTAATGACGATCAACATGGATCAGAAAAGGTCTATATAAGAGATATCAATTCGAAATCATAAGGAAATGTGTTCATGTAGCATCACCATCAAACCAGTTAACTATACAGCTAACTCAATAATAAATATCAAAGACGATCATCAAGAACAAAATCCAATACCTGCAGTTTAACGTCCAATTCCATCACAACATACTGTACAAACAAGCACATTAAACCTCAACGTCCACAATCATGGCTGGTGCAAAGGCTCTAGTTGCCCAATCCCTCACGCCCGACGGCATTAAAGTCGTAGAAAGGGATATCCCCACCGCAATCCCGGGGACAGCAGTAGTCCGAGTCCTCGCAGCAGCTATCGGGCCAGGCCACGGGTACCTCGCGACGCACGAAGTCCCCGGCTTCTCCTTTCCCGTCCCCAGCGTCTACGGCAGCAACGCCGTCGGCCGCGTGGTATCAGTAGGGTCAGATGCCGTCAGCATCAAGGAAGGCCAACTTGTCGCCATCGACCCGTTCACAACAGCACGAGATGACTCTAACGCCGAGATCATCGTGGGATTGATGGATAGCGGCGAGAAGAAGGCGCAGAAGCTAGCTCGCGACACGTGGAGAGATGGGTGCTGGCAATCACATGCCGTCGTCCCACTCGAGAACACAGTCCCGTTAGACGAAGATGTCCTCGTCGGTAAACACGGGTACACGGTCGAGGAATTATCCATCATCCTCCGATTTGGCGTTGCTTATGGCGCTATTTCCAACGTCGACATCAAGGCCGGCGAGACTGTTATCGTAGGGCCTGCCACGGGTCAGTTCAGCGGCGCCGTGGTTGAGATCGTGTCCGCACTCGGGGCCCGCGTGATTGCGCTCGGTCGTAACCAGGCCACGCTGGCTACGCTGCAATCCAAAATCCCTCGCGTCGAGACCGTGGTGGTCACAGGCGATGTGGAGAAAGACGCCCAGTCAATCCAGGCCTTCGGTCAAGCCGACGCCTTCATTGACTGCACGCCACACACCGTGCACAGTCAGCCCAGCCATATCCAAAGCGCCGTACTATCCCTTCGCAAGCGAGGCCGGATTGGTTTGATGGGCGCGATGTTCGCCAATATCAGTCTCCCCTATTCCTACATGATACTCAACAGCCTGCAAGTCAAGGCGAAATGGATGTACACGAGGGAGGAGATCAGGAGACTTGTCAAGATGATCGAGGTAGGGACCTTGAAGATCGGGAAAGAAGCGGGACACCGGGTGTACGGGAAGTTCAAGCTCGAGGAATATGAGAAGGCCTTTGAGGCTGCGCATACACATAGTGGTTGGGGTGCGCTTGTGGTATTCACCCCTTGAGCTGTACAAGTATAGACTAGAAGCCCTTCATCTACGATAGACGATTCATCCTCTTCATAGACTAAGCTAGATACCCAACGGTAATATCAATAGACATAACTACATATTATAATCGCAGGTTGAGCATTCGATGCTGCGACAGTGAATGTGAATGGACTTGGGAAGGCAAGCAAATCGATACTTCCGCATAGATGAGATTCAACCAGAGTACACCAACCTCGACCGGTTCTTCTGTTGGGGATAATACATCGCTTTATGAAAGAAACCTGAGAAATGGATACACTACGAGCCTATGTCGTCTAAAGTCTATACAATATATCACTTTCCTTCCTGTGCAGTTAGTCTAGAGGATCTCTAATCACTGATACTATCATGGAAAGGCCGAGCGGATAATCATAACGATCATCATCCCTCAAGGAAAGGCGCATGGTTACTCCCGAGCGGCAAATTAAGAATATTAAGGACAAAGCTCAGAAAGTGATATGATAGAATGCAAGCCGTTCTTCGACCCTCAACACTCCATAAATCGACAGTGGTCTTAATCGTTGGCCACAGTCTTAGAAGCTGTCTGGCCCGTCTGCTAACGAACAAGAACATGAATTTATCAAGTACTAGAAAGGAGATTTGCGAGACTGACTGATCTCTACGGGTCTGAGTTGTTATGATTCTTTAGGTATTTAGTGGAGAAAAGGAACAAATCTTCAACAAATCGACCTCTTCGAGCAGCGATACTAAAAGAACTAGTATTATTTAAATGATGTTAATGTGTAGGTTCGCCCTGTCCACAAGACTCTGTGATAATCGTTATTGCAGTATCATAATTTATGGCGGCTACTCTCTCTAGAATACGAACATTGCGACCTAGCACAGATACTACACAGAGTACGCGATGGGGTGCTAACTGTACAACATTTGTACAATTTAGGCACATAAGCGAGAACAATAGCTACAAATACAATTCCTAGCAGCGTCAAATGACTCGGTGCATCTACGCAGGCATTTGGAATTCTCTGTTATGTTACGAGTGCCTCACATTAGGGTGTTTCCGTTAGCTGTGGGTTGGTTCGAATGGCAAGGCACCTCTTGTCGACGGTCCAATGAGAACCTCAGGCTCGACGTTCCCTAACGAGGTGCCCGATTCCAATTCGTGGACAAACGCCACAGATTTAAAGAACCAAATTTTGTTCAGCCTAGAAAATACACTTAGGACGAGCGCGCTTATGGTAAATTATAAGGGATCGAGTCTGGAGACCATCGGGGCAAGGACAAGGCCTCGACGTGGGATTGTAGAGGTGACGTCTCAATAAACACGCGGCGATCCTGTCAGGGTCGTAGATTGAGGCTATATCTTAATATAGCAGCTTTCCTAAAAATAAGCACGAGGATTCTTGCACATTGGTCAGGTCACGAAGCGCGTTAGTAAACGGGTACTTACCTTACGTGGAGATTAGAGGATCGCCTAAAACCCCACGATTGACGGATCTTAGAAAAAGCGGCACCGAGTATGCGCCCACGGCGGTGTGATGAGAATCCCCATGGTTATCAGGCGATGCGCTGCCAATCTCGGGCGATGTATGTATGGTACTAAGAAATTCACGCCTATGGACCTGATATCCTGGATATAGGTAGTTATAGCAGGCATGATGTCTCTGATTGTCTCGGGAACCCTGGCATCAAGCGAGACCTGCGTTATGTTGCGCGCTTGTTGGGCATGGTCGCAGAAAGTGACCATGTTACGCAAAGCAGAATGCCTCCCCAGACGCCTCTCCACGACATGCCTTCTCCATAGTAGCAGGCTCTGCTCGGCACGTGTAGGGCAGCAGTGAGCCAGCCGGGCGAGACGCCCATCTGCACTCAACCCAGATGCAGGTACGGGATCAGAGTCGCATCTGCGTATCCTTGGTGGTGGTCCTGCAGAACCATGGCCATGGCTCCCGGCACTCGACGAGGGCACGCGGGTGACTCGCGCTGGGCGGCTCGTTAAACGCTAGGCGTGCAGGCCATGACGTCGGGAGGGTTGAACTGCGAGCGTGGATGAGGAAGGATTCTAGAAGAAGTCGGGCAGCGAGCCACACCCGAAGTCCTTGGAGGAGGTTGGAGGGGGCGCTTAAGGGGTGTGAGGGCGGAAATCGGGCGGCTAATCGAGGCCAGCAGTCTTGTTATTGGCAAAGGATGGAGTAGTGGTGGGTTCATGGGCGTTTTTCGCATACGACTAACCAACAGGGCGCGCCAGTGGGCAATCTAGCGCAGAAGTACAGAGCTTTGTAATTGTGTGTGTGAACTTGATTGTGGAATGGCCATGATAACTGACGATGCTTCGTTGAGTCCAAAGTGCGATGTTTACTTACTGCGTTAATAGTACTGGGTGGTTGGAATTATCACAGCAACGCCATTTAGCGCATGTACTGGTGTGTCTATGTATCTCAGGTACATACCTACCTACTAATGTACCTATAATAGGTAAGTACATATGTAGGTATGTAGGTATGTGGTGGGCAGTGCGCCGGGAATGCTACCTCGATGTATTACAGTACCGTACTGCTCCGCGCGATAGGCGTAAGTAAGGTAGCGGCGGAGGGTAGCAGTCTAGCGCTGGTTAGCGCTGATTCAAGCGCGGGTGGGCGGGTGGGCGGGTGTGCAGGGCAAATGAAATGGGCGAGATGGGGTTCTACAACGGGAAAGAAAGGTTGTGCGACCTCATCACATACATAACATAATACCTACACATCCCACATCCCACATTACCTACATCCATGATGTACATGATGTCCTCACATGAAGTATGTAGATAGGTACCTACAGCACCCTCCCCCGTGACCTGACTTACAGCGTGTGCATTCAGTACCACTCGCGGCTTCGGGAGGTATTTCCTGTACACCACCATTACTTACTTACTTACTTACTTACATATACCTACAGCAGGGATGCGTCATACCGGACGCTACCGCGAAGCCTTGTTGAGGTTGGTGTGGGATAACAGCACATCATCGAGGGGAGGACGCCCTTGCTGGGAGACCAACCAACGTGCGACACCTACCTCCTACAGATCCTATATCTACTACTATATGTACGCATACCGAGGCGCTCGTTGTCTCTTCTCGTTGGTTGGGTCTTGTCCAAGCCTTGATTTGTATACATATTTCGTGTATCCATCGATATGTGAGTTACCTTACATCGAAATATGCACCCGCAGTCCTGAAGATCATCTTCCCCAAGCACAACCTACACCATCGGTACCGAAATCGAAGATATACCAAGTAGGTACCTACCTACCTACTGTATGTAGAGTATGTTGGAGGAACTAGTAGAAACAGGTTATGACTGCATTGTCACAGCAGGCGAGCGTGCTGACATGAGATTTCCCGTCATGTGATTCTGATGGCACGTTGGTCAGGGGTTCAAGACTCGCGTAAACGAGGCAAGGTAGGTATAGTATTATATCTGCTACATCATGGATGTCGGGTACCTGGCCCTGCTTCGCAGCCTCCTTCCACCCGCGTCGTCACCACCATTATCAAGTTTGTCGTTGCCTTTCAACGTATAGGATGCGATATACCTACCGAGGACCTTAGGAAGACGATGCCCATCCACCAGCGCCAGTCGTAATTCTGCCAATGACATGTAAAGGATTGAAGCACTGCGCCACTCTACCCAGTCGTGATATCCCGAGCATATGGACCGCTGAATCAAAAATTATGTGAGGGGAATATTGTAGGTAGGAATGACAAAAATTACAAACTGCTCTCATGCACTCGCGTGGCGTTTCCTCCCGGCTGCCGCACAGACGGGGGATCATTACTACCCCGTAGTACCGTATCCGGCTCTGCAAGATAGTCGAGACTTATCTCGCTCTGTTTGTTGGTAATATCTTGCAACTCGCACAGTCGTTCTCGCGAGCCATGGAGTCGGTAACAAATCATCCCTCTCATTTTACCCTGGGCACCCAATTTGTAATATACTGTGTAGATGATGCTTTGTGATTCGCGCACTTAGATTATGTCCCTTCCCGTGTGATGCTTTCCCTAACCGAATTGCTATATTGTTGGTTCGAGCATCGTGATTATCCCCTCGAGTCGGTAAGGTATCACGGTAGTAAGCGGCCTCATTTTGTTTCTCGTGCTACCTATCTACTAGCCGAGCGACTTGCCCTACAATACTTAGTATGTCTGCGCCACCTACGACAAGGGCCCATAATCTCCCTGGCAGTAGTGCCAATGTACTAAGTATATAATTTGAAGAGCCTCTTTCTAGGTGTTCGTCTCTTGTTGAGTTCATTCGTTGTCTTAGGCGGTATCAAAACCTGTCATAATTTGCCTATAGTACTGTTTATTATAGGCATACGCTTCACAGTACCAGAAAGAAGGGCGCGTGTCAGCCTCAAAGGTCCCTTCAAGCGCCCATATCTTCACCGCCATCTTCAAGTCATCATTTTGCCCATCGGCACCTGTAAGAGCTCATGCATAAAGATGCATTTTGAGAGCCTACACAAACTGAAATGACACCATGTTACGCACATGGGCAGAATCTCCGTCTGTCTCACATATGTCTCTCCTCCTCCTCCCTCTCGGCTCTGTCGCCTCGGAGGCTGTACCTATTTGGCCCCCAGCGTGCTTCATAGCGGATTTTCCACTTGTATTATACATGTACGAAGGGCTAAGGGAATGCAAGTATTGCACAGCTTATTAGACATTGACGACTGACAGCCAAATACGAACGAATGATTGAGGGTTTGCTTTCGATTGCATTTCACTCAAAACTTTGAATAGTGTATAAGTATTTTAGGTCGATGTAACCTTCTGTATGACTTCTTGTAGTTTGAGACGAGGGGTCAAAACGCGAGCCCTATCGGGTACATGCAAGGTCAAGGCCGCCACCGCCAGAGCTGCATGCGCCATACACTTGGCCTCATGCAGGCTCTTATGGTATATCACATCGCCTAGGCGTTTATGACTACATGTGCTAGGTGGTTAAGTCACCTGGTGACTCGTGAGTGTCATGTAGATATAGGTAGGTATGTGAGAGTGAGACATGAGCATGAATAGTTCATAAAAGGCTCTAGTATAGTGTAAGTTCTAGCCTAGGGTCTCCCCCGAAATCGTTGCT